AAAGTCACGAGGTAGCCAAATCCAGGGAGGCAGAGTCGGACATCTTTTTCCAAAGGGCGCTCGCTCTTTCGCCGTGGAATATTGCCAACACAACAAATCTGGAGACGTGTGAGTTGCGCATGAACGCTTGCCTGAGCCGTTCTCTAACATGAATATCGACAGTGCAAGCATTGGCTGTTATGACACAATATCTCCAAGGGAGCTCGAAATCTGCACAAACCTGGAGGCTGCATGGGCTTTTGGTGCAGGCGGCGTTCCAACTCGGTGTTCATTCAGAAGACACGCAAAACAAATTCTCAGTCATCGAGAAAGAGATCCGAAGAAGGACATGGTACACTTGCGTTGTTCTTGACAGGTACTTGTTGTCACAATTAGTCGATTATATGCCCATGTTGACGAGGACTAAAGAACACTGAGCTTGACGTTTGGAAGGCCTCCCTTGATCCACAATGAGTTCATCCAAATTGATCTTCCAATCGACGTTGAACTCGACGATTTATTGGACGAGGATGAGCGGTCACCCAGACCACCAGACCATAACTTTCGACCATCCTCGTGTGGATTGTTCATTGCCAGCATGTATGTTTCGGCAATCAACGCTACCTATCTGCTGCTGAAGTCAAGCCTAGAAATCTGTATCGCATTCAGGGTGACATCATCCGCGACATCTATAATCAAAACATTTCTCCCGCGAGCAAGATGCGCGGCGATGACATGTTTAGTCGGATCCTGAAGCTGGACTACGAGCTTACCGAATGGAAGACACGACTCCCCCCTTTATTAGAATTGGTACCAATGGAGATCTTGGGGACAATTCACCAAGAAGATTGGGTGTATGGCATGTCGCAGACAGTTTTGACGCTTCGTTACCTGAGTGTTCGGCTCCTGCTCTTTCGCAAACTACTGGAGAATTGCCTCGATACGATCCCACTTCTGCAAATGCCCCCAAAACGCCCTGAATTTCCAGATACTATCGCGAATAATATGGTTGATATCTGCGTGGACTCTGCAAGCAACATCATTGTCCTCATTCGGACCATCAGCGGGAGACTGGATCTACTACCCTCCTGGTGGTTTACTTGTTACTACTGTGAGCTGCTCATGTGAACGAAGAATTGGAAGCTACAATTGCTAAATGAAGTGTCGCAGTGTTTAACTCGGCTCTAATTATATTTGGTGCTATCTGTGTTTATACTGGAGGGGGTCAAGCAGATACAGGACCAAAGTCTCTCAGAGAGCTTGTTGATTGTCTGGGTAAGGCACTTGAGGCACTGGAAATAATTGGCAAGGAAACTAGGCTTGTACGCCGTTGCTCCAAATACCTGAGAAAGATGATCCAGGTCTCGAGCTCCTTCGGTAGGCCACCTCAATATGCCCTTCTATTTCCCAAGGGGAAACCATTCACTCTGGTACTTATACATTAACAGTTCGAAACCTTGGCGACCCACAGATTTTAGCCCCTCTGGGGCACGACGAAGTTCAAGACATGCCCTCCGTCACGGATGGAAGCACGCAGTCACCCTTGGGAACCGACTTTGGGCAATTTCTGATCGATGATGATTTCAACTTTTTGGACGTCTTCACTGATATGGCCCATCAATTGTGAGGACTACGCGAAATAATACTTGTCAAGGTTGAATAGGTATTTGTCGCTTTAGCCATGAACAGGATATCGCTGAGTCGTAAAGGATGTACGTACTAATAGCTCCTGGATACCATTTATACGACTGCTACGTCTGCTCGTTGCACGAATTACCCGAAGTATTGATTGGAGGGCCAAGGACTTTGATTTTGATAGCTACGGACATACTACCTCGACAAAGAGTAATGGATCTGACCATGTTCATTCCTTCCATCCCCATTCAACTTCCCGCAGCCTGTACTTGTTCGCTGATCAGTACAATCAGGGCAAGTTCATCAGTATGTGTACCGATACGAAGGATGTTTGTCGCCAAGAGCGTTTTGTTCTGCTTGGGGAAGGGAGAGCAAGTAGTCCCTCGCGCCACTGTCCTTCTGGTGGTTTTCGTAGCGTGCATAGAAGAAAAAGGCGGTACCAACAATGATGGTAAGGGCAGTCATTGCTAGCGAGATGCCATAGCCAGTATGATAGACAGGGGCCTCTCTTGAGAGATAGACGTTGCTCCCCATAATGCTTCCGCAGTTGCCGAAGGCAAGCATTATTGCGGTTGAAATTCCTCTCCGCTTTTGTCCGACAATATTGTTGTTCAGCCAAGTGATTGAGATGGTAATGGCGGCAAAGACACCTCCAACGACCAGGAAAATGGCGAAATATCGGACCCCGACAGAGACTGACTGACCTGCAATAAGCAAGGCATACCCAATAACACTGAAAACAAGAGGTACGGCCGAAAATAAATAACGATGATTTGCCCAGTCGGAGCCGAACCCAGCGGTGATTGATGTTACAACGGCGAACATCCACACTGGAATGCTCATGTACTGTGCCTTCAGCGAGGTCCAACCCAACTCTCGCAGGATAGTCGGAAGGAAGTATGAGGATGAGGCACCAGTGACCGCGGTACCGAAATACATTAGAGCGCTAATTCAAGTTAGCGATCATTATATACTGCAGGGAACACGAGAACTTACGCAAAATACACCTTCGGGTCCTTCAAGCATTCCTTGAAGACCACCCAGGTGGATTTGTCCTCCACATACTCGTTGTGGTCCCTGGCAAGTTTTACCAGTAGCACTCGGCGTTCATCCTCACTCAGGTGAGTGTTCTGCTCTGGCCAGTCGGGCAAGGTGAACCAAGTGAAAACAGCCACGAGACACGTAAAGATTCCTTCGAGGAGGAAAATCCACCTCCAGGCCGCATAACCACCTACACCCTCCATGTGCGCTATTGCATAAGCCAACAACTTCAAACCAATAAAGTCAGTGAGGATCATCCCCGCTTGCGAAAGATGAGAAACAACTTACCCCACCAAAGGCTGTGGAAACAGAGCCCGCGGCGTAGTAAACGTTCATGCGTGCATGTAGCTCGTAGCGGGTGTAATACATCGCAAGTAGAAAGATGGCACCTGGGTACTTATTAGTTCTGGGCTTGTAGATTTTGACATACTCCATGTATATGATATTCGTTCGACCAATGATAAACTCACCAGGAAAATATCCGGCTTCCAAAGCTCCCAGAAGCACACGACAGACGACAAGTCCGGCAAAACTGCGTGTCAATCCCTCGCCGATGGTGACAAGGCCTGTTGGGAGATGGTCAGATCAGGTTCAAGTAGAGAGTAGAGAAACGCAGAATATGACGGCTACACCTACCCCAGGCGAACATCAGCGTGCTCAAATATCGAGATGGCCTTAACTTTTTCATGATCATGTTGCAGGGAATATCGAGTAGAAGGTAGGGAATGAAGAAGACAAAGAGCGCGATGTTGTAGTCGGTGCCCTTCATGCCTAGGTCGGCCTCAAGTCCCTGGATTCTCGCATTGCCAATGTTGGTGCGGTCGAGGAAAGCAACAATAAGCAGAAGACAGAGCATTGGAACAAGAACAAAGTCGACCTTGCGCGTGACTTTGCGCTCTGCAACGTGATCAATCTCATGCTCAGAAGCAGTCTCGATTTCTTCGCCATTCAGTTTCTCAGCGAACACGACTTCTGCCGGTCCCGTTTCGTTTCCAACAATGTTCATGACTGCAGGTTGGTGTTCTCGCTGTGGTTTCCAAGAATATGATACTCTTCGGGAGAGGAATACTGAAAACTTGGATAGTATAGACATATCGTACCTTACTCCCCCGTGGGGATCGTCGTGTCTTTATGATCAATATCTGGGGTTATGGCTAGAATGATGTCTCGAGAATTGTCTTTAGCAGATCTTGGCAGCATCACGCCTCAAAGGCGACTCCTCAGCCCGGGGCCGGTTCGGATGATGGAAGCCGTAGTCAGTATTCAAAAAGAAGGGATGTTCCTTCATACCCGCAAATCGCGCCAAAAGGTGTGGAGTTCTCGGGGGTGGGGAAGTTGGGGCACATCATCCGTTCCAAAGATCGTCGACATATTGTCGACTTTTACAACGGCACGGCATGTTACCTGCTCTTATTAGGACAATTTTCTGTCGGAATATCGTCAAGACACAGATCTCGGATCTGGGACCCTGTAGACTTCAATGGGGTAACGTCGGAACTCTCTCATAGTACATTTTTGCGCCGTGCTGGCGAAGTCGAGATGAGTCTTCAGGTGCATTTGTGAATCGGGCCTGCTAAACCGACATCTGGACATTCTGATTTACGAAAGGCGCATGTTCAAGTTATTTGTTGACATGGATCGATTTTCTCGGCTTGGATAATCTCGTGAGACTACCTTTTGCCTTTGTACTCAGACTTTGCCTTGCAGCCTTTGTCGAGATTGCTGTCCTCGTGTAGGCTAGCTGTACTATACTTTAGAACTATCTCGTAGAACCATACATTGATAGGTGGACAACAGCAGACTGGGCTGAGAGTGCAGTGTGGGTTTGAAGCCTCGCAATGTGTACAGGTCCCTGATGTAGTATATATCTTTCCAATCTCTGTACCAGCGATGAAAGTATACCTCACACCGATCATTCTTGGGTCAGATGGGGAAGAATTCGACACGTCTCATAGGTTCTGGTGCCGTAGATGGTGCGAGAGATATGCGATATCTACGGAATATGGGACCTAGATGGATATGGAGTTGCATATTTGCTAGACTAAACGCAAAGACATGTAAGCACTACCATTCCATCGGGCGGGAAGTAGTGAAAACTTATTTGAGACCAATGCAAGATCGTGGTCTAGCAAAGAATGGGAGAAATTTCAATTTCATCGAAGGAGTGGCATCGAGCCAGCGCTCTGGAACGAAGTTCCCAGAATCTGGACAGACCTCCACATTACGATGTTTGATGCATGCCTGCATTATAACAACGATGCCTTCCGGAATATAATAGCCTGCAATGTCGAGGCCTCATGCCGGTGAAGTTCTTTCCAGATATGACGGAATAGGTGCATGAAACCTCAAGCCTTCGCGAAAATTCCGTCTAAAAACGGCAGGTTCTCCAGAGTCGTAAGTTCCAAAGGCTGTTGCGGATCAGGAAATGCTTCTTGAAGTCCCTCAAAGAGTTTCGCTTGAATATCCTGGCGCGATGCCAGTTCCCAAGTCGTGAACCTGGCCGTGTTAGCGGTAGTGTCTGAACCAGTGTTCCTGATCGGACATCCTATGTTACTTCGGAGACTGCTTATTCCTAGCTGCTCTGCTGTCGCCCGAAAGGCGTCGAACTAAGGATCGTCGAGGTAGAGACCCCTGAGAGGATCTCCGGTATTGGTGAAGTCGTTTATAATCGCACCGACGAATCCATATTTTCCTACGCAACGTTCGAGCTCTGTAGTTGCTGCCTCCCCATTGTAAGTTAGAAGAGTCGCAAAGGCAAAGAATCTCTCTCGATACTTTTAACAGTATTCCTCATAGACATACTGATTAGCTGTATGATAGAAATTAATTGCTTCCTCCGCCTTAACGAATGCTTAGGCCGTTGGTTAATTTACTGAAAGTATTTGTGCCCCAATGTTATCAGCATCCATCACCTTCAGTCGAAATGGGGTATCCCCTAGTCGATCGTTGAGGCCCGAAATGAAGGCATGCTTGAAAGTCCTAAGCGTGGTCGATATGCCGGGTGTTGGGAATGGAGTAACCGCATTCTCTCCCAGCGCAATTAATCGAGCTCGCTTCCGCTCTGAATAGAGAGGAGCAAACGTCGACGCTGGTCTGCCTTCGATCTCCAACGTGCTAGATGCAGCCATCTTTTACTTGCACAGAGACCTTGCTAGATGTCGACCAGAAGAGATGTAATGGTCACTGTAGGCCGCTTGTGATAGTAGCCGGGTATTTCGGAGGGTATTTCGGAAGGCATTCCGCGACATCAAGAAGCCCGCAGGCATTTTGGGGGGACCCAGTCTTAAGACCACGCAGTCCTAGAGAGATTTCCAGCGAATGCCGTCCCTATTTGTAGATTGTCATTGCGCCTTTCCAGATAGTTCAGCGGTTAAAGAGGGTCGATGTTCTTACCCCGAGCTTTCTGAAATGCGAACTGATGGGAACAATTAATGAAGTTTCACGTCCCGGTGACAACATCGTGAAGGAGAAGAATAAGGCTGCTGACGACATTCAAGTTTCCCTCTACGAGCTATTCTGTTGAAAGACCTGACAGTACGATCAACACAAACCGGATTGATAGAAGACATTGAAGAAGCTCTGTCTCTTTCAGCTAGTGGTCTAATTGAGAGCAGAGTCGAGCTTCTGAGAATGTCAGAGTTGAACAATGCATTGGATCGACTGAAAGGAGGGGATGTAATGGGCAAGCTTGTTATGATCTCCGATAGCTTCCCTTCAAAACAGTATTTCACAATCTAAAGTCAGTATTTTTGGAGGAATTCTCATCTATCAACTTCTATAATCGTCCACGAGTGAAGTTCGTCCCAGCTAAATTTAAGTCTATCGGGAAGTCACATTCGTCCCGGTCAAATAGGGATAATTCGGATGCCTCCCGGACCAGATTCGGGAATTGAAAAGGCAGAAGTATTGAGGACGTTTCAAACCAAGGGTGCAAACGTGAAGCTTTAGAGCAAGGTACCTATCAACTGACGAGACGCTTGCCTTTCACTATTTAGCCCACCTCTCGAACGAGACTGCTCGAAGCGAGGATTCCCTTTTTATTATTCTCAGGCTTCATCATGACAGATTCATTCGAGGTAAGATTATCCATATGTTTCGTTGTATGCTCACTTCTTTACGCCTTGCAGCTCTATCGCGACCTCATCCACGCGAACCACATACTACACCATCATAGCGTGGTCGATGCCTTTGGCCACATTAGCGTACGACATCCAGCAGACTCTTCACAGTTCATCATGTCCGCCAACATGGCTCCTGCACTAGTCCGTACGCCAGACGACTTGGTCGAATATCGGGTCGAGGATGCACAACCTGCGCACGAGGGTGCCAGACGTGGATTTCTGGAAAGATATATTCATTCAGAGATCTATAAGCGTTTCCCAGATGTGCAGAGCGTTGTCCATGCGCATGCACACCAAGTGCTTCCATACGCGATATCTGGTGTACCATTCCTACCATGTGGTCATATGGCAGGCTTTCTTGGTATGTTTCAACATTGAGAAGACGGATATTCAGCATATACCGAGTACATCAACTGACAACTTCTACTCCAACAATAGGTTCAAAAGTCCCTGTTTACGATATCCAGGAATACTACAAACCCCAAGACTCACATGACCTTTTGGTGAATAGCATTCAACTCGGCGCTAGCCTCGCAAAGTTATTTTCTTCCTCGGAAGCCCAGCTTAGATTTCCCGAACATGAATTCGTCTTGATGCGACGCCACGGCTTCACAACTGTGGGACGTAATATCAAAGACGCGGTCTACCATGCTGTGTACGCGATCCAAAATGCCAACATACTAACAACAAGCCTGTTGGTCCGCGCGGGGTTTGAACAGCTACAGGCAAGGAGTGATGCAAGTAACAGAGCTGAGGTGCTGCATGACATGGAGGGCTTGACAAATGTTCAAATGAGGGACTGCGAACGAAATGTGCGTGGTGGGATTGCGAGGCCTTGGGGGCTGTGGGTGCAAGAGGTCAAGACTTTGCCCTTGTACACGAGCAAAGTCGAGTAGAAATGGGTGTGATCGGCGTATTCTCTGAGTCTGCTAATCATCGAGACTGTCTCAAATACACACATTGAGCTCGTGTCCTGTTGCTCATCTATGCATGGTCACTCTGGACCTTCGAAGTAGGCTCAGCCACTTGGAGTGGTCAACCCTATCTTGTTGAACAAGGACTTGACAAACTTGCTGCCACTCGCAGTACAGAACCGGTGGTTCCCGTCGAAAACTTCAGCTTTGACTGACGGACTGTTCTGATAAAAATAGGTGGTGCACATTCAGCATAGTGCATTTGGCTTTGCAAGTTTGGTGTATGGTTCGAGGTTGTCCAGAATTCATACTCCATATGGACCTACTGTAAGAAGGCAATAATTGTCTTCCTACGTGGGGTCGGTTTTGCGTCCGAGGACGCGTCTCGTATCGCAGACGGCACTCCACGGGGATATAGATATCCGAAGCTATGCGTCAGCAGTGGTACGCATTCTCGCCCATCCGTGTGCTGGATTGGTCACTTCCGAGCTGCCCATTTAAGTGGCCCGCGAGGGACCCCTGGATGAGGTTATTCGTTGATCGCTGCGCCATTTCTCCAGACAAAGGCAACAACTTCTAGTCATGACTATGCCGAGTTCTCTGCAGTATTTGCTCAGCTTAAGTCCGAAAACCCATCCATTCAACGCCGCCCCTTTGGTCATCGGGGTATCATTGCAAAATCCGATCTAGGCAGAACTTGGAGCTTGATTGGAGATAAGGATGAAGCCCAGCTATCGGTCATCGACAATCATCAGATCGACATGGGAATAGCTTGAGCATCGTGGTATTTGAGATGCTTCCAATATGTATTGGTGGAGGTACTTTCTCCAGGTAAGCTGAGTCTCAAGCAACTGTCTATGGTTATGACAATGACGTCGTCTCAGTTGACAAACACAAATCTACGGTGTCTTCATGTAAGTCATGCGCTTGAAGGTAGGTACCCTGCGACTTTGATTGATCAGACCACAGTGGTGGGTGATGAGAGTTAGGTACCGATCCGGGTGTAATAATGGAATCATTTGGCATTACTGAACAAGGTTGCCTGACAAGATTCAGGCCGACGGGCGGCTGAATGTTAGGGTTTTCAGGCTCCCAGGGCAAGGCACGTTAATTCAGTCCAGGCCCCGGGGGCCTCTGGGCCTAAGAAAACCGACCCCACCACTCCACCTCCAAGGAACGTTTTGGCCCCCAATGCACGACGACTGCTGCGACTTTTGTCGAACTAATTGCGCAGGCAAGGTCTACTGCACAGATGTGGCGACGCCGGAGCCGATGTCCTCGACTGTGGCTTTCCAGAGCAAGTAGATTCATGTCCTTTATCCCAAGATCCTTCTGATCCATCGCTACTTAGAGCATACAGAATAACACTTCCCTCTATCGAGTTGCCCATCCATCAAAATCGTGTACCTCGTTATCCCTGATGTAATTCATCCTTGCATAGGATTTTGCATAACCGTCTCTTAAATCATAGAACACATTGGCTGTTCATCAACCTTGGTCGAGCCAATCTGCCTGTTGTACATGATATCATGGCTCGAAACCGTAGAGCCCGTTGAATGCTGTGCTGAAACGAGTGAAAACCTGCAAGCCTGCTCAGGCATAGAATCCGATGTCGGTCCACCTTGTCTTTGACCTTTTCCACCTCATCACGCCTTATCGCGAGTCGACGCACGAACCTCATATGTGTGCAGTCGACGGGTATCTTAGAATGGCCCATGGGGCAAGTGATTCGTAGAGTAACATTGGGAAATGACTACCCATGCGGGGGATAGAGGCGCCCAAACGCCCAACGATGCCAGCAATGCGTTGGATGCGTCCCTAGATGTCTCCGCTGGAATCGCGTTGAAAACTGCAAGGGCTTTGCTTCATCGCCGGCCAGATCCTGAATGATTGCCAGCGCTCGAGTAGCCCGAGTCACGCCAGGGTCGCCCCCCTGCTGGAGGGGAGTCTTCTTGGGTAGAAGTTCCGGTTCGTCGCTGTACCGCGTGCTTGGGACATGTGAATCCCACCAGGACCGTTTTCTCCGTTGTTGTGTGTCCTTGCTGCCCATATCGTTGGCACGGGTCGACCGAATGCTTGTGGTAGACGCAACGACATACGGCATATCTCTCCGTAATTTGATAGCACATGTTGACGCCTTGCAAAAGAAATTGACAGTGGAAGAAACAAAGAGAGAAGATCAACGAGGGAGGTAAGCTCATGAATGAGAAAATCGCATGACTTGAAGCGTGAATAATGGTGTGAAGTCGAACCTACAATTCTGATCGTCGCATGTCTTATAGCAAAGATATCTCGACTGCAGCCTTCGACTCCCACCAATCAGCGACAGGTCAACCTCGACCCAGTCAGACGGAAGGTTCGCAACAATAAGACTCATTTAGATCGGACAAGATATCATCCAATAGCGACACAGAATGAGGGCATTTCCATTTCCAGAAGAGTTGTAGTTGTAGTGTAAGAAGCCACAAAAGCCACACCAAGGCGCATGGTAAGGGCAGGACAGAATCTCCGGAAACCACGTTGAGCCCATGCCACTCTTTTACCAATCAAAAGTCTGGGCAAGTTGTTAGGATAGAAGCAGAGTGCGGCCTTAACTGAAAGTCATCCCGCCAATGGGAATGTCAAGATGGCTTTTGCAAATCATCTGGTGTTGCCTCAACAGTTGGGTCCGAAAGCGTGTATCGAGAGGGAAGCTAGAAAAGATCTCCAAGATGACTCGGTCGACAGAGTAGGCTGATAGTAAGCCCCTCGGCATCAGTTAAGGCTTAGTTTTAGAACCACAGCCAAGGGACCGAAGGTCGTCACCCAAGATGGCGCAAGCCTATAACGGGGGAGAAACACGAGGAGACGTGGCCAAGAGGACCCCTCCAACCAGGAACCCGGCTGGCAATGGCCATGTCCGTCTGAGGAGAGCATTTTTCTGAGGCTGAACTGCGCTTGACTTCGTCCGGAAGGCGGGGCCGTCCATCGCTGAGCTTCAACTCCGTAATAATGAATCACTCTTGCATCGATCCTCTTCCTCCTCTTCTGTCGCGCTAGATTCTCGATCCGAATCCCGCAGGACAGTCTAGTGTATTACGATCCTTGAAGATGGATCAGAGAAGGTCATTTCGAGTCAACTGTTGGATCACAAATCACGAGAATACGGAAGAGCACAATGGCAGCCTGCAGTCCCGCTACGGTTCCAACGGGGGCGGACGTCGCGCAACGAATCATGAGGAATTGCTACATCCCCGCAAGTGATCAGATGTTCATGACATGGCGTGGCAAAATCACCATGTCGTTGACTGCATCAAATTCTATAGAAGTGGCAAGTGACCTTCAACTTCATGGGAGAGCATAGGCCAAGATGCAATGATGACAAAAGCCACTAGGTCATGTATGAAGAGGTGAGACTGCATGTGACTTGATCAATCCTATATTTTTTGATTTCGTAGATTTGGCCCTCCTTGTATAGCTAGCAGAGCTAGGTATCTAGGCAGCTAATGCTTGATCCTGCAAGTCGATGTGTTGAGTAATCCCTTGCCCCAAGATTGCTCGCCTATCACAGCTCAGAAGGCTGAGAGTCTCTTCAAAAGGCGTTTCAGCTGTGTTATTGGCTCGCTCGTACGCCACGGATCCTAAGGGTCTAAAGTCAGACTTGGACTCAATTCCCGCGCGACGACGAGCTTGGATATACCAATGAAGCTTCCAAGATGTTTTGCATCTGCTATTTTCGCCCGATAGCCAACCTTTGCTCTAACCTGGCCTAGCACAAGGCTGAATCGATGCTCCTTACAAGTCAGACTTAAGTCTAAGGCCGATTCTAGCAACAGATCGCAGAAGAGGTCCATCATACCGATTGTTTCTGAGGCGGGACGTTCCGAACGCCGTATGAAGATACGAATTGGCCCTACCAGCCTCGCCTAGGGCCACAACTAAAAGCGTCAATGGCGTGATGACTTCTTCTCCAGCCATACATGTTCCAGAACAATCGATTCATACGTATTCCTCTCAACATCGATCACGGATTGTCGCGTCACATCTACCCTGTCCTCGAGACACTGCCACTAACTAGCATGAAATAGCCAGTCGGTGTCCGGGTTGGGAACTGCGAAATTGGGTATCAAAGCACCATTGATCAACGAAATATCGGGGGCTGCTTCGCCCATTGACTGCGGTTGGGGGGTTTCCAGCATCTCCTGACCAATCGGAGGCCGTGGAAAGTTGAAGAGGTCGAAAACATCGAGATACTCGAGCTCGTTAGGGGCTGGAGTATTGGCCCTAGTCGGATGGTATGACTTGATAACAGCAGCATGGGGCTGGCGAGATATCAGAAAGTCAAGATCATAAGCACACCTGAATTGCGATATGAGCATTATAACCAGTGAACATGAGCAGAAGCCTTACCTTCGCATGTCGGCCAGTATCTTCACCGTCGACGGTGTCACTCTCTCTCCGGTCACTCCACTTGTCTTCTGCGACTGGCGATACTCTTCCAACACTCTGCTGAGAATTTCACTATACCTTTTTGCAACTTGCCACTGTTCTCCCATCTCCGAAAGAGTGGCAACAAGTGAGTCGATGTCGGGGTCCACTTCATGATCCATAGTGGAGCCATGAACCAGTGTGACACGAGCTCCAACCCAGACGGCAAATGCAAAAGGAGGTCCAAGTTTATCAAGCAGGTTACTGAGCCTGACAAAATGACACAACTGGCGTAAATTGTCGACACCTGATACACATCGCTGCATGGCGCTGTAAGATGATGAGAAGATCGGCGATGTCTGGCTTGGGTATGCTGCCGACGAATTCAGCCGGATCACGGTGAGATAGTATGCCGCATGCAGCATCACCCACCCGCAGCTGATATTCTTAGCGGGAACATTGCTTTTGATGTATCGAGTGACGCTTGCGAAATCATCTGGCAGACTGAAGTGCCATGCATTCAAATCGCTATCAAGTGCACGATAGGATGACTGCCATTGTTCTACATCAGACAGAGAACCAATATCGACAGGTCGTTTCAGAAACTGATGCACCTGACCCAGAATAGCCATAAGCTCACAATGGTAGGAAAAGTGCCCGTGATTATCCGCGAGTGCAGTCGCATACCGTGTGCGTTCCTGCGGTCGAAACCATCTGGTCTCGACGAACTTGTTGGCAGCGAAAAGATCATCTCGACAGGGCAGTTTGCGGTCCACCTCCCTTTCATCCAGCGCAAAATCGAAAGCAGTAGCCACAGTGGCATACCTGTCCAGGATATAGATGGCCCAAAACAAGCGGCGTCGCTCCTCATCCTCGATCCAGGTTTTTGGCTCGGCCAACACGCAGGCCCTCAACGTCGCAATAGAAGGATACATTGGTGAAGTTCGGGAGGAGGTGGGCTCCATCGCAAGACCGAGTTGAACCATACTTCTGCTAATCAGAGCCAGCAGATTCCATGCAGGTGGCCCATTAGTCGTTCCAGTGATGTCCAGAGCAAGGATTATCAGAGCTTGCAAGGCTCGGACGTTTGAGTTCTCTAGGCCGAACAATTGAACACGTTGCTTTGACGTATCATGATAATGCTGTCTGCTTTGAGTAGTGAGTCGAGGGTCGGTTGAGAAACGGAGAGTTGTTGCAACTATTGCATGTAACAAGACCCTGTCTGGCTCGTCCAAGGCTGAAGGTCCAAATAGCGTATCGAGCGTGCTTTTTCGATCAAGCAAAGGAAACCAGACATTGATGTGCTTGAAGTAAAGATCAACGAAGGAATATAGCATGTCATATGGCGGAAGCAATGCAAAGCGGTCATTGAGAGATTGTGTACCATGGTATGCACCAGCCGAGTGAGGTGAAGTGAGGGATTGTGCAGAGGGAGTATAGTAGCTCGAAGCCTGTATGCCTTGGCTGTCCGGAAGGGGTTGTGATTGAAACCCTGAAAGGCACTGCAAGGAATTCTGGCGGGATGTCGAAGGCTTGAGCGTGGGATCAAGAACTTGAGGCTGGTTCTGGAAGGTGCCATCAATACCGAAGTGCGTTGCCTGCGGTTCGAAGATAGCTCGATGCTGATGCTCAGGGCTAACAGCCTGATCGTTAGGGTGGGTAATGTTATCCTTGACCCCAGATATAGAAGCCTTGGAACTGGGGCCACACGATGCTTTGAGATGCTCAGCTAGCTGCCGACCTTGCTCATGAAGAAGAGTCTCGAGCTCGTCAAGCCTTGCTTCAAGCTCACGTCCATAGCCTGCCCTTAGGCCGGGCTTTTTCCTCTCTTTATATTCGCATGGATTATCATTTCTAGAACACCACCCACAGGCGGGCTGGGCGCGATCTGGAAGGTTAGTGAGTGATGTCAGGTGATACCTGCACAGATGGACATACCACACTTGACCTTTCGTTGTTTACATGCTTCGCATCTACCAGGTATGGGCATCAGCAACCTCTGGACTTGGAGCACAATCGCAATTTTGAGATGGGGACATGGCGAGCAAAGAATATGACGACAGATGGAGGTTGTCAGATGATGCTTACGTGACATTCATAGCCCTTTTACGTTTCTTGGATGCATCCCTCTCATCTTCAGACCCAGAATCTGAGTGAGAGGTCGAGGCCGACGATCGGCGGGGACGCGATTGAGCGGCCAGATTGCCATTGTTGCCATACAGAAGGTAATTGGGATCATTCATGGTGGATTCGGTTCTGCCCACCATGATGACATTATCCCGCGAAGGTGAAAGGAGGATCTCGGAGCGACATTGTCTGATGACCGAAGCTGTAAGAAATTAGGAGGAGGGATTGGCGGAATCACGTGCGTGAGATCTGTGTCATGTGACCTTGGCACTTTGTTCTTCGGACAAATACGAAAACCGACATGCTGCTTTACGCCTCCCGGTCTTCAATGTACCGATCAGCCGAACGAAATAGTGGCCATCTTCACTTCATACGAAAAGCTACGTGTCTTGGAAACGGTGTGCGGGCCTTGGGATATAGCTTCTCCAACAAGCCCGAACTGTTTATTAGAATTGTGTTCTTCATCAATGGATGTTCTTCTCTTCGCTTTCATGACCGATAGTTTATCCAATAGTCAGGACATATAGGTACAGTTTGCTTCGTCTCTTGAGAGACACCACTCTTTCATCATGGCCACTATCAAAGACTTTCCCATCATTAAGACTGTACGAACTTTTGTGATCCAAGGTGTTGGGTCGGGTGGTGATTATCACAATGTCAAAGGTGGCCACTGGCTCATCGATAACAAAATCGCCACGCCAATGTCGAAATGGGAGAAATACCGGCAGTCCAGGACGTCATTTGGTATCAATGTCTTGGGATCATTTTGCGTCGAGATAGAGGCCACGGACGGAACCAAGGGCTTTGCTACTGGATTTGGAGGGCCGCCTGGCTGCTGGCTGGTCCAACAGCATTTCGAGAGATTTCTCATTGGCCGTGATCCACGGGATCTCAATGACATCTATGAGCAAATGTATCGAGCTTCCATGTTCTATGGCCGCAAAGGACTACCAGTCGCCGTGATCTCAGTCCTAGATCTGGCTCTGTGGGATCTTCTGGGAAAGATCCGAAACGAGCCAGTCTACAAGATGATTGGTGGAGCAACACGAGACAAGCTACATTTCTATTGTACAGGCCCTGAGCCTGCTGCAGCCAAGAAGATGGGCTTCTCTGGCGGTAAGGTTCCATTGCCCTACAGTCCAGAGGAGCCTGAGAGTTTGAAGAAGAACATCGAGTTCCTCAAAAACCACCGCCAAGACATCGGGCCTGATTTCCCCCTGCGGGTCGACTGCTGGATGTCTTTGAATGTGCAATATACCATTGAGTTGGTCTCAGAAGCCAAGAGACAGGATATCGGAGTCGATTGGTGGGAGGAGGTTCTTTCACCAGATGACTTCGACGGATTTGCGTTACTGAAGAGGGCCCATCCTGATACCAAGTTCACCACCGGTGTAAGCTTTGCCCCTAACATGAAAAAGCGCCAGGACTGACCCGAAATAGGAACATGAATATTCCCGGTATGGATTCCGAAAATTGGTTGAAGGCCGAAATGTAGATATCATTCAGCCTGATGTCATGTGGCTGGGAGGTCTCACTGAGCTACTCAAGGTGTCCGCGCTGGCGGCAGCATATGACATTCCAGTTGTTCCACACGCTTCAGGCCCGTACTCGTACCACTTTGTCGTCAGCCAGCATAACTCACCATTCCAAGAATATTTGGCCAACAGTCCGGATGGCAAGAGTGTCCAACCTGTCTTTGGAGACCTGTTTCTGAATGAACCAATTCCTGAGCATGGATATCTCGATGTCAGTGTGTTGGACAAACCAGGCTTTGGTTTGGAGTTGAACCCAAACGCTCGTTTGGTCGACGCCACAAACCTCCTAGGCTTTGCACCCCAAAAGTCGTTGTCGTTGCCGGTCGAAACAAATGGTGAGACCAAGGTTAATGGAAACCATGTTTAGGCGAACAGGTCGAAGGTCCAACAGAGCTCAAGTGAGGCGTTTGCTCAGAGGGACAAGGTGACGTGAACGCTTAACTTTTGGTGAGCGAATCGTTGTGGTTGGCTGGGTGTCAATGCATCCGCATCCTGAGAAGGACCATGGAAAGGGGACATGTGCCGAATACTGCAAGCGAATGCAACGCTTCATTGCCTGGATTTCACTCTGAAAGCGCTCGTAGCTGTTCAGGCACATCGGGGATCTGATCTAGAAAATAGAGGCCGCCGCGCAGCTCGAATCGCATGAGACGTCGGCCTCGATCCTGGACAATGAGGCTGCCATCATCATGCTCGACCAGCTTGAGGTGAACTCCTTTCGCTCGTTTCAGCTGAGACCATGAAATCAGATTGACGCCAGCCTCAGGGATATGAGACACATTCTTGAGAGTAAGCCGGTAAACTGAGCGGGTTCGCGGTCCTCCACCCTGGTCATCCGAAGCTAGCTTTACAGCCCCGGTTGAGGGAAGAGTGAATGTGACATCTCCAGCGCCAACGATGGCAATGGGATTAGGTCCAAAATATCCGACCGCCCTCGGGTCCACTCGGTTATTGTACGGGTTGAGTCGGTCGTAGCCATGTAGCAGTGAGCGATTAGTACATACGTGAGTGGTGGCACCAGTATCGAAAATCCAATCAGTATTAGTAGCTGTTTTACGCATCGCGTCCGTTGGTGTTGGTAGTGATTTGGGTATTGGCCCTGGAGCCAGTATCACCCCGGTGTCAGCAGGTGGTGGCGTCGATGGTTCTTTCTATCGTGGAAGGGTCAAAACCGCGTCAAGCGCCACAGGTTAAAGCAAACGTGTGGGAAGATACCTTTAGGTGTTGGTAACGAATGATTGTCGCGTCATCCTGGCGATGGATTGAGATGCGAGGCGTCATAGACTGATGATCAATATCGATTAGCCGAGCTTTGCCACAGTCATGATATACTCACCAAAGCCCCCAGAAAAGTTATCATTCCAGATACAGTGACCAGAGCCTGGATTTTGGAGGATCCTTGACGCGCCATTCGTGCGTAGTGAAGGTCGCCGCTCGTAAGTTAAGCGTCTATGATAATCCAATTCCAACCACTAACTCAGATGCGGACCACATCGGACGACCCTGTTACCTAGACTTATCGTCAGATGTATCCCAATGAAGTTGTCGTCCACGTGTGATGCCTAAGATTTCAAATCCGTGGCCAAGAATTCTGTGGGTTAGCTTTACTATTGCTAGCGGCCGAGGGTGCCGGGGGGCGAGGGGCGTGCTGCGAGCTTAAGATTTTCTTTCAGGCACCCGGCCAACAGTAGATTGAAGATCTGGCATAGGCGATGACGCTTGAAACCTTGACTGGTCCACTCGTATCTTGAACCTAGGATTGGGGGAGAGTTCTCCCCCGCCTCGGCTTTTCTTGACCCGGAAGCGAAACATCATCCTGAGAGTTTGAACTTCGAGCAAGAATGTAAAGTTGTCTTTCAGCTCTTTGCTTTTGGTATCCGGATATACCACGGAGACGAAGTACGATGTCTGTAACTGGTAAAAGATAGGTGCATGTGCCGCGACATTTGGCATTCGAACACCACAACGCATCCTCCACCCGACGACTAGCATCAAGCTCGATCATCATCACTCAGCATTGACAAGGGGGGAACCATTCTAGATGCCTCTTCCGCCCCTTCTGTCTAGCCATGTTGTCGCCATCACGGGGGGTCTTACAGGCATCGGAAGGGCAATTGCAATACTGTTCCTCTCCCACAGGGCCAAAGTCTCCATCAACTATCTCTCCTCACACAACAAAGACGAAGAAATCCTCCTCAATTCACTTCGGACGGATGCTTTGGATGCAATACGGTCTCGCGATCCATCCTCGTCAATTCAGACGGAGGATGAAGTCCCCTTGCTGACCGTCGCGGGGGATATATCCCAGCCGGGGACAGGACAGGACCTAGTGGCAAAGACAGTTGCACAGTTCGGGAGGCTGGACACCTTTGTGTCGAATGCTGGGATCTGCAAATTTGAGGAATTCCTGGATATCGTCCCAGAGTCTTTCCAAAGACATCTGGACACCAACCTCTCTGGATCTTTCTACGCTGTCCAAGCTGCCGCTAGGCAGATGACCAAGCAGCAGCCCCAAGGTGGATCCATTATTGGAATTTCAAGCATTTCTGCTCTCGTCGGCGGAGCTCAACAATGCCACTATACCCCAACAAAGGCGGGTATCTTGTCTCTTATGCAGTCTACTGCCACGGCATTGGGGAGGTACAATATCAGGTGTAATGCTTTGCTACCGGGAACCATCCGCACTCAGTTGAACGATGATGACCTGAAGGACGGCAGTGACAAGAAAGCGTATATGGAAGACAGGATCCCTCTAGGAAGACTTGGTCGGCCGGATGACATGGCTGGTCCAGCATTGTTTCTGGCCTGTGGTGAATTATCGTCTTATGTCACCGGAGCCACATTGCTGGTGGATGGAGGCGCATTTGTCAACTTCCAATAATTCAGATTCACACATGTCAGTCCATTGCAAGGTTATAAGCTTTGATCGCCGTCCCTGACCATATCTGAGCCCTTGATTTGGTGTCCAGATCACGGGAATCGAGCATTCCTTCCACCAGATCATGCCAATACTGCCATGACTTCTGAATTCCCATTCCTCCAAGATTGACTACCGGCCAATCCGAGCCAAACAATATCCGGGAAGGCGTGAAGGCGTCAAAGATGACATCTGCCCATGGTTTAGTCTGCGTCAACATCTCTTCGATGTCCAACGGATTATTCTCGTCTTGCGGTGGCAGTTCCGTCATCCATCCGGACAGCTTCATGTATGCAAAGGGATATTTGGCCAGTTGCTCCACGTGCCTTTTCCACTCCACGTACTGAGGATGTGCATTCTGTATATCTGTCGCCGTGAGAGCCATATTGGGCTTGCAGAAATGGTCCAGAATGACTCTGACGTGGCTGCCAAAGTCTTGTAGTCGTTGCAATAGCTCCACTGCTTCTACCAGCTGGTGCATGCCACCCCGATGTGAATCAACGCCAAGGTCGAACGACAGGCCTTTCTCTCCCATATATCGTAGTCCATCGACAAACTCGGGCTGCAACATTACACCTGGTTTTTTGTCTTGTAGGAGATATCTGAATCCGCTGAGCCTTTTGGGAATCCCAGCTTCGGCAAACTTAGACTCCAATTCTTCCACGTACTGCTTCAGTAGAGTTAGGCCAGCAGGAATTGGTGCCCAAGGTACGACTCCTAGGACTAGCTTGCTGTCTTCAGTTGAGTGACCTTCACCTCCAATGGGCGTTCCTTTCGCAATTCGGATCAAGAAATCCACTTCGTCATAAGGGGCTTGCCATTCCGTGCTCTCTAGACCGGACTTGCGATCAGTCTCCAGGAAGACAAATCCAACCAGGTTGGCTTGTTCACCTGCGGCAGCTTTATATTCGTCAACACTGTTTTGTCGATTGAGCGGGAAGTCTTCAGCAAGGTCTGTGGCCCAAGCCAACGATGGGATGTGTGTCTTTGCGTACAAGTGGATATGAGAATCGATGATCGGGAATGCTCCGGAATCACAACGTTGAGACCCCATGGTACACGAACTGACCAGAATGTTTCCTCAAAATTGACACCTGGCCATCCCGCAAAACGTTCATAGCTGTCATGAAGAGAGGTGGGGGAACAGAGACTACGGATTCTCCCAGCCATGGTGGGTTACACAAGGATTTTCTAAATACGAACACAAACACGTCGTCCACTCGGCACTCGGTGTGAGTGGCTCCGATTTGGCTGGGTTCATCACGCGAGACACCATAGCATCTTACGTGGCAATAAACTTTCTGATTTGTCTCTGACGAGTGGGAGAGTTCTCTAAGCGCTCCAATCCCCATTTTGCTTCAGGTTCGATTTGGTTCCAGCTTGCATCCTCTTCCTCTCCGACTCCAAAGTCCACGGTACATAGGTATGTCCGAGGGGTATATTGGTGTTTTCAAAGCGCGTTCCATGAAGCAAATGTTCCAAACATGACTCATAGCTGTCTCTTGCATAGGCCTCCGGATCATGACCCCAGACCCATCGTCCAATCTTGAAGAAACCGATTTTCGATTTATCGGTTGATCCATTCTTGGGCTCGAGATCCACGTTATGCAGTTCCTCCCGATTCAAGAATCCTGTTTGCTGGAGTATGCTTACTCTCTCGAATCTGTCATCAATCTGATTAGATACAAAACATACCATGATTCAATCAGTGGGGAAGTAAGCTTACCTCAGGTTGTTGTGGACTTTAGTGGCATGGCAAACGCCCTTCTTGCCTCCAATTCTGAGACACTCTGCTAGAGATATGGCATCCTCAATGCCTTGGACTGCACCATTTCCAGCTGTCGGGAGAAAAGCGTGTGCAGAATCTCCCAAGCGCACAAGCCTGCCTCTGTCTGATGTCCACTGCGGTGACCCGTCACGCCATCTCAATTTCCAGTCTACTACCCCTGCTGGGGCTTGTCGAATGAAATCAAGAACTGCTGGATCCCATTCGCCGTTGGCTTTTTCTAAATAAGGGATGAGATCTGATGGGTCTTTCAGATTTGACCAGGACTCTTTTGCGTCACTGTAGTCCTGTACAAGGAGGATGAGTAGGTACTCGTTTCATCGATATGCGTGTAGATGTGATACTTACGGGATGAGTGAAGCAAAAAGCAACATAATCAGGCGTCAAGAATAAAATGAGATGAATATCGCTGCCGACATACACTCGAAATTGAGGTCTCTGACCGATGTTTTTCAACAATGAGGAAGCCGGTGAGCCATCACGAATACTGGAGCGAGGAAAGGCCAGTCGAGACACGGCATAGCCACTATCTTGAACAGTGATCTCAGGACCCGTATTGAATCCAGAGATCTTCGACCCAATACCATCGGCACCGATGCAGACATCGCAGGTATATTCCTTTCCTGACTTGGTCTTGACAATGACAAACGAATCGTATTCAGAGACAGAGACAACACCATCATTGTACAGAATTGGGATGTTAAGTCGCTCGGCCTGGTCAAGCTGCATCCGCGCGTAGACAGGTCGACGTTTGAGGAATGATATATTGACGTCTGGTGCTGAATGAGGAGTGTTCGTTCGCTTCCACTCCGGTACTGTCGAATAAATCTCCTGTCCAGATGGTGTGTAGACATGAGTCGTACAGTCATAAATGCATTTGTGGTAATCGACATGCATGCTAGGGTAGTCCTTCAGTGTGGTCAATGCAGATGGCGTAATGGTGAAGAAGTCACCTAGACACTCCAATTAGCATCCAGTGCCTTCTTGAACCGGAGAAGGAAATGTACATACCCAATGGTGAGAGCTCTTCAGCTTTTTCAAGAACTGTGACATCGCAGCCTTTTCGCCAACATTCTATCGCTGCTTGGAGACCCGCAACACCTGCGCCGATAACGACCACGTTGATGCCGTTTTCAGGGTGTCTCTTGACACCGTCAATGGAAGAGGCACTGATGTTCGAATCGATCATGATCGCGCTTCATCAACAAGTAGGAAAAGCTCGAGAAGAGTAGTCGAGGCTGGTTCGGACTTTATCCGTAATGATACATGTGCTTTCAGAATACAAAATGCATATAGATCGATTTATGTCCCTGGGCGCATCCCTATCAACTTGTCCATGCTGAGAAGTGACAAAGCACAGCTCCGAGTCGCCACCGTCCCACATCATCCCCATCGTGTTTTGACTTGTGGGGTGTTATTGATGAAATAGTTCGACGTTTCGCGACAATTAGGCTGTCGAAGATCCCATCAAAGATTGGGTGGTGTACAGAGGGCGCTCGATTGGCTGCTGGAACATTACACTTTACCTTTCTGAGAGAACCACATATCATGTTCTACCACGACAAGAGCAATTAGCTTTCGGCTCCAGAGAGGACGCAAGTCGCCTCTGCACTATGCCAATTAAAGAGAACTTCATATAATGTTCTCAGTTGTAGGGGCCTAACTTTTGCGGGGACGTTACCCATATCTTTACGGGGTAGGGAATGGTAGCCGGCTACCATCTGTGCCCCGGAAGAATAATCGTATTGTTACTATAATCTGAGCAGCACGAGATATCAACAGTCCCACATTGAACCTTTAGTCAGGCCCGCAGAGCTAGGTCTGGGGTCTTCTGTATGACTGTCAGGCTGTAGACATATATATATGCTCTTCTTGTGTTAAGACTGGTGCACATCTTGTGAACAAAACTCTCATGTTTATAACAGCGCTTTGCAGAATATTACGGTAAAATGAAGCTTCAGAGTTCAGCAGCTAGCAATGGCAACCGGCCAGAAACTGTGTTGGTTGAGGACTTAAAAGCACAATCTTCAGAAAAAGACTGGACAGATCCAGTCCATACCGATTTGGTATATGATGACATCGAGCATGAGCCGGAGCTGCATACCAGAACTTGGATTGCGTTAGCTTCCATGTGGCTCTACAACTATGTCATTGTGTTTGCCTTGTTGTCGCCCCCAGCTGTGGTATGTCTCTAAGTGGAAGGAAAGTTCAGATGGTGAAGCATCAGTTAACCTCAATGATAATAGATCTCGTACATAGGTTCCAGTCTGGATGCAACAGACGTGCAGATATGGGTTTTGAGCTCCCTCACGCTGCCACAAGCCGTTTTGGCACCTCTTCTTTCATCAATTTCGGATGTCTTTCAAATCCGCAAGGTACTGATGATCCTGCTGATTGCGATTTCGTTCGTCGGCGCTGCCATAGCACCTGGGTCGCAAAGCATATCCAGGCTCATCGGCGCACAAGTAATGATCTCGTTTGGATTTTCGGCCGCGCCTCTTGGCTATGCAATCCCTAGTGAGATATTGCCGAGGAAATGGAGGCCAAGTGAGTGACAACATTTTTGATGACAGACAAATCATCTCTAACTATGCTCAAGTGGGCCAAGTCTGGATCAATATTGCAGCAGCATTGGCTTCGTGTACTGGACCACTCATAATCGGGGCCCTGACCAAAGCGAACCCAGTCGATGGATGGCGTAAATTCTGGGTATATTCTCTCTAATGTTACAGTAAAGACCAATGTTGACCTGTGCTAGTGGATTCAAATGGGGCTCTGGGGTGCATGTGGCTTAGGAATTCTGTTTGGCTATCGACCTCCGAAAAGGCATACCCGTCTTGATCACTTGGGATTCCTCCAAAAAATCTCACACCTTGACCTACCAGGCTATGTGCTGTTTGCCGCTGGGCTAAGCTTGTTCTTGGTTGGCCTCACCCTTGGTGGCGAACAGTACGCTTGGACAAACTCACGCGTCCTTGGAACCCTGGTAACTGGTCTGGTTGTCCTCCTGTGCTTTGGCATCTATGAGTGGAAAGGAACCTCGACGGGTTTCTTACATCATGACCTGTTCAGGGGTGACCATGGAATGGGCCGAACATTTGCGATCTCCGTCTGGCTGATTTTCGCCGAGGGTATCTTGTTATTCTCTTATGTCGGCTTCTATCCAATCCTGTGAGTGGTCATTTGGAAAAGGGCTCGGAGATGTCTAGTTGCTGACAATTCCAGAAATCTCTCTCTTTTCGAACAAGATCCATTCGTACTAGTCGCACGCCAGCAGCCGTACTGGATTGCTTGTTTGCTGTCAACTCCTGTATGGGGCTTGATCAGTACTCGTCTGAGGAGACTCAAAGAACCTCTGACAGTAGCTTTCCTGACTTTCACGGGAGGTATTGTTGGCCTGAGTACAATCCAACCAGATGATGACACCAGTACTCTCGCCTTCGCCGGGCTAGCAGGGGTTGGCTTTGGCGGGTTGATCATCATCATTATTGCCATGGTTCAATTGTCCACACCACACCACCTTATCGCGACGGCCACGGCTGTCACGGTCTCATCGCGGTCTGTTGCAGCAGCAGTCTTCACTGCAATATATGCCACCGCCTTCACGCATCGCCTGAAACAGAAGCTGCCGAGTTACATTGCAGTCGCAGCTCTGAAGGCTGGTCTCCCTGCGACATCTGTGGAAGGGTTTGTCACTGCACTGGTTGGAAACAATCAGGCTGGATTAGCCAATATCGAAGGGCTGACACCTAGCATCATCTCCGCTGGGATTACTGCCCTGAAGCAGGCTTATGCTGATTCCGTCAGAGTTGTCTTCATTATTGCGGCACCCTTTGGTGTGGTTGCGGCAATCTCATGCTGGTTCACTTCTGACATGAGAAAGACAATGAATTACAAGGTTGACGCTCCGGTGGAGAATTTGAAGTCGAAGATGACAGAAAGGCATCGGCTTGAAGGTGTTTCCGAATAGTGGGTGAAGTATATGAATAGTTTTAACATTAGCCATTTCCACTTTCCGTTGTTCGCGGTCAATGTTTGGTTAGTGACGCGAAGCAATCTCTCGCAAAGCTCAGTAAATCTGGGTCCAGGTTGTTGAAGATGATATTCAGCATCCGTTGAGATTGCCCCTGCAAAAACCAATATGAAGTTTCTTGCCTGGACAGAAGCGCACACCAGTGCACCATCAACAGCAAAGCAAGTGGGTGATTGGCCTTTGCCATCCCAAGAAAGTGGTCCGGAAGCATCCGTGGCCAGCTCTCAACACCATTCCACCTCGCCCACGTGGCATCAGTTGCATAGCTGCGGGCAAAGCTTGACGCAAGTGCTGCCATGGCGTGGTCAAATGCTCGGAGATCCGGCTCATTGAGCTCTGTAACTCTGCCAACAAGCCTTGTCGGAAGTGATGCCAACTCTGAATATATGGCTGTGGGAATGTGAGGATAGCATAGAAGTATTGGACAAGGTGTCAGTTGTGATTTGGAAGAAATGTTGTAGGAGAAATGATTCGTTGAACGACACAACGATGTAACAGCTGAGATAATGAGAGGAATATGGTCTGCTAAGCTTGAGTGCCGCGGAATGATTGATGCGATCCAACCGATTGAAGCAGGCTTGCTTCTTGGTAGTTTCGAGATATCCCTGCACAAAAAGACAAGATTTCGGACATCTTCCAGAGAGCTGATACTGAAGTGATTGGAATCAGGAGTCGAATCTCTCGTATGAGATACGATCCAAGCGAAAACATCATTGACAATGTAAGGAGTTGAGTCCAGAAGGGCATCTGGTGGTATTTCGAGTGATTCAAGGCCCTGTAAAGCCTCACCCGACAAGCGAAGGGCAGAATCAGGAGGGAGCAACGGCTGCAGACCCAAGAGAAGATCACAGCCGCCATTTAGCATCGACAAAAACTCCAAGATCTTTGCTAGGCTTGAATCATTGTTTTCATCGTTTCTGGAGACAGAAATTTTGGCTTCTAGGAGAGCCTCCTCGCAGAATTGAATTCCGAGTAACCGGGCGAACGCCGTAAGGGCCGTGCTGGTCTGACGAGACGGGCTACCAATGAGTTTCCGGAAAGTAGCTAGCCCAGTTGACTGATGCCTAAGTCCCGCGCCATGATGGAAAGCACATTCATTATCGCTTGCCGCTAGCATTGCACTGTGGAAAGCGGCAGCACCTAGTATGCCGTGCATGAGGAATGTATGAGTCTTTGCCTGAAGAGGAATCACCTGAGTCCAGAAAGTGACTGGCTCTGTCCCTCGAGTGAGGGAAGACGCCGTGCTTGTTACGTAGTGATGCATGTACATCAGATCCTGTATGTGAGAATTGGTCAATAGGTCATCTTGGGCAGGACTCATTGTGTTCTCATGAGATATGGCCGTCAGTGTGGTGACATTTGTAGTCTGTGGCTCTAAGAATCGATGGTCGAGGTTCTGCTGGCTTGATTTAGGCCGTTCAAATAGACCGTCATGGCTGACCTGAAAGTAGCGGATTTGAGTGCCTCGGAAGAAAGTCTGCAGAAAGACTCGTTCCATTTGATCATCGACATCTCTGAGACGGACTGTTTGATGTTGCTGGTGAAGATGTTGGCTCATTCGTTTATAAGACACACATAGATGACCACATTTCTGTACAAGACACCGATATCCATCAGCGATGGGGAGATACGGGATAGGGCGCACATTTGGTGACGGGACCAAGACTTGGGCGGGGTCCAGCAACGTCAAATCGGCAACCAGGCTGAGCAAATCCCGGCGCTTCTCTCGATAAACACGATGCCTTAGAAGGTGACTGGGAATTGCCTTGGGCTGGATAGCAAACTTGCACTCTTTGCAGATGAGGACTCCATAGTCAGGTAAATAGACGAGCAAGGGGTTGAGGGGCTCAAGCTGTATGGGGGCGTTGGAAGTATATCCACCCATTCTTACATCCAAACCTTCCAGTGTTAGAGGTCGCAAATCGTTAAGAGAGTCAGCCATCGAGAACTGGGGTGTACAACATGGTGATCCTGGCGACACGATGCCTTCAACACAGGTGGGGCGAGGATAATACAGGAGAGCTTTGAAGAGGCACTGGTCAGAGTGGGGTTGAATATAGCAGCGTCATATATCAGCATTTTAGTCAAAAGTATATCTCTAGCGCCTTGGCATATGCACTACGGAGTCCGGCAGCATCGATCGTGGGGAATCCTCCGCAGTTTCCTTTATTGTTGATCAATTGAGGTCCTCATCAATCTTTCCCTGCGTTTCTCATCACTTCTTTTCTATCATTTATACATGGACAAGCCACGTTGAAAATGTCGACTTGGTCACCTTCATCTGTCCACTCTCTCACCAGGATTCTAGGCGTTGTCCACTAACTCTTCAATCTGACCCATCGCCAGCCTGCAAGTCGATTACCCACCGTCTCGTCCCTGAAAGCGAGATCATAGTCTCTCCCCTCCCATTCACCTTTCTATTGACATAAATGGCCGACTCATACGGTGGAGGTGGTCTCCTTTCTCCTCCAGTATCAGCATCTTCACCTGCGCCCAGTGCGGCTTCTGTTCCACAGCGAAATACGCGCCTCCCCATACCTCGTGTACATCCGCTGCGGCCTGGTTCGGCAAAGGAGATTGCCTTGATCAATTATCTGGATGACAAGATCCTCAGAATCACCCGAAGATACGCCAAAAAGTTCAGCAATGAGAACCAGGATATGGATAACACTCCAGGGTACACCACATATGACCAATTCGTCTCAGATGTCGATCCACTCGTTGATATTGTCTGGATCAGCGGTACACGTAAGTACGCCTCTTCATATTTTGATACATGCCGCGTTGGGTTGTACTTCTGGATCTTCCGCTTTTGTGTCCACAAGGAATCTCAATTCGCAGGCCTCACATCTGCCTTCCTGCCAGCTGTCGAAGTACCGCCCTGCAGGTTTCCCTTTCCATGTCTTCTGACGAGCATCTCTATAGCCACAATCCAAATCCCTTATCTACTTTCCCTTGCGGGAATGATCTGTGGCTACTCCCAAGCATTTCCATTTTCTACTTCATTCTTTTCAATCGTTGCCAGGATTGATCAAGGCTTTGCTTCATTACTACAACCAGCAGCCTCACGTGACACAGAATCGTCCATGCATCACACAGTTTCGATGACAGAAAAGGTCCGCATCAAGTCTTTGATAGAAGAAACTCGCGTCGCTGCGGTTAATGCAGCCTCTGCAAGTGGTGCGCTCTCCAGTCTTCAAGATGTTTCCGACATGGAAACCTACGATGAGGACAGCGACACTTCCCTCGAGCCCAACGATGATCAAGATACTCAAGATTCAGGTACACTATCCATACAATTGTCGCTATCCCGAGTCTACAAGAAAACTTTGGAGATACTGGGGGATTCTTTGATTGACAACACATTATCCGTGGACCATAACCAGTCACCTCCTCCACTATGATCGAGGCTTGCTTTATAGCTGCCTGAAATGCAACTGGTCGCTTCATGATGAAATTCCAATGCCCAATGCGTCAAATTACCCGACATTGACATGGCTCTCGTGATACCATCGCCCTGGTTGACCGAAGAATGTGCCAACACGCTCTCCGCCAAGACTCCAATGTTGATAGTCTCCCAGTCCAACACAAACATGTACGCCACAGCCCTGATACAAGCACTGAAAGACTGGGCACACAAATCAATCACTCAGCATCTTGGTTACTGCCATGATCATGTCTCCCAATGTTGCGCTGGAGCTCAAAGTCGCAGACCACTCTGCCGAAGAAGCTTTTGCCTGGACCAATCACGACTCGCCACGCTTGGCTGCATACTGCTCACCGACATCCAGCGCTAAGAGAGGCTATTGATGGTTGGATTCCCAATTGATGCCCGAGCCAATCTAGAGCACACCGATATCTCCTCATTTCCACATTTGGGCATCTCCTCTGACTACGACAGCTTTGTGGGGAGAAAATTCGAGCTTGGTCTAAAAGGTCTCCAAACCCTCGAGCTTGGTCGCCTCGACCATTCATCTTCAACATCTTAGAGTCGCTCCCCTCCCGATCAGAGTCTCTATCAATCAACATGAAGATCCTTATATTGGCTCTGCTCATTCAGAGGATTGTATGCTTTGCAATCACAAAGGTACCAACCGACGTGTCGATATCCCTTGCAAGCTCAACAGCAACTACCTCACCGAGTATCACTGGCCTCCCGTTGCCACTGGCCTCCATCGCCAGGACTGATGTCAACGTTCCTGATCATCAGATACCGTTCTCTGCACTAGTGACTATTGCGCCATTGCTGCCAAACCCTTTAGAGAGAAGACAGAGATGCTGGGACGACCGTGGATTCAGCGTCAATTGTGCCACTTGGACCGGTTACTACTACACTTGGGGCCCTCCAGGTGATCCTTACAGGGGCGGTCCAGGAGAGGGAGCAGATGGGAGTGGAGGTTATGGTGGCGGTGGCAGCAATGGCGAGGGCGGCATCGTATATCAAGGTCATGGCTACATGAGCTCAGTGAATTGGCCAGCCATCCTGGGGTTGGCGTTTCTGACACTCGTGTTGTTTGTCTAAGATGGAAGGCCTCAAGGTTCACATTTCACCGACTTTTAGCACGCTCTGGACGCGTTTGCAGTTTGTTTTACCGAGTCATACCAATCAATTGGTTTGGAAGTCCTGGCTCTTCGACATTACTAAGACATGACTTTCTTTCTTCAACAAAAGATGACCGAACCAATGCTCACTCCCCAACCGTGTTTGCATCCTCATCTCGAAAGCCGTACCCGAATGAAAACGCAGACCCCACGGTCTACATGATCTGGTCTACCATTCTTATGAGCCTACCTCTGACATAAGTCTCACTTATCTTTAGAACCTCGAAAAAGCCCTTGGCCTCTACTTCATTTACTCGGATTCAAAGTTCAACTCTCCATATCTGTCAATCAGCGAAGTTCCCTCGTCTGTATCGTTCAACTTTCGAGTCTACAGACATCTTCGCCCACAGATGATTCTTCCTCGCTTTCTCGATCTACAAGCCCCTCTGTTTCGAGGAATGGGTCGCAAAGGCAGAGCATGCAGAAGCCGATTCGCACAAAGTCTTTTGGTCTCACTCGTTCTCCAAGGCTTTGTCGCTGCGGATCGAGCCCTGCAGCCCAGTCAGGGTGGTCTAGTTCATCCAGTTCCGGCACCAGACAGCTCTGGCGATTGGGTGACGCTGACCGACCCTGCAACAATGGCACATGCGACAAACCCGATAGATACTCATACTTCGGACAAACCTGAGGTTATCATTCAGTCGATACCATCAAATCCATGGTTGGTCGAATCTGCGTCCACAACTGAGTGCTTTAATTTTGAATCAGGGTGGCCGACTTTATTAGGCTTGGGCGCCCCGTGCGAATCTCATCATCCGGGGCACTCTATCCCTGATTCATCTTTCACCTCGCCAACCACGACACCTCCTTGGGGTTCCCTGCATATAACTTTACCTGAGACAAGCAGCGGTGAAACATCACCCGACAGCAGCTCTTTCGATACAACATCCTTTTCCTCCACCACTACGGTAACGATGCCAATGTACTCGACCACCGTGATTATAACAAGAAACAGAACAGATACAGAGCGTGCAATGACGACAGCAGTCTCAGAGACATCCTTGTCTGAAAACCAGACGTTCGCTGTCGCATCACAGCCTATGTCCTCTGAATCGTTGGGTACAGCAGACGACTCGGACATTAGCACAAAGGCCGAGACGTCTCAAATAAACTCCACTGAATCGGTTTCAGCATCTGTCGCTCCATCCACTTCTACTCAAACCAACTCAAGCACGCACCATCCGTCGACGTACGTGGTCAGCGTCGTCACGACGCTCACGGAATGGGAGTACACGACCATGTCCCTGGTGGTGACAACTGTACCGACATTGACACTTCCAAGATCAACCATCACCGGAACCGCAGATGAAGCTTGTCAGACTCTACCATGTACCAGACGAAACAATACGTTTACAATGAGCAATACAGGATCATCGAATTCATCCCTCACCTCTGGCATCAGCACCCATACGACACACACTCTCTCCCTGAATCTCAATTCATCCACGGATCACCCCAGCACCAATACCAGCATCGTCATCAGCAGCAGCAGCTCCGTTCCCACAATAGGACAGATCTACACATCAAGCGACCTTGCCAGTGTTCCACATACATACCGACAATACAAATCCCACAGTAGAACATACACATCGGATCTAGGCGTCGTGACTACAACATGTATTCCCACGACGACAGTCACGGCCGCGCCACATGGCAAGGTTTCAACTACTGTCATTTTCGGCGAGTGTGGACCAGGAATTGGGCCGATGGTCACGGAGAGTATTCATGTCACCGAAACGGGTGGAGGTGACGGAGTCAATGGTGAGATAGAGATGATGATGATGATGATGATGATGATTCGGGATCCCGATGTGAAGCCTGTTGTCTTTGATATTGGCCCTATAAATGGGTATCAAGACCGAGATGCAAATGGAGATGGAGATGGAGATGGAGATGGAGATGGAGATCGAAGCAGCCATGACTATCCAAGCTATCCTTCAGAGCCTACGACTCTCAGTACTAGAGTCAATTCTAGGCAAGTGTGAGGGGGGAGAGGAAAGGGGTGGATTGGCGACGAGAACGACAGTGTACTAATAGACCGAACGTTACCACATGCAGAGACGCTAGCATTCACGACAAAGGGAGTGCTCCAAAACAGCAGTTGATGCAACAATAAATCAGATATTCAAACCCCCAGAGAGCATGAGTTGGAAATAGGCTGTTTCTCTATCATCTACTCTAGGCTCTTTGCTTGGTAGAAGAGAATCAATCCTTTTTACTCCGACGACCATCACCATTACCCATTACCATCATCCTCATCATCGTCTTTCTTCTTCGGCTCGAAATTCAACTGGTTGCCATTATAAAACTGGTTCCCACGCTTAGCAGCTTCAGCTCTCTGATCCGCCAGGGTTCTAACCCTGACTTTCGCCACATCGCGATCAGACGGGCCAGAGCCAGATTCAGAGCCGGGTCCTCCACCACCAAGAACGGAAGAGCTCGATGAAGACGACGGCGCATCCGATGGTTGACCATAGCCAAGGATGTTCTTGACACCGCCAAACACAAATCCTGCGGTGCCGCTGACCAAATTATACCCTCCGCTGACGGCGGAACTCAACATTCCACCGGCAGAACTGCCAGTGTAGGATTCTACGTAGCCCTTGACCGGGGCCATGACCAGTGTACAGCTGCCGACGATTCCAAGATCGCTTAGGGTGAGCTCTTCTTCGCTGGCCTCGATGCTTCGAATGGGTGATGGTGTTAGGATTAATTTCAGGTTATATGGTATTGTGTTCTCCGTTGTGGAATTGATCCATGGTCTTACATCTGTGGATAAGGTTGCTGATGGGGCGAAGGTAGACCGTAGGGTGCTGCCATCGAATGTTCGGACTTGTATCCGGATCTCACTGTTATTGGGACGTTGGGACCGAGCGTAGCTTGAGGATGCCGTGGTGGAGTCGCCCGGAGGTAGAATGCCTTTTCTTAAGTCATCTAGTCGGCGACGTTCTTCTCTGTCGGCTTTGATCTGTGCTTTCACTCGTTCTCGTTCATCGCGGGCTTTCTGTTCGCGTTCTCGTTGTAGTTTGATATATTCAGCTCGTTGGGCTTTTTGTTTGTCCGGGTCTGATTTCGAACCGACTTTGGGTTGGGATGAGGTTGCGGGGTTTGAACTAGTGGTGGTAATGGCTGTAGGGGGTTGTGATTGTGGTAGATTCGGAGGTGGCGAAGTCATTGATGTGGTGGTTGGGGCTGGCTGGGAGGAGGAAGATGACGGCACAGGCGCATCGTGGGATGAGGATGGAGCGGCGGCAGAGGATTTGCGTAGACCGGGGATTTTCAGACCTACAGCAGGGAGCCGTAGTAACCGCGATCGAGCATATTCGGAGAGTTCTGGGGGTGCTGTTGAGGATCGGAGTCTCGAAACCTCATCGTGGAATATGGAGATGTTGTTCATGAGGGAAAGCTGGGTCTGAAAGACTTCAGCGCTTGAGTTCCCCTCGTCCAAGAGTTTCTGAGTGTGATTTCGCAGGGCATCATATGCATTATTAGGTAGTCTCATCTGGCCAGGAGCTGGCTGGAGGTCAAGGTGTTGGATTGATGAAGATGGTATGAATGTCTGTTCTGTGGTAGCATCGGTGCGCCCAACGTGCTCTTGTTGGCTGGCTTCTGTGTTTCCTTCTGTTTCTATACCAAATAACGAAAGGAGGCGGGTTTTGAGGTCTCCGGGGGTTGTTTGTCCGGCCTGGATATTGGCTTGTAGTTGAGCATTCCTGGGTCTGTCAACAATTGTCCGGGAGATTATGACCATGGGTGTCTCTCACTTGATAACTATTACAGCCGGAGTACTCTGTATTGGGGCGATCGGTTGTAAGAAGGCCGCCTCTTGCGAGCCAGCCTGGAGGCGCAGTGCAATGGTCTGGGCTGCAATGGCAGAGGACAACTGTGATGAATGAGCGAATGAGAGCGGTCGTTGATTGCGACAGAGCATACAGAATCGTCCTTGAGAATTTCTTCCCACTGTGCGCTGGCATCCGTATCATCTACAGACGCGATGTGTTAGTAGGTCGACATAACAAGGGCTAGTGGAGGGGTGGGTAGACAGATATACCTTGTATGAAACAGAGCACGGCTTTGGACTGTTGAACGGCGAGTCCAATGCCACTCTGAAGGTCGCCCTGATGGAACATGATTTGGGCAGCCAACGCGTAGGTTTAGGGACAAGCAAGGAGGGAATGGAGAATCATATGAAGACGCAAGACATGAGAGACTGCGGTCATGTGAAGCGACGTTGATCGATCATGATCGATCATGACATTATTCCGTAATTGATAGAAGTGGAGTTGCCTTGGAGGAAAGGTGGAGACGCTGGAAGATCGTTCCTCCGTCGCCGTCATGGATTTATGAATATCATCAGATTCACTTCATCAATTCCATCAACACTATTGCATACAGCTCTCACCACCCCCTGCAGCTCCTACAACCCTCCTATTGCCCTCCTATTGCCCTCCTCACAATGAGGCTGCATGAGTTTAAGCTCATACGCCCATTGACGACCAGACAACGTCCTTGTCCGCGACGTAGAATCACCTTTCAACGACGACATGCTTCCTCCAAAACAGGGCCAAAGTCGGCCGACGACCCAGAATTTGTCTCAATAGTGGATGGTCCTGTGAGATTAATATCTACCAAGAAGAAGGATACAAAGCTTGGAATTATGCTACTCAGCATCATACCACTGACTGCCTTTGCTCTCGGGTCATGGCAGGTTCAGCGACTGGATTGGAAAACCCGACTCATCGCCAAATTTGAGGATAGACTGGTCCGGGATCCACTTCCCTTACCGCCGAGGATAGACCCCGACGTCGTCAGTGAATTCGATTACCGGAGGGTTTATGCAACTGGCAAATTCTTACATGACAAGGAGATGCTCATCGGACCACGGACACAGGACGGACAGGATGGATTCTTGGTAATCACGCCTCTAGAACGAGAAGGCATGAGTACAATTCTCGTCAATCGTGGTTGGATCACCAAGGACAAACAGTATCAGCAGGATCGAGACCCCTCTGCCTTACCTCGTGGGGAGGTTACCGTCTCTGGGCTTTTGAGAGAGCCCTGGAAAAAGAACCTCTTTACCCCAGACAACAAGCCAGCGGTGGGCAAGTTCTTTTTTCCTGACGTCCATCAGATGGCGGAGATCACTGGTGCAGAACCTGTCTGGATCGAAGAGACGATGCAACCAAGTTTACTTGTCTCTTACGACCGAGAAGCCAAAGGTATACCCATTGGAAGACCGGCAGAGGTCAACCTACGGAATAATCACGTGCAATACATTTTCACCTGGTAAGACATCCCTGTTCTCTATTTGATTGATTCATTGCTCATGGTCTCATTAGGTATTCACTATCTGCAGCCACCGCCCTGATGATGTGGATGGTGTTGCGAAGAAAGCCATCAGATGTCACCAGACGTGTTCGAGAAACCTCCAAATGGTGATTTTGTCCACTGACGATGGACTGTATAATATTACAAGGTCTCGGGCAACTCCAAGTCAGCCACAACCTCTTTTGGGAGAAGCTCTTTGGCCGCTTGACCAAGTTCACCTGATCCACCGAGTACTCTTTGCCGTCTCATCAACATGAGCATGTCGCTTGCGTCCACCCGCCTCTTCCGTCTGCCATGGTCCGAGTATGCCTCCAGGTCTTGGCCCACCTGCTCAAAGAACCAGTCGGTGGCTTGTTCGAGCGCCTTGACGTGGTCACGACCAAGCTTTGGTCTGCGATTGCCTAAACGATCTTGCGCTTGAATGGCAACTCTTTTGATCAAACTTGCCGGAAGTGAAGGGATCACTTGACCGTTCTGTGTCATTTTGACCTTGCGGCGCCGAGGTACTGAGGCCTTTGTGGATGACACTGTCGGCTTCGCAACAATTGCCTCGTCTGGTTCCTGGTGTAGCTCAGATCTTGTCGATTCGTCTGCGACACTCGCCGGGATATCTTGGGGCGCAGGTGGAGAACTCGGTCGAGGCTCTGGCAAGACATTTCCTGCTTTGAGATTGGCAGAGGTCATTTCATCCACAGGATTCTCCAACTGGAAACTCTCATCCATCGGTGGAATGTTGACAGTACTGTCGTCATGTAACAACAGTGTGGGCGACTGAGCAAGATGTCGCAAATCTTCCGTCTCATCTGGAAAAAGCATGGGCTCATCATTCTGATCCCCATGGTTATAACCCTCCAACTCGACTTGTGGCTTTTCTTTGAGGTGCTGCTCCAAGTCCGAATCCCGACGAAATTCCAACTCAGATCCAAAATCACTCATCCTAATACTGCCAAAACTGTAGCGTGATAGTCGTCCCGTTGGTTCTTCACTGATCGCTCTCCTTCCCATCTCACTCAAGATGGTTGGATCCTCGGCATTATCAACGTCGTCATCCATGTCACCACCAGGACTCGACGGAGGAAACGAGGGTCTTGATGATTTCCGGCGGGCGACGATGCTGTCGGAATGCGGACCACCAAAGTCGATAGATTTGAAGGTCAGCGTGGGTGCATCAGGATCGTCATCTGGCAAGATTGAAGGCGTTGGAACAACCAAAATCTCACTGTCCTCGTCCTCGTCCTCTTCTCCTCTCCACAAGGGTAACAAGCCCGATGTATTATCATCTTCATCCAAACTATCTTCCACATCGAGCGTCAACCTCGGTCTCTTAGACAAAACTCCATCTTCCTGGTCGGGCGTGTCATGATTTTCTTTATCATCATCGAATCTCCTAATTGTCTCGTTCTTTTCCACTTTCTGCGCCGTAAGCTTTGCCAACCGCCGCAGAATACCTCGCGCAGACTCCGGGTTTACTATCGTGTCGCTATAGCCTCGCGTTCTGCGCACATATGCTGACCGCGATCGTGCGGCGCCACTTCGTTGTTGAAGGGCTCGAATCGCGTGTGGTGTGGAGGGTGCATATCGACTGGGGGTTTGTGAATTGCTCAGTTCTCCGAGAGGTTGTTTCTTGCGTGTAGACATGGTGGGAGATGTAGACTGGCTTTCTTATTTGTGTGTTTGTGCGTATGTGTGTATCGCTGGTTGTGAGGGTTTGAAGATGTTGACAGTCGCGTCTGCAGGTTCAAGATGCGATGATGATCTGCAGTGAAAACGCGTGACTGTGACGCCTGTTCACGTGACCGGCTATCGGGCGGATTATTCCGTTTTGTAAGTGCATCCGTTACCGGAGAATAACCTCGTCTCAATGTGAAGCCAGTGTTTTCTATACCTCGGAGTGACAGAGCGACTAGTTTTCTTCTCTTTTTTCTCCTTTACCTAGTTATGCGGGACGCAGATACAGCCCGCCAATTCTCGCGCTCTCTCATTATTTAGTGGTGGATACAGTGCGGCACCTGGAGATCCTCTCTCTGTGTACTTTTTGAACAATGGCTCGCTCAATATACCGACAGGCCAGCCTAGCCAGATTACAACAATGTTCTGAGCACCTGCGCATGAACACAAGAGGATTCCAAAGCTCTAGTCATACTCTGAAAAGCCAACCCAGCACTTCTTCAAACCCCTCATCTGAACATATCTCTTGGGCGGTGGAACCATGGCAAGCCACCAACATGCTTCATTTGCGACGAGCATTGAAACCCCATCTAGACGCTGGAGAACTCGGTGACTATATGCCTCCTGGATATCAAATGGTCTCTCACAATGAAACCGCTCCCGAAGGCGAACTAGCAGAAGATGGCGCCGAATGGAAATACGCCCCTGGACCAGAATGGACGTTCCGAGTATGGGCTGGAGCCAACTTTCAATATCTGAAACCAAAGATCAAAATCACCAACCACGCCGAACTAGTCCTTGGGACGGAGTCGTTCGAAAGTATTCGATACAGTGGTAATCCGACCGACGTTGATTGCAAAGCATTTGTAACCATCGCCAAACAGTACAACCAGGGCGACAGTGAAAAGGGAGAAGTACTCATTTCAGAAAAACGACATCTCTGCTTCTTGAAACAAATCCCCGAAAGTCTCAAGACACCTAAAGCAGCCAAAACTCTCAAACCACCTACTCACACTGATTCAACATATCGATATACCATGACTCCAACCCCCGAACTCCTCTTCCGATTCAGCGCACTTAGCAACAATGTACATAAAATCCACTATGACAATGAATACGCCAAACAGGTCTATGGTGTACCGAACTTGATTGTCCATGGTCCTTTGACTGGTGTTCTGATGCAGGAGGCTCTCACCAAGTCGTTTGCTGATACAGCCAATGCAGGAAAGGAATATGTGGTACATGAATTCGAATATAAAAATATGGCACCATTGTGGGTGAATGAGGAGATTACAGTGTGTTGCAGGCTGGCTAAAAGTCAGGATTCATCATCGGAATCGATTCAGCTTTGGGATACTTGGGTTGAGGTTACGAAAGAAGGGGGAGCAGCACTTGCAGTCAAGGGACGAGCCAAGGTTGGTGTGAAGAGTCTTTGATAGACATTCTAGGAGGAGGGAATGATACCAAGTAAAGCCAGCTGCACCTACCGTACTGTAATATCCTCCGTAAATACATATACATATACACCCGTGACACTGTCTTTTTATTATATACAACATGTTTGCGATGACGTCATTGGCCAGTCTCAAGGCTGAAGCTAACCGAATCCCGCAAGGCATCAACATGATGACTGACTGTAACTGACCACCGCAGTTCATCTTGCATTCTTGCATTCTCTCTCATCTCATCTCATCAAACATCAATCAGTCCAGTCGACAAAACATCACTACTCTATGACAATGATGAGACGTCCTTGGGCTTGACCCTCTCCCTCTAAGTAGTCACACAACCACTACGCTCAACCAACCCATCCTCCCTCCCACCTTACCGAACCTCCCCCGTCCCCGCTCCCTCCTCAAATCGCATCTGCCTGAATCACCGCAAGCGCCGTCCTCAATCCTACCATGTCCATTACCATGCCCCTCTCATCCTCCCCGCCAACAACTCCCCTCTCACCTCGATGCGAGGAAATCTCTCATGTCAGCTACACCAACTTCGCCCTGAGTTTGTACGTACAGTCTAAGTCTAACCCCCATCATGCCCCGTAATTCAAAACTCACATCTCCGATCACCAGATTCATCCTCCTCGGCATCCTCGTATCCTACCTCCCGCAACACATTCGAATCATACGACGACGGTCCAGTTACGGTCTATCGCCATGGTTCGTCCTCCTCGGCACCACCAGCGGAACATGCGCATTTGCCAATATCTTGGTCCTACCCAAAAGTCGTCTTGATGTTGGTTGTTGTCGTGATGTTGATGGGTTTGCGTGTCTGGCTGGACTGTTGGGTATTGCGCAGGTTGGTGTTCAATGGTCGTGTTTCACTCTCATGTAAGTTTCATTCTTTCTTTGACGGGGGTAAATACTGGGATGTTTCCATTTCATTGGCTAATTTGATGGTGGTGTTCGTGTGGATTTATTAGTCTACTGCTCTTCCTCATCTTCTTCCCACGCGAAGACACGACAATAACGGCAATTCCATCTCATCCATCATCACCTACGCGCACCACAGCGGCACTTGCGCAGACTTTGCCGTCGACGAACGATACGACGACCGTATTCCCTCCTCCAGAATCAAACATCCATCACCATAATGACCATGTCAATGACGCAACCACTCGCCATCCGAACGGCAAACCAAAATCCCTGTTATCATCCTCCGAATCCGCCACTCATACCCATCTCCCACCGACTTACCGACTTGCCCTTGCCGTAACAGGAATCTCCATTCTCCATGCGGTGTTGACCATGATCGTATCTGGGCTGGTCCTGATCCTGTCACCACAAAACGCACAACCACTCGCCAATATCTTAGGTCTATCCTCGACACTACTGGCGTCGATTCAGTATTTTCCTCAGATTCACACGACTTGGATGTTGGGCACTGTTGGTTCGTTGAGTATTCCCATGATGTGTATCCAAACACCGGGGAGTTTTGTTTGGGCGGGGAGTTTGGCTGCGAGATTTGGTATTGAGGGATGGAGTACTTGGGGTGTTTATCTGGTGACAGGGTGTTTACAGGGGACTTTGTTGGTGATGGGGATTATTTTTGAGTACAGGAATTGGAAGAATAGGAAATTGGTCGAGGAGGCGGAGGGGGTGGGTCAGCAGGATTCAGAGGAAACTCCTTTGTTAGGGACACGAGATTGATCGGATAGGATACACGCATAAATTTTGTCATGGCTGTCGATTTCTTCCAGCAGATTTTCATCCTATATATGTACAATTGTGACATGATCCTAACCCAATGACGATATGCATCTTTGTTCTTTTTCGCTGGTCATAGGCGGTCGAATATACACTGAGGTTTGTTTGCTGTACATGTTTCGGTCTCTAAACAACTCGGACTTTCATCTCCGTCTCGGACCAGAGTCAGACAAGGCTTTGGGTTCTTCGGCTGCATGTGCTTTGCCATCGGCCATGGCCGTCATTTCTTCCAGTTCCTTGTCGGTCGTTCCATCCATAGCGGCTTGTCCACTCTCGCTGCTATGCTTGCTGTCCGAGAGGGAGATGCCATACTTGGAGAATTCGAAGTGTTCCAGCGTCGCCAATAGTTCTCCCCACCCATCACCGATCTCTCCAACATGGCCCGGACTGCCTGCAAGTGGGATACCCTCGGCGTGATCCAAGTCATCTTCTTTGTGTTCTCCCGTCCGACCGGCCAATACCTCCTCTTCTCGCCCTTGATAGATGTCCAGAAGACCAGGGTGCGGCACCCAAACCACTCGCATTCCTGCTCTTCGACCGGCTTCGACTCCCGGAACGCTGTCCTCGAATACCAAACACTCGTGTGGCTCAATGGGTCGCTCACCCTCTTGCGCCACCTCCAAAGACTCGTTGATTGTTTGCAATGCCAGCAAATAAATATCCGGTAGGGGTTTTCCTCTTCCAGCTGGGATGCGAGCATCGTCACCTACAATCTTATGTCGGTCGGGGAATGTATTGAACAAGTGACCGAGCTTCTGGGTTTTGATTTCATAATTTTTGGAATGACTGCTTGTGGCAAGGGCGAGTCTGATTTTTTTCCCTCTTGTGGGACTTCTCAGGTCTTGCGATTCTCGAGTGGTGGCACCAGACAATCGTCTCAGCAAGCTTTCAACACCTGGGAGGGGTTGGCAATTTTGAAAGTGTTCAGCTTGTAGCTCTAGCTGTCTCTTGTGGAATTCGTCGCGAGAAATAGGTAATTGCGCCCATTCGTGGAAGATTTTGCCTGCTGCGAGACCAGGACGGCCTTGCAGCTGAGCTTTGATATGCCAGGGTAGATCAGGACGATTGTTCTCGCGGAGGATGGTATTGGTGACACGAGTGTAGGCATCTTCGCTGTCGATCAACAGGCCATCCATGTCAAAGATGCATGCCCGGATTGGAGGGAAGCTGCGGGGTTCATCAGTACAGTTGGAGACAGCGAGAGCATCGGGGAGATGGTACCTTGATCGAGAGTTTGATGGAGCCATGACTTGATTGAGAGGAATGAATCAAGTTGTGAAAAGGCGAGGGCCAAGAAGCAAGGCTGAGTTGTGGCAGGTACGATGTGCAAAGAAGAAGGTGTGCAGGAGGAAGTTGCGAGGTGTGAGGGGAAAGGTACGAGATGGAAAGTGAACTGAGATGTTGAATGGCAAGCGCGATGGTCGACGATGGCAAGAACCTCGTAGAAGCCGCGGTTCAATCCAAGGTACGAGTTTTGTTCACTTTCAGCCTCATACGTAGTGTTCCGTTACTCATTTGCTGGTCCCTGAATCATCAAGATCTGCGCCATTCCTATCTGCGCGACCAGAATTTCGGAGTAGTCCATCGCAGGCGAATCTCGAAGGTGGGGTAAAGAATCCTCGAATCGAAGCCCGCGAATTGGAGATCCACGTGGCGGGCAAAGCCGAGGATTTCGTCGTAGCCTTGCATCATCAACAAGTCTGGGGTCAAAGATTGCAGGTGTGTAAAGGATGTAATTTCACTTATTCACTCGCTTGCTTTGGCACATTTATCTCCAGGGTGTTGTTCTTTCCTGGCGAGCAATTTTCATGAGGGTCGCAAGGGATTCCGAGCTCATCCTAGGCTTGAATGAGAGACATGGTTCAAGGTATTCGAGGCTTCTTCAAGCTCGTAGACCATGGGAATGAAATAAAACCCACCTGGGACTCTGGTGATACATGGCGAAGGTCCCATGGGAGACAATGTTAATTTCGATCATAGGCATTAGCCCTGCTCAGCATGTAGTTCGATTTTCTGTAATCGAGAAAGATGAACTATTGATCCTCATTTCCTAGCTTAATGGAAACGTGTTTGCCACATATGTACACAGCACACGACCACCAACTATTGTGCAGCAGCATATGACCACGCGACCACTCTCGAAGTACCACCATCTCCAGTCGATGTACTTCCCCTATCTCTGACCATGAATCCTTACCCCAGCCGCTGCTAAGCGTGGCTGTCGGGCCTTGCAACCCGATCTAATCATATCTTATTGATAAGAGCATCTCAAGTGTGATATACCCCAGGAGAACTGACAGACAATTACATGAGACCTCGGCAGTAAGGGCTCATGAACACCTCGAAGCAATATATCTCCCCCAATCATGTATCAGCAGTTCTCGCGTCACTTCCTTGGTAACCGGCACATCCTATCTCGGAACGTCATCCGACAAGAGATTGTCAGTATGCGATAGTGGCGAGCAATCATTGATTGATAGATAACTCAGCGCTTCCATCTTTCCTGCAACAGATTTCCCATGAATCTATCGAGACGAAGCTGCCAAGGCATGCGAGTGTGAAATTGACTTTGGACTTGACCGAGAGAAGTAATTGTTCCTGACTGGGACTAGTTAATGCGGGTCGTGGTGGAGTCTTGTCGAGGTATAGTGTAGGGGACACGCTTCCCTTGCCCCAGAAATTCAGACGACAGTCTGCTTTATAGACGATCTACACTGTACTAGGACTAGGCAGACTTGATTTACGTTATCGCGGATTCCTGACTCGCGCCGTCAGTAGCCGTTCCGTATCTCTCTAGTTGACCAGTGTTAACATTCATTCAGATTGGCAGCAATGGCATCTGTTCCAAGGTGTCGGCCAGTGAGTCTGGGCCTGGAATGCTTCAGACGCAAGATCTTGAGTCAAGGGACTTTGACAACAACGGATATTATGACTGCAAAAGACCATGTGGAGGTCCATTCGCATGCGCCCAACTCTGCATGTGGAGGTCTATTCGCATACCGCCAACTCGGATTCTAAGAAATCCTGCACTGTGGTCAGACATTTCGCTGTTGAGGTTATTTTGAAAGCAACGAAGAGTATCAACACTAGATATTCATGTCATTCCTCTATCTAGATCTGAACACGTGCTAAAAATCTCTCGTTGACCACCGTTCAGCTGTTCCACCCAGAACCACGATATCCACCCTCTCCTGTTCCCCTTCACAACGTGACCATGCCCATCCAAATCACAGACCATAGCGGAAGTTTGGAGCTTTGTCACCCATTCTGCTCAATTCCAAGTCCGTGTAGCCTTCCAAAGACTGATTCTCTCTCTTCTTGTTTGCTCGTTGGTAGCCGATTCTCAGCGTGATGACTGCAATCATCGCCATTGCCAGAAACCCAAGCGACAATCCGTGGCCTAAGAAAAACTGCGGGCTGTCCTGGATGCGGTAGAAGTTAGACGACATGGCTCCTCCCATGTTACCCCAACCAACATGTATGGCCAGAGCTGTGGCTCGCTTGTAGTTGCCTGCGACGTTGTTGCTGATCCAGGCCATGTTTCCGGGGAATGCAGAGTAGATTCCTATGAGAAGTATGAGTTTAGGTCTTTGTGTCCAGTAGAATGAACTACAGGGGGGCTTTTTGAGTGCGACTGGAATTCTTACCAATTACAATGACAAACACTCCAGCATATGTGAGTCCTGGAAGACCACTACCAGCACCGGCCAGCGCCAGTACATATCCAAATGCTGTCACCAGCAATAGCACAATCAGAAATGGGGATCGTTGTCCATGCTTATCGGCGAACCAAGCAACAGCGATTGATGCAATGCAAGCTGAGGCATAGATGGGAATCTGCGGTTCATCAGTCTCGTTCAACGCTGATTGAGAGTAGAGCTTTCCATACAGTCATTAGTTGAGCAATATTCGACACATAGCCCAGTGCTCGAATGATAGTGGGCAAAAACACCGAGATGCCTATTTCACGTCAATTAGCCACTGCCATGAAGAGATGAGACATTAACTCACCATAAAGTGGTACGACCATCCCCATGTTCATAAACATGGCAACTAGAACATGCCAATCTGTGAGGGCGTCTTTGAGATATTTCCATTGAAACTTTTCGTCCTGCTCAATGACGGCTCCCTGGGCATTTCGGGCCTTGAAAACAGTCCGGTCGACGATCCATTGTCTCTCTTCAGGAGTCAAAAACTTTGCATCAGCTGGCACATTGTAGATGACAAAGAACGCCCCAACAGCGAGAACGACGGTCAAGATTCCTTCAAGGATGAAAATCCATCGCCAGCCTTCGACACCTCCTACCCCGTCCATTTTCTGGTTTGTAGGTTAGACGCAAGTTTCTTGGTTTAATGGAATTGAACGTCCACATACAGCAATAGCAAAGGCCAGCAAGCCAGAGAATGCACCAGCTAGACTTGCAGACGCGAAGAACAGAGCCTGCCGATATTGTGCATCTTCTCTCGAATACCATTGAGTGACGTAGTAAAGAATTCCTGGATATAATCCTCCTTCTATATGGTTGTCAGTGGATGATTGAAAAGAGTGGAACAAGTTTCTTGCTGACCGGCGACACCTAGAAAGATACGGGCAATGAGAAGGCCATGGTAATTTTGCACTAGCCCGGTCAAGGTCTACTTAGATGTTAGCGAGATATGACAGCAGGAATCATCCTGTGTTGTTGATTAAGCACCGTAACAACGCCCCATGCGACCATGATGGTCGGAAGCCAAACACTGGGCTTAAACTTCTTGAGCAGAAGATTCGATGGAATCTCGACTGCTGCGTAGGTGAAGTAAAAGACAGTCACTGCAGAAACGGGTTGGTAAGACATGTTCAAACGGCAGGACCTGCAAGGCAATACTTACAGCAAAGGTTGAATTGCTGGCTGTCAATGTTCAAGTCTTCTGTCATACCCTCGATTCTTGCATTACCAATATTTGCTCGATCCAAGAAGCTCATGAGGTACAGAATGGCAAGTACGGGGATGATGCGGATGTCGAGCTGCCTCAACACCTTTTTTGCATCGACCTGCTGTACAGAGCCTTCACCACCAGAAATGACTTCTTCCATAGTGTCATCCATGCTGTCAGGGTCGGCCTGATACAGGCTTGCGGTCTTTTCGTCTTGTTTCTGCATTTTGAGTAAAGAACTGGAGATGTCGAATCTTGCAGAACAATTGCAAACTGGATGTGGGATTGTGGTGTTGATATACCGACCACGGTCAGAACATTGAAGGGCTCACAGTGTCCTTCTAGGCGGCCTTGAATTTCTACTCTTGCTCTCGTTGGCCAACATCCAGATAAGGAATTGCTGCCGTTTCTGGTTGGAAGTGGGGCGCCGGCGAGTGGATCCCGATGCCATTAACGAGTGGAGGAAGGGTCGAGATTCTTGGGCGCCATGTTGTGAGTCTATCACAGGGTATGTGATTGTGCATGCTAATGGATGATATCCCTTGTAGCTCGGTTATACAAGGCATTATGAGCGCGGATGATGGCTTTTAACAACAAGGGCTCGACGGTCGAATACATCCATGGTGGATGGATTGAGGAGATTAGAGATGGTATTTCTTCAAGACAATACAATGTGGAAAGTACCTCGGGTACCATTCCAGGTCGAAGTTCAGAGACTGAACAACTTGTGACAGTGATTGAGTGAAGCGTGGTGCTGCAATGATCTGGGGCGGGTACCAATCTGACCCGTGTGCTCTCGTGTCTAGAATATATATTCATTGACATTGAACATTTGAGTTTTACTCTATACCTGACTCTGAACAGAAATACACTGGTAAACGTATACTTCATCTGACCTCTGACCCAAGGCTCTTACATAGTCCTGGTTTCACAAATGAGCGGCTGGCATGGTTCAAGGTCGTGAGAATAGAAGATTAATGAGTCGATGGAAGGGCATTCAATGAGTTCACACGTGACCTGCTCAACATTGGTGTCACCTTCCTCCCTAGCTGCAAGGGATATAGGAAGGTGGAGCCCATGAAACCCCGTGACTTCCAAGCCTCAGCCTTGTCCCTCAGCCTTGTCCTTCTCTCCAATTCCACCCCACGTGGCAGCCTGGCGCCCCCACCACGATCCCAATTGACATCATTTCTACTGCGGAAACTAAATTCCCTTCCATCGTCAATAAACTCCTCCAGGCAGGGTGTGAATATCACCTCTGAGAGGCATCTCCTCACAATGTCTTTCAAATCCTCGGGTCCAAAGACTCGTCCTGACCCTGTCAAACCTCGACAACCCTCTCTACCCACCGACAGTATCCCGCAACCTCCAACATGGGCCACCCAAGGCCAATCCAAATCACGGAGATCTTCCACTTCCTCCACTTCCTCGAGCGACTCTTTCCACTCCGCCCGTTTCGATCCCCTCGAGGAATCTGCTATGATAGCCTCTTCTCATAGCCTCAAGGCTCAAGCCAATACTCAATTTGCCAAACAAGATTATACCCAAGCCATTTCCACATACGACAGGGCTCTGGCCGAACTACCGAATTACCTCGACTATGAAATGGCAGTGCTTCAGAGCAACATTGCCGCCTGCCACTTGAAACTTGAACAATGGAAGAGTGCGGTTCAGAGTTGTGAGAAAGGACTACAAGGACTCGAAAGAGAATTACCAACCGCACCCAAGAAGACCGAGAAGGGCATGAAGAGCAAGAAGACCAAACAAACGAACAAGTCACAAGCCAAGGCAGGGGGTTTGAATTCCGATACGGAATCCGAGGACGAACCCTCTGCGCCAATACCTCCCCAGACGGACGATCAAGTGGTGGAACTCGACTCTTCCGCCGACGAAGCCGATATGCTGGCCAAGCTCAATCTATCAGATCAGCGCAAAGCCGACATCCACCGAATCCGGACAAAACTTCTCCTACGTCGCGCAAGAGCTCGCTCAAGTCTTCCATTCGCCAAAGCCAAGGATCCTGCACAAAATGACACCGCCAAATCGAGATTCAATCCCGACTTTGTATCAACCTGGTCATCCTTGTCATCAGCTTTGGCAGATTACCAATTATTATCAACCCCTCCATATTTCAACACTCTCCCACCTTCAGATCAAAAGACAGTCCGACAGGCTCTAGTGAGTCTTCCTCCTCAAGTGGAAAAGGCCAAGGAGCACGAAGTAGGTGAGATGATGGGCAAGTTGAAAGACTTGGGTAATGGCATTCTAAAGCCTTTTGGTTTGAGTACCGATATGTTCAAAGTTCAGCAAGGCGAGGGTGGAGGATATAGTTTGAATTTCGATGCCGGCGGAGGAGGCAAGAAATGAACCAAGTAGATGGTTGAATTGTAGAAAGATGCGAGCATTAGCCAGCGACATATATAGAGAATGTGTCTCTGTGTGTGTGGGAATTCTCAGATACCTGCGATCCCACAGTTGACTCTCTGAATTTGCCATCCTTCAACGTACATCTACTCCCTTCTTGTTTCATCTACACAACTGACCTTCCCAATGCCTATTCCGCCCATCTCTACCATCCATCCCAAGACACCGTTACACGACATTATCACGCGTCCGTCATCTCGGAACCTTGAATTATCTATCGTGTGCATCTCCCTCTTTTGATATTCTGTCTTGTGTCTCTTAGCTCCCACCATCCTACATACCTGCCCCCTCATCTCCCAACACAAACACACAAAGCCTCTACAGCGAATAAAAACAAAAACGGAAAAAGGAAAACAAAACGAAAGAAACGAAAAGCGAAGTCACAAAGAGAAGCGCATTGGTAACATGAATTATTGGAACCAATTGAAACCCCGAACGGGATCCCCATTTCTAGTCATATGTACTGTATCCTGTATCCTGAGGATAGATTCCTGCATCTCGCTGATGCCCTGCCCATGCCATGTCTAAAAATCGATGAACTTGAATGTGGTTTCAATCGTAACCATCCAACCAACCACTTCACGATGGAAACTTTTCGTAAAAGACAATTCCCACCCAATCCCAACCGACATATTCATTACCATCCCTTCAAATGAGTCCCAAACTTTCACTTTCTCAAGCTCTATGATAGTCCTTTGGTGTCATAAAGCCCAAGTTGATGCTGAAGTGGAAGTGGAAGTTGGCTCGAGAGAAGTAGTTGCCGAGGTCTGAATACCGTCTGTAAGGGTTCGCTTGAAACTGACCATGCTATGCGATGCTGTACTGTACTGTACTATGCTGAACTTGACCGAATGAACGCTGAACGCTGAATACTGAAAATAACACCTTCGCTGATGCTGATGCTGCACTTGACTGACTCTATTGGCCAGATCCCAGAGGAAAAGATAACTCCGGGTATCATTTTTTTTTGGGCGTTTTCGATGTCCTTTTGGTGTCAGCTGCAGCTCTTGTAGCTGCTAAAAGGCTGACATGCCTGTATATGATATTGGTGAGCGCGACTCGTGATCGTCCTCATTGTGCAATACAATGGATCTCTCTGTATGGAGATCTAGCCCGAAGTAATTACTTTGAGCTCTCCAAGACGATTATGGACTTCTGGACTGGGATCGATATCTCCGCTGGCTTGGATGCTGATGATAAAAGTGATTGGAAAAAGACGTCGAAAAAGACACGGCGGAAATAGTGTCCAGATTGATTGGCGCTCCGTGTGACATGTAGGTTTCCATTCAGGTTTGTTGTTTGGGTATCCAATATATATATGATCTCCGAAAGCTCGATCATGTCGTGAATTGGTTGTATGGATAATTGATTGCCCGCTGAATTGGACATACGACAAAGAAGCCCACTCGTTGTAGTTGGTGAATGGCTCTTGCCAATGACCCGGATAACAATGCCAATGTGTTTGTCAAGCTCTCAGACTGTAAGGATGTGATAATGATGGCGTTAAAAATGTGGTAAGGATGTTTTGATTACCTGTCATATATGTTTATGATCAGGCCATTTGTCCTTGTCCAAAAGAGCACTTTCGATGCTAGAGTTTATATTGACTGTGTTCCGGCGCAGACCCCCATCGATTCAGTTCATTGGATAGTAATGATTCGAATCGAGACCCGCGTTGGGGTCTGGGAGAGTCCTCTGTGAGGACGGAGTGGTGACACCTGCACCCTGCGAATGTCGGACATTCGAATCTTGTCTCTCAACAATATGGGACAAGTTCGGGTCCAGTGGGCCTGCGAAGAACACCGGAGTTTGCACTGGAGCCATTGGATGATTGAGGGCGTTGTATGTGTTATGGAACGGAGCAAACCCGTGAGAGGGCAAGGTAGAGCTCTGTACTTGCGCATCCGTTCTCGGCAAGAAGTGGTGGCTCGCATCCACCTCGGGTTGATGCTGCCCTGGTGTCTGCACGGGGAAGTTCCCTGGTCTGGGAATGGCTGAAGACCATCCAGATTGCTGTGGTGGCCCCATACTGCGATATGGCATCGCGTGCATTTGGTGATATGCCCTCGCCGCCGCAGCTTGTCGAGCATACTCTGGGTCGTCTTCTGGCAACAAACCCACTGGTCTCACGGCTGGAGTCTCTGGAACAGGGACCATCGGAGGTCTCTGTACTGACATTGCGCGAGGCATTGCCTCGGTTGCCGTCTCTTGCCGCTGAACCTCAGGAGTCTGAGGCTCCGTAGCAACCTCAGCCGTCTTCTGGGTTGCGCCTGTCTTTCGGCGCTTTCCGGTCGGTTCCTCCCCCATGGCCTCTCGACCGCGCTTCATCATGACAGACTTTTCCGCATTCAGCTTGCGGTTGGACTCGGTTCGGGCCTTATTTTGGGGTGGATCGTCGATCAACTTGACCAAAAACGGCGCATCGAAGCACCGCTTCGCAATGGACTTGGTCGAGGCCAAGACTTCACAGACCTTATCAAAGCGTGTGGCGAAGTTCCAACCATGCTTTTTGTACTTATACTTGTGAGGTTCGTACGCCTCGACGATATTGTCATTGAATCGAGACGCAGCCTCGATTTGGGCGTAGATCTCCCAGCATCTGGCCTCCACGAGAAGGTTGTCGTGGTGCTCAATCTTGAAGAGACGCTGCAACGCCTCGGCTTCACCACAGTTGGCTGTGGTCTTGAAGGCAATAAATAAGGCCTTCACGTGGGCCCGTCTTGCGCGATCCGTAGTTGGGATCGTCGGGTCGAAAGGAGTTTTCCCTCCCAAAAGCAGAGAACGATACTGGCGTGCCGCAGCCGCGTTCGAGAAGTAGGTCTCCTCATATTCCTGGCCGGCCAAACCAAGACTCAGAACATCCGAGCTCACGATCAGGCTTGGGTCGTAGTCTTTGAAAAGAGTATGACCCCGCTTGTCTTCGCTTATACCGTCGTTGGCCTCCTTCAGGTTCTTGGCCTCTTGCAGACCGTCCTGCTCTGCCCGATCGTGAGCGCATTGCATGGATCCTGAGGATCCAATGCTGCCAAAAGTCGCAGGAGAGTACGCCAAAGGACTCGTGCTGCGACCCGCCTGGTTTGAGGCATCTGATTGGTGCGCCATTGCTGAATGTGGTCGAGAGAAATTGGAGGACGAGGAGGATAATCGGGATGGGACTTGAGGATATTGCTTGGGACAAGAGCCCAAGGGGGTTAAGGTAAGGTGGGGATGAGGTAACTTCGGCTCTCTGGTGATTGATTTTCTGGAGGAAGATCGGTACAGTGTACCACTTCACTTTGGCCAGGGAGAGGTTCGGCTTGAAGAAAGAGGTGAAGAAGGGCTGAGATGAAGAGAAAGAAGTGATGAGGAAGATGTGAGTGGCAGAGCGAATTGAAAGTGAGAAGTTTTGACTTTGGAGAATCGGTACAGCGAACTGTTTCGATCGGTCAAGATAAGAAATAATGTTGTAGGGAAAAGGAAAAGTTGTCGACCAGGTCGTGAATTCGAGATATTTCAATATCTGAGGGAGGCTGCCAAGACAAAGAGTCTGGCTCCTCCCAAGGGTGAGTCAAAGAGCGTGAAGTACTGCTCCCTGTGACTGGGTCAGTCTGATTGTGACTGGTGTTTCATAGTCTTCACGTTCTCAGAGGTGCCCGGGCAGTAACGTGTCAATATACACGTTACTAACTGTCTGGTGTTGCCTCTGATAGTAATGTGTCGGCAGTAACACTATCAGCTATGTGCCTCTAGCAGAGACAAGTCAAAGACCTCGACCACATTGTCGAGGGAGAAGGGGGTTTGCTAGACAAAGGAGCATGCTTTATGAGCATGATTCCTTTAAGAACCCCTTGTGATGCACCTCACAAGGAGTGTTAGTCCATTGTCACCAGAGACAAAGCCAACCCATGTGGCCGCTATAGTTCCGGTCTGGGGATGAGGTGCATCGAGATGACTGTCTCAGAGTGGTTTAGCGTGAAGAAGATGGCGTGGAGGTGGTGATGGTTGTAGTGAAGTGACGGGATTGTAGTAACGATGTGGTCGGAGTCCTGGTTGCAACATTTCTAGTGGTTTCAGTCGTAGCAATAGTGTCTTGCCTTGACCTACTGACATCTAGAGCGGACTCATGTGAAAGCCATGACTTGCATGTGGCAGGGGGAGATCCATGGAGTTGACATCTTGATCTATCTCGTGCATAGAATGATATTTTCTTCAGTCAACTTGGCGAAATGGTGTCTGTTCAGGCGAAGTTCTTGTTGTCATGGTCGATGATACCATCAGCATCATTGTGGGCTTGTGACTTATTTCTCGGTGGCCATATTCTTGTCGGGTGCCTCCATCACCCTTGGTGGCCATATTCTCTTGGGGTGGTATGGCATCCTCAGTGCCTAGCAGCAGCAGCCATGGCTTGGTCCAATGGACTTGCAGATTGCACTTGTTTTGGAATGGGTCTGAGATCGAGTCCAGAGTCATGGACATCCGTCATCGATCTGTTTCCCAATTGTGTTCTTTGTCAACGACTCAGCCAAACAGCCTTGCCTCGACGATGGAACGGTATGTCAAGCCAATTCGACTCTCTTCAATATTTTGTCTGGAGCCCATGCGTGGTCACTGCGAATCTCAAATACTTTTGGCCTTGACTGGGGTACTTGAGATCGACAGCAACAGGGTCCTTGTCGGCGGTGGTATGAACTTTGAAGGAGGTACAGCATGCCGAGCGGACAGGACACCGCGTTGTTTTGCATGACTTCTTCTCAATGGCAATCCTGGGATGCTGTCGCTACTTCTCGACGCAGCTAGAGACACCACTCGATGTCTCATGTCAACAACATTCAATTACCCGCCTTCGAATCAATGGTCGATGGTATCGAAGCAAGAGAATGCCGTTACTGATCGAGATGGTGGTCTCAATGGAGGGATGGATAGGAGGAGGAAGCCAACCACAGAAGCAATGACAGGGGAAGGAAGGAAGGTGATGCCACACAAAAGAGCCGGCAGACCTTGGTGTTGTTCATCTTTCTGTGAATCAATGCTTACTGTGGTTCCAATCACCATTCCTGTGTAGGAAACCATTTCAAAGGTTTCCATCTTGACAGGCAGGACTGGGATTGGAACAAGAGAGTGTGAGGGGAAAAAAAAGGAGAAATAAGTGAGGAAGTGGGAAGAAAGAAAACAGAAGACAGAAGAGGGAGTGAAAAACCTTTTGTCTACAGGATTCTTCTTGGCGGCGTCGACGACATAATCACTGCCTCAGGCTTGGCTTGTATGAAGTTTGCGCTGGACTTGGAGAAGATGCGCAGCAGCGGCTGAAGAAAAAGAAGACGTCCTGTGATTGCGGATGGCAATCTATCCAACTGGAGGCCGGCCGGAATCAGCAAGACTCACAAGCAAACATGGATGTTGTGAGTCGATGTGAACTTTGCATACTGGCCGCAATCAAGGGCAACAAATCGACAGAGAGCCGACGACAAGGTCGAGCGGCATGGAAATTCCAGGACTGTACAGGACTGTACAAAAGCAAATGGGAGAGGATACTGTGACCCTGTGAGGCGGTGGAGCTGATGGAAACCAACATCAGTATTGATGGTCAAGGTCACAGAGCAACTGGACACAATGCCTCTCAGGTTCTGAAAACGATGAAAACGACGCAACAACAGCATCGGTCAGCTCTGGATATGTGGCTGAGACGACAACAACATCCACACAGCATCTAAACAGAGGATTGAAGAGGATTGAAGAGAATTGAAGAGGATTGTCGTTGAATCAGAGTCGATGATGCATATGACGCTAGTTCAAATTTGGAAATTAAAGGTGGAGACGGAAATCACCCCCGATGAAGAAACGACCAAGAACCAAGAATTGTGTAACAATGGCACAGAACTGGACTTGGGACTTGGAAATCAAAAGGTTGTAAAGGCTTGGGGAGTATCAAGAGGAAAATGGCCGCCAAAATGAAAGACTTGAAATCCGAAGAAGTACAAATCTGGGGGGTTTCACTAGTCTACCGCCCACAATTTCAATGAGCCATCTCTAGCATTCCCATCTCCCACTGTTTCTTCTCCACCAAGATCAGGGAAATGCCTCTGTCCAGATGTGGTTGCAATTACGGTCCCTGTCTTGTGGATTGCTGCAGTTGAGACAACATCTAGCTTGAGTTAGTCCGGTTTTATTTACCACCGAGTGCCAAACATACCATTGTGAGCATCAAACTCAGATGAAGGCGGCATTGGACCTTCTGAATGATGGGGATTTCGCCATACTCTCAATTTTCCATCGATTCCTCCGGCCCAGACTTCATGGCCCCCCTCTTGGTCTGTTGGAAAGATATCAAACGACATGCGCTGGTTTGTGACCGAGTTCCGACCTTCCAACCACGTCAAAAGCTGACCGGTCTTTCTGATATCGTAAAGATGCAGTCCATCACTTTTTCTTTCGGCAATGTACAAATACCTGCCACATGGACTCCAGGAGACTTGTGTGACACCACTGCCACGGATTGCAGCATCTGCGCTGTTCCCTTTGACAGAAAACACGCCGATGCATTCTCCGTCACCCATAGACTCATAAAGCCCTATCGATCGATTGAATGTGCCTGCAGCAAGAACGTGGGTGGATGGTTCGATGGCAAGGGTGGATATCAGCCCTCTCATATTGATGGCTGGATTATGATGAGAATCGCCCCGTCGGCGGGGTCCTGTGGGAATGGCCGAGATTGGCTCCTGACCAGGTCGGGACAGATCAAAAGTAGAAATGAGAGATTCAGAACCAGCAATGAACCGATCTCCAATAGAGTTGAAAGTCAACGAATTGGGACAGATGTATGCCTCGGTCATGGGATTGATCAAAGGATACGACGCGCCGAGTTGACCCGTCAACGCCGAGTTCAGTTTGATGGGCAGATCCCGCCGTGCTGATAGCACAAGGGTGGTTTGCGGGTCAGTGAGATCAAAGTGAGGATACCCAGTCAATGCATTGACAGGATCATTAGATGTGATCTTGCAATATACCGACAGGTCGAGAGGCTGTTCCCTTTCATCCATAAGATCTGGAGGTCTATCACAAGTCAGCTCCAACTGTACCATCATACCATCATGTACGTCGACTTACACTACATAGGTATATATAGAGTTCGAGGCAGTGACCGCCAGCAGACATGTTCCATCTGCACTCCTACCTAACATTAGCCAACGTCAATGTATTCTCCAAAAAACATTACCATTGAACATGTCTAAAGTAATCCTCGCCTGTTTCCGAGGTTAAAGCTGTCGCGAGACATTTTGCGGACATTATTTCTAGTGGGCTAGCATTGGGCTGGGGGTTGATGTTAACGAATACCAGTGGAGTTAGCAGGGCCACAGGTCCCCATTATTATTGTACGGGACTGTATTTCTAAAAGTTCAAGTACATGATCATTGTGACAGTCTCAAATTGCTGCTTCATAAACCTCAAATCAGATACTCGAATGTGGTTTTTCTAGAGAAAGTGACATCTTCCGCCAAGATGTTTCGCTGTAGAGATTATCCGGCGAAACACAACACGTCGCCTGCGCATTGATGTTGACAATTGAATTTCTTGATCCCTTCGCGCTTCACAAAAAGACATGATCAATGTTTCTTCCTTTCTAACACCACCATATCTCCCTCCCTGTCGCCACCATGGCGTTCAATTTTGGCACGTCAACAGCCAAGCCGACTCTCAATTTATCTGGTCTCGGAGCCAACAACACCAACACCACCCAGAACAACCCCAATACCAACAACACCACGTCTCTTTTGTCAGTATCTACCATGTTCAGCAGGAACGGGGGCCCTCTGCTAACTGCGAACAATAGTTCCCAAACAACTACACAACCTTCTAATACCTCCACACTCGGCGCGTCCACCGCTGCCCCATCCCAAGCACAAATCGACATTACACATCTCCGGTCGACCACGAAATTTGACCAATTGACGCCCGATCTACAAAAGGAAATTGAAGCTGTCGACACTCTGATTCTTAACCAGATCAAGTTGGCGTCAGAAGTCTCGGATCTCCTTCCCACTGTTATTGGCGCTGGGCAAACATTACCTGTGGGGGTGGACTTTGTCAATCAGAAATTAGAAGAAGTTGAAGCCGGTCTGGGCAATGATGCGGAAGCTATTATCGCAGCAAGAGACGGAGCCATGAAGAAGGCCGAACTGGAAGCCAAATGCGTGTTCCGGGTAGTGGACCGACTAAAGATGCCGCGACAATATCAAGTCAGCCACACTCAAAACGAAAGCTTGAATGGCACAAACATCTATGGCGCATCTGGTCTCAGTGGGTGGTGGAACAATCCTCAAACATTGAGAGGTAGTGTTCGAGCTACACACACCAAAGGCGACACCATTCAATTGCCCGGAGATGATGCCGAAGAGGCTACGCAGGGACCCAAGAGTCTGATTGAATTGTTCAACACTCGTTCGGAAGAGATGAGACAATCCATCAAAGAGAACCGAGATTTACTGTCTGAAATCGAGTACTATGTCCAGGGACTGGAAGGAAAGGTCATTGGCAAAGAACGAGAACTCAACGAACGATTGAACTATGGTGATCGTACTGGGGCCACCTTTAACGAAAAGGACCAAAAGATCCAGCAATTGCGTTATGTCTTTGGCGAAGTCCAACGGAGCTTGTACGACGTGGCCGACAGGGTTGGAGCTACTAGAGAAGCTGTGGCTGAATTACCATTGTCGAGGTCATGAAAGGCATGTTCTTGTGATACTTGAAACATCCAGAAGGCCATCACAAAAGTTGACGAGCGACTGATACTTGGACGATTGTTGGCAACAAATTAGAATCGCAGGGCCATCGACACCACCTAGGTTCTTAGAGACTAGGACAGGACGAGTCTGTGCAGGCAGCTTCGTCGAAGAATACTTTCCTGTCAGGGTATGGCTAATAGACAAGTTGACAGCAATGTCTCAGAATCCTGAGATTGTTCACGCGATTCCATGGTATGAAGGTCTGCCAAGACAAGGATGTTCACTCTACCTAGACCGTGGACATTGAAACCAACGAGGGATACCCACGAATTACGGCCGGGTCGATGGAAAACACGGGCGTTAAAGACTTGTTTGAAGGGCTGTGGTTTTGTGGATGCTACAAGAGGATGGATGCATTTCGCATCTACACACATTCCCGAGATAAGAGATGAGGAAATGAGAAAATGAAGCCGCACATGAACACAATACATCATCTCAGAATGATGAACGACACGTGTTTTTACGGCCACTCCATTCCCCAGCAGCAGCAGCAGCAGATGAAGGCATCCACATCCACTGCCACAACCACAACCCTCGAGACTTCACTCCCAGTCTTTATCCCATTTATTTCGCCGCCTCTTTACTCTGTTTCTTGGCCTCATCTTTCCTCCTCAACAACTCTGCCTCTTCATCCTCGATACTTTTATCAATCTTTGCACCACGCGAGGGTTCATTGCCATGCATACGAGCCGGCAAAGTCGGATCGATTTCTCCTGCTTTGGTTTCCGCATCCTTGACTTTTCCCGATGAATCATCATTGGTGGGATCAGCGGCCGCAAGGCGGTTGGCGATGGATCGTTGATCTTCTGCAAAAAATGGAAAGAGATGCGGTGGTTAGTGATGGGGGCTTTGGATAGATAGGCAGATAGAGAAATTCAATCAACAGAGAATAAAAACTTACTAGAATCATTTGCTTGATGACTATTGGGTTTTCCTTCTTCATATGGCACAGCTTGATTCTCGGGCTTGTCTGCGTCTTTGTGATTTCTCTGGTCGCCTGCTTCGTAGACGCCACTGGTTCCGACGGATGAGTTTCCTGACATTTTGTATGGAAATGTGGAGGTGATATTGGGTTCAGGTAGGTAGGTAGGAATTAGTATTGGATGTTGTTGAAACAGCGAGGAGTAGACGAGTGAAGGAGGTAGTAGGAAGGAGGAACGAGGTACTTCTTCTGGTTCTGGTAGGGTAGGGAAGGGAAGGTAGGACAGTAGATATATATTCAAAGAGCGCACACAAAGATACTCATACATACATATATACTACCTACCTACCTACCTCATCAACAAGGCAAATTGACATGACATGACATCACGGTCGGGGGGTTTTGACGTTGCCATATTTGAGTTTTGAACCTTTTGGGTTTTCCAGTCAAGAAAAAGGTACGCGAGGGGCATGAAGTCATCAGATCCACTCGAGTTGCATTGACGGGACATGCCATACTACAGCTTGTGTTTGTGTGTTTGTGTGTGTAATAAGTGCTGGTCGACGTTATTCACTGATCTATTGAGTAGGCGTTCAAATAAGTAGAATGAGTATAGATTTCATGTCTCCAGCATGCCTCGAGATTGAGTCGACATAAATCTCTACCCAGTAAATCATTCATGAATTCATTTCTACTACGATACCAATATTCAATCGTCGGCTGCAACGACTGGACCCTCCATTCAACTCCTTTTCCTGTCTTTCCCCTCCATCTCCCTTTTGACCAATGCAATACATTCGTCCATCACATCACTGCCTATCCTCCATGTCCGTAACACCACACCTCTCTGTTGCATAATCTCCTCGGACCTCTGCCACCGTCGTTTCCAAATTTCCAACTTTTTGTCATAAGGGGCCCCAGGTGCTCCGCCATCACCACCAGCCATGGGGTCTCCACCACTTGCACCTGTAGCCCAACGTGCCGCAGCTGCGGGATATGAAGAAATCCCTCGTCGAGGAGGAACAGGCGGACCTCCACGACCATCTCCCCCAAGTCGTGTCGGATCTGGTACCGATCGAATCTGTGGTAGAGAGTTGTATGCCGAAACAAGCTGTCGTCGTGCACTAGCGACGTAGCCTTCTTGCTCATTACGGGAATAGCTCGATGACATGCTGGTGGATGTGTTGGTGCGTGAGACAGGCGGAGGTGGTGGCTGAGCAGCATTGGTCGATCGGTTTGATGCCGAGCTTGTCTGGCGAGAGACATTGGTAGTACTTGAAGCCTGATTCTGTCGGGTAGATGAAAACGGTGGGCGTGACAAAGGTGCAAGGCTGGAAGACTCTGGATTGCTCAGATTGATCTTCACATCCTTGGAAGCCCGTCGAGGTTTGGGTGGTGGAGGAGGTCCCTTTTTCTTGATCGAATCTTGTCCTTCCGTGTCCGAGGTTGATAATCTTTCATGGTTGGTCGGTGGCATAGATTGAGTCGAGAAATTCCTGAGACTAGATGGTTTGTTAGGTCGATTTGGTGGTTGTTTTCCGTTTGGATCGAGGAATTTCATATCGTCCTGATATGTTGCTTTTGGCCGAATTGCCTTTGTCTCCGCATCCTCACTAAAGTCAATCAGATCCTCCACTTCAGGTTCAGGATCTGATCTGGGTCTTGCAGGAAGGGCCGGTCGACTCACTTCGGCTTCGTCGTTTTGGGGAGAACTGCTGAAACGAGACCGGTCTTTGGTGATGAGAGTGTCCGGGGGCGGGTGGGAAACTGACTGATCGAAGAAGCCTTTTTGGATCGGAGACGTGACATCTCGAATGAAGACTCCAAGAACCCGACCCGGATGGTCTAGCACGACATCAGTGTAGACTTCGAGATCTGCTTCCCCACTGTCGCCCACCAAGATGAATTTCCGTTCGGGAAAATCACTCATGATCCGATCTAAGGAGCCTCGCTTCCTTTCGGCAGCAGGCTCAAAGATACCCTGAAGCATTCCAGAATATTGCTTCAGATGAAAGGATCCATGTGGTAAGCCGGCCAGAGAGAAATAGCTACACAACAAAGGGTACAGCTGCCACGGTGAATTGGAAACATAGTGCATCTTGACTCCCATATTCGCCATTGACGTATACCACTCCTTGACGCCTTTGATGGTAAGGTCACCAAGTTCTCGGACAAAAGTATTCTTGAAGATCTCTCTCGCCCCACTGGCAATAGCTGAATGTTTGATTGTGTCATCAATGTCACTGATCAAGCTGACTCCTTGACCTTCGGTAACAATGACATCCTCTGTTGCAGACAAATTTTCCGAAGCAAGGACCCTGACTTGTTGAGGAACGAAATCCAAAGCAGCTCGTAGATTAAAGTGTCCCGATTCATCCGTGATGACTGTCTTGGAGATTGATTTTTCGTCATTGAAGAAAAACACCGTAATGGGTGTGTTGGCCAAAGCGACGGTCATGAACGGTTTCAATCTCGACATGAGCAGTTTGTCGGCAGCGATCAATTCCTCCCGGCTCATTTCAGCCGGCTGATTCCAGGATTGACGCTTGAGATATGCAACATGACCAGGATCTTGATCGAGTGTGTCATTACTCGAGAATGTACTCGATCGTGAGGAGGAATGATCACTGGCTGTGGAACGGCTGTAACTGCCTCGAACTGCGGCATCGGCCTCCATCTGGCCATGTCTGGCAATGTTTTCTGCTTCCCTAGCCGCAATCTCGTCTTCATGTTTGGTGGGGTTATCATCTAACCGTTGACGATCGCTGGGGTTCTGACTGGATAATCTGTTGTCTTCAGGACTAGGCTGCGGGGCGTAGATGCCACTCAATCTTCTGGCCACGGCAATCAAGAGTCTATTCTTGCGGTTGAGGGGTCCTGACTGGGGAGAGTAGATCCAACCTCTAACGTCGACATCAACCACGGCGTTGGCATCTTCGTATCTCTCCCATTCCCTTTTCCAATAATCGGCGTCCCCACTGTTAGTGTGGTGCTCAATGCTTTCATGTGTGCCTGGTTGTGGTCTTGCCTGACCAGTTCGGTCGGGATCTCGCTTCACGTGGGGTCGGGCGTAACTGGGGAACAGTATCATCTCCTCTTTGCCACTTCTAATGATGTCGACATCGGGGAAATCCCCGGGCATGGAGCCATCCTCACTCGCCTGCAGCTTCTGCTCCAGAGAGGCTTGATACGTCTGCCTCAACTCGTTGGCTGCGCGGAGATAACCTCTGACCTTGTCTCTTCTGGAACCCGGTACCCTCTGTTGCCCACCTCCATAGGCGCCATAGCTGGACATCGTCTCTGATGTGTTGGTGGGAGGTGTGGTCTTGGCTCCAGCATGTTGTCGCCCATACACCGCACGTAGAATCTTACTCCTGCGGCGATGCAAGAAGGCGCGAATGCCCTTTCCTTGTGCCTTCTTCTCTCTCTTCCGTCGTTCACGTCGAAGGATGGCCTGGTAGATCTGGGATTGCGCTCGATGACGCAGGTGGGGGAGGGTCTCGAGGCGGAACCCAAGGAGGTGTTCACGAGCTCGGCGGTGGGTGTTGGGGAAGAGGTAGCGGAACAGAGAGAATGTGTTTCGTTGTTTAGGGCCAGAGACACCCAAGCGGCGTAGAGGAGGAAGGGGAGCCAGGTTGGTAGGAGAGATGGAAAGTGGTGGTGGTGGTGGGGGTACAGAGGTGAGAGACGCGTGGGTTTAGGACTGTAATTAGCCAGGTAGGAACAAGGATGATGACGGGCTCGCTCGCTCGCTAAGCAGCTGAATAACAATAGGTAGATTTGGGAGAGTAAGAATGAGGGTCCATCCCTGACTGAGGCGAGGAGCAATGATGGAGAGGAGTTGGTGGTGGTTGTAGAGTTGATGTGAACAATGAATGTGGTTGAATGATTTTGTTGCTTGAATCTTGAATGTCAGATTCCAAGGCAGCGACGTCATCTCATCTCATCTCATCTCCCCCTTTGCACCTTCCTCAATCTCCGCCTTTATCAATATCCTCAGCCTCGTCAACAACATTGCCAGATTTCATCGCTCTACTCAACATTGCCAGATTTCATCGCTCTACTCAACATTGCCAGTATTCATCGCTGTACTCAATAAACCCATATTCACTACGCATTGTCTCATTAATTCTCGTCTACTAAATAACTACCTCTCCTCATATTTCCCATCCACTTCTTGTCCATTTGCCTTCTATGACAAAATTAATTCTTTCAATAGCTCGAGCTCCAAGCACATGACCAAACATCTTTATCCTCTGCTCACCATCCATTTGGACAAACTTCCGCAACCCCCAAGCTTGTTCATCTTCTCTTCGCCTCAAACTGCCGACAAGTACTTGGGCTGCCATAGGGTTGAGCCCGGCACGAACAAGAAACAATTCCCACAAGGTCTCATCGTGGATCAAACGCGCCATGTTTTCTGGTCCGCATGGAACGACGGGATACGCATACTTGGTGATCAATCCCCATGTCCATTGATTGAGCTTGTCATTGTTGATTCTTGTGTCACCCTGTGCCATGACCCAGGTAGGTCTCACGTTTGAGCCAACAGATCGACTGCAGAACCCAGAGAATTGGTTCATGACTTGGATCGGAACATCGAATTTGCCCGCGGCTGTCGTCGGCACAGTTATCATGACGCATACATGATCATATTGCTGCGAAAGTCGCTCAATTCGATCATAAAGTAATCCGTCGAACCGTGAAGCCAATTTCCCAGGTAGTTTCTTTTGGCTGAGTGCTTGAATATTTGTATATAAGAGGCAAGTTGTGGGATTCAAAATTATATCCGGAAACTCGCCACTCCCACTAGACGTGGATTCTCTCATACCTCGGTAGATTGCTGTCAATGGGTTTGATTTGTCTGCTTGGTCATCCAGCATCTTTGCAAGCGTTCGGTGCGACTTCAGTATGGCCGAGTTGACCACAATGCTTCGTGGCCAATCAAGGTCTTTCATCTCTGGACAGGGTTCGTCGATATCAACTTCCTGTAATGGAGTCCTCGGTACTTGAATAAGCGTCGAGTAGCTGCCATCTTTCATAGACCTCCAATTCTGGGTCGATTGACTCGATGATTGCACAGGCTGCTGTACCAGCCCCGGATCCGATCTCTTCTTGGGTGCAAGTAATCCTTTATACTTGCTACCACGTAATTGCAAAAACGTATCCAGGGCCCCGGATGCCGAGAAGCTAGGATGATTATATTCAGTCTTCGAAGGTCGGGGTAGGCGCTCGTTCGATGTTGTGAGTTCCTCAACTTCTGGTGGCCTTCTTTCCATCTGTAACATCTTGGCCTGGGCAAAGTCATTACCATTCATCTTGCGTGCCCGTTTTCGGCATGATAAATCTCCGTTGATGGTCACTGGTATTTCGACTGCGATGGAGTCTTGGTGTTGGATCGACGAGTTGAAGTTTACTTGACCATTTAGGGGTGCCTCCTTTTCTCGAGTTCGCTTTGATGGAATACTTCTGTTTGGAGGGTAGAACGTCGATTTGATGATGTCGGTCTCCTCGACAGCTTGACTCGCAATATCACCATCCTCTTCAAACAATCCCAGGTTGATCATCTCATCAATCTCGATGGGCTTTTCTGTCTCATCTCGATTCTGACTTTGAACAACATGGCTCGGGCTCTGATAGCTGTGAGGCGATTGTGTCTTCTCTGGAGCAATGATACCATCCATCGACAGGGCAGCAGTGTCAATGAATTCCATGAATTCGGCATCCATGTCACTTTCGGACAAGCCCATCGAGCCCTGGCATTTTAGCGGCAAGGTGTTTGCTTTTGCTCTTACGACGACGCCAAATTCTCCTGGAGATGATTCGGAGGGTTGGGGAATAGTCATCGTGTCTTCTCCTTCCACCCAAAGGTCTTTCACCGGACTCTCATGTTCCTGTACTGCATTACTGTCATCCAAGGCCTGGCTAGTAATGCTTTCTTCCGTATTCAAGGTAAAATCTTCGATAGCATCTATGCCAGACATCACGTCAGGCACGTCGGAAGGCGAGGAGATCACCTGGAAGGAATTACCCTGGAGACTATCCTGTGGCGACAGAATTGGAGTCGAGGACTGTAATTTTGGACCTTCCTGAATTTCAACGTTAGTATAGACATACATACGTGACTTCCATCAGAATATACCTTTGCTTTCTCACATAGTTGACCATACGTTCTTTTCTTATCCTCTTCCGTCCATTCAACGTTCAGAATCTTTGATAGAGTCACCATCGTTTCCCTTGTAACAACCAGCTTTTCCGAGTCCAGCATCTTGTTGACTTGGCGGAGTGATACCTCCACTTGAGCATTGGCCCAATCCATGTCGAAATCCTCAGTAAACTCAAGTTCCTGAAGAAGCTCTGAAATGTAGGCAGGGTCCTACTCTCGCCTTGATTTCATCTCATGCTTGAACTCCTCTACGTCACGATCATGGTCCGTGGAAAGAATGGGGACTTCCATCTTCATTTTCTGTTCCTTTCGGGGGTCGGGTAGAAAATCTGACCAATTGATCTGGAAATCTGTGGGAGGACGGAGAGTATTGGCTAAGAGTATACCTTCCTCACGTGTTAGTTTGATTCTTGGTTCCTCAAAGTCGAGCTTGATTTGTTGTAGGGCCTGGGCTAAGTGCTTTGAGTCGTCTTCCAAATCATCATTTCCAGGAATGGGAGTCAGAATGTTGAGAAGTTGTAGAATATCCTCGGCTTTGTGGTCAATGCAAAGGCCATGATGGCGAGCATATGCGAGAACGGGAAGAGTAGACATCATGATCAAGTTCAATGTCGTCCAATGGATACTCAACGACGATGATGTAGGTCTGCGAGATGAATAGAATATCGTTCCCATCAATGTGCACGTGTTGTTGAATGAAAAGGTCGGCCCGACCGATGATCCGTGGCCGCTCCTGCCATCAAAAAGGATCCATTCCTAGTATAAAGATACTCGGTACGGTACTTACATAGATGGACTGTAGAATTAAGACAATGTTCATCCGACTCCATAAACACACATCTCATTCCTTCATAATATCATTTCTCCAAGATCAGTCATTATAGTTGGATTGCCTGGCCCCGTCCTTGTTCACCTGAGGCAGTCCCCATTTAGCATTAAACTCCTCCTCCTGAGACTTGCCATCCGCGCTATAGCATGGTTTCTCTGCTGTGGTGGCCACTCTCACTCCATGTCGTCGATGGGGCATAAATCCAAAAGATGCTGAGTGAATAGTTGATCGATTGTCCCAAAATGCCACATCATGCTTCCCCCATTGAAAGCGAACATGGGCTTCTTGAGTTGAAACAACCAAGTCATTGAGATATCGAATGATGGCGTCACTTTCCGCTCGAGGAATTCCCACAATCTTGGTCACAAACCCTGGGTTGAAGAACACCGCCTTCCAGCCTGTGACGGGGTTGACTCGGATAAGAGGGTGTTCGGTGACCACTGGATCTCGCCGCACCGGACGACCTGCCCTGCGTGAGCCGTTGGCTTGCTCCTCTGCCGAGTGTAGAGCGGTCAAGCCCTCCAGGTAGATTTGCATTGGCCGAGACAGGGCATCATAAATGGCATATTGTGAGCACCACAATGTATCTCCTCCACCTCCTCGAGGTGGACCGGTCAAAACTTTTAATGATGTATATGATGGAGGTTGAACTTCGTAGGTCACCTAGATCTAGCTGTTAGAGACAAGAAATTGTGCTAGTTTTGAGTGTATACTCACATCGGAATGCCAGAGAAACGAGGGGGCGAACAGTGCCCGCTGATCAAGTGATTTATCTGTGGTATAGATGACGTGGACATCCTCCAAACCCTCTCGCTGAGGAACACATGTCGTTGCATGTCTGTGCAAGGTTCCGAAGAACTTGCCCAGTTCTCGCTGAGAATCGATATCGAAATCCTTCTGGTTTCTGAAGAAGACCACCCCTCGAGTGGCAATCAACCTAGCCAGATCGTACTTTTGAGCATCGGTCAACGTCTTGAGATTGATTCCTGAGATTTCAGTTCCAATCTTTGGAACATAGTCCACAATATCGGTGGCATCTTTGAGAAGATTCCGGAACTTGGGATCTCCAAGAAGACCTTTTTCCTCGTAGGGAGTGTCTGTCAATGGGGCCCATTTCACATCTGGGAATCGTGGTAGAAGGTAGTCAAATTCATAGTTATCATGAGATTCAACCGCAGTGCGTCCTGGTTCATATTCGTTGACCCTCGATGGTGCTGCTTTGACTGGAGCGTATTTAGTCGGCAACACGAGTTTGCTAGAGGTGTAGTTATCGAGTTGCACAGGGTCTTCAGCATGGGGAGCCATAGTTGCGTTAATGAGCGGACTGCACTGGGAATGGGGATCTGTATTGACAAAGAAAGGTGAAGAGGAAGTGGGCGGATAGTTGCAATTATATCCTAAATTCACAGAGATGTCTTCTCGAAGCTGAAGTGGCGATCCGTCGAGTCATATTCACGTCAGCTACCTTGCGGAAATCGGAGGGATATTGTACTCCACGTTCCATGGCCTATCCGGTCTGTGGCCACGTACAGACCATCCATTCGGTTGGACTGAAATGATACCATCGCGGGACGCGAGCGGGGCCGCTGACCAGCATGGAAGTGAAACGCGTGGTGGCACAACATCAGGCAGGATTGCAGGTACAAACATAGAAGGTGGCAATCTCGATGGATCTGGGGAACCACCATAGCATCTGATATGAACCTTCAATTTGTGTTCGAATTGTGTGATTCCACGCAGAGATTGGTCGAGAACGACTCCCAATATACCTTTTGTCCACGAGGCTGGCTGGCTGATTGGTCAGAACGATAACCGAGGGGCCCGCCGTTGCAGATCACGCAATATGGCATGCTATTGTCGTCAACAATCAGGGCAATATACGTGGACCAAGGGGCAGACGTGTGAGACTGTGGCCTGCAGTAGTGTTGAGTAAGACTAATAATCTTAAAGACGAATGTTATATCCATCGTCGTTGAATAATCTGAGAAAAAGTCGATCAGAGAATGAAGTTGAAGTTGAAGTTGAAGTTTAGGTAAGAAAACCACGCTTCAAGGGACAGAGATTCGCCGTATTCATTTCGTTCACACATAATCTTCTGAGTGGCAATTTTCATCCAGATGTTTGAAATCTAATACGTATATGAGGTATTTCCCCTTCTTCCCTTCTGGACACGACATATGTCAAATTGTTCCACTGTTCAAGGGACTAAGGCACCCGGATGGCTTTGCAGCGAACATCTCATTGTAAGTCTAACTGTACAAGTGCGCCTAAGAGGTATCAAACACACATCCAAGATCATAGCATCATCAAATCCATAGTAGGCCCATTCCTGAACCAAGCCCAAATCGTCAAAGTGGACAAGACACGTTCAACATCTCGTGCAGTCTATCACCAGAGCTCCGGATGATCCTAATCTATGCGAGCATGCCATTCCCAACCGTTCTATATATATCGACCAGTTCCATAATCTTTACTCCATCTCAATCGTCCCAGGGGGTTTGCTGGTGACATCGTATACAACGCGACAAACTCCATCGACCTCATTCACGATTCTTCGGCTGACACGTTTCAAGAATTCACCATCAAATGGGAACCAATCGGCCGTCATGAAATCTGTTGTTTCCACTGCTCTCAGAGCAATGACTTGAGCGTGGACCCGCTTGTCCCCCATGACACCCACGGCCTTGACTGGGAGTAGTGCGGCAAATGCCTGCGAGATTTTGCGGTACAGTCCAGCGGCCACAATCTCGTCAATGAAAATCTTGTCGGCGGCACGAGCAATCTTGAGCTGTTCTTCGTTGATTTCACCGAGGATCCGGATCGCAAGACCCGGGCCGGGAAATGGGTGTCGCCAGACCAACTCTTCAGGAATACCGAGGTTCGTTCCAAGTGCTCGAACTTCGTCCTTGAAAAGCTCCCGAAGAGGTTCGATGAGTTTGAGATGCATGCCCTCGAGAAGACCGCCGACATTGTGGTGGGTTTTGATGGTGGCAGAGGGTCCCTTGAATGAGATACTCTCAATAACGTCAGGATACAGTGTTCCCTGGAGGAGGAATTCAATGTCGCCTGCTCGAGGGGTCTCGGCGGCCTCCTGGGCAATCTCCTTTGCCTTTTCCTGGAAGATTTCGATAAATGTGTTTCCAATGATCTTGCGTTTTGTCTCTGGATCCGAAACGCCCTTGAGCTTGCCTAGGAAGATGCTGGTGGCATCAACAACGGTGAGATTGATACCGAGGTGCTCAGTCAAAGTCTTCTTGACCGTCTTGGCCTCATCTAATCGCAAGACTCCATTGTCGACCAACACCGCATGGAAACGATCCCCAATAGCTTCATGCATCAGCTTGGCAGCGACTGTTGAATCGACACCACCACTGACGGCTCCGATCACCTGGCCTTTCGGTCCAACAATGGCTCGAATGCGCTCGATTTCTTGGTCGACAAATTTCTCCATGGTCCAATCTTGCCTAGCGTTGCAAATCTTGACTGCAAAGTTACCGAGGACTTGAGTGCCGCGGGGGGTATGTGTGACCTCGGGGTGGAATTGGATGCCAAAGTACGGCTTGGTGATGCTGGCGACTCCGGCCCACGGAGCATTGGGTGTGCTTGCGATAGGTCGGAAGCCTTCTGGCAAGGCTGATAATTTGTCCCCATGACTCATCCAGACCTCGATGTCGTCCTCGATGCCCTCGAAGAGGCGGTCAATGTGATCCTCTTTGCCCGTGTGTCGTTCAATCTTCAGATTTGCATGCCCGTACTCTTTCTTATCACCCTGAGTGACACCCTTGCCAAACTGCCAGGCCATTTCCTGGAGACCATAGCATATTCCCAGGATGGGCACGCCAAGTTCCAAGGCGGCAGGGTCGACGTGAGGGGCATCGGCATCGTAGACTGAATAGGGGCTTCCAGACAAGATTATGCCCTTTGGCTTGAAGTGAAGGTCGGCAATCTTTTGGGTACATGGTAGCATCTCAGAGTAGACATTGAGTTCGCGTAGGCGGCGCGTGATGAGGTGGGAGTACTGGGATCTGGATGGGGTCAGTGTCGTTTTTCATTTTCGCATGTCGCGAGTCATAAAGGGCGCAGGGCATACCCAAAATCGAGAACAAGGATGGTGTCGAATGTGGCCGCAGGTACATTGACCTCGGATCCACTGATTTCGCCATTGACGGCCATGGTTGGAGTGCTGGAAACAAGAGTGAGTTGGTGGGAAGGGGATGTGATCCCAAAGAGAAGAAGAGAATTGCTTTGTCGTCGGTGATGGGAAAAAAGTGCAGGAGCGATAGGCACACGTGCAGGTACGGAGTGCAGGCGGGCAAGAAAGAGGAAAGCGCGAGGGGCATCGAATAATTTTATTGTGGGTCCGTGCCTTCCTTTGGCTCCTCCCCGCAATCCGCCAGCGAAAAAAGTTGACGTTGCGACTGGAACTGGCACGACTCTAGACTGCGGGTTCTGTCTATTGCTACAAACATCACCACCACTACCACGTTATTGTTTCTCGCCATTCACTGTCAAACATGCCTGCAAGCACTGGTAAGCGGAAGCAGGATCTTGGGGACCAGGTAGCAGTCCCCGACAAGATCGAAGAGGATAGCGGTGACGACGAGGTAAGTCTCCCAACACACCCAATTTACCCATAACTGACCAGGACAGGATTTTGATATGCTCGACGTAGAATTCGAATGGTTTGATCCACAGCCTAATGTCGACTATCATGGCATCAAGAGTCTTTTGCAACAATTGTTCGATGCTGACGCGCAGCTGTTTGAATTGTCCGCCCTGACCGACTTGATCTTGTCGCAGCCAACACTCGGCTCCACCGTCAAGGTTGATGGCAATGAGACAGACCCGTATGCTTTTCTTTCAATACTGAACCTACAAGAGCACAAGGTAAGCATACTCACCTTGGGTCTCTTCCCCTGCGCTCACAATCCTTTAGGACAAGCCATTCATCGCCAAATTTATTCAATACCTCCAATCCAAGTCCAAATCGAATTCTCGACTCGCTCCACTGGCAGAACTATTGGCACAACCCACCATTCCACCGATAGGTCTGATCTTGACTGACCGTCTAATCAATGTCCCATCCGAGACGGTACCCCCAATGTACTCGATGCTACTGGAAGAAATAGAGTGGGCGGTGCAAGATAAAGAGCCATATACATTTACTCATTATTTGATCCTATCCAAGACATACACCGAGATTCCCTCGAAATTGGATGCTGAGGAGAACCGGCCCAAAAAGAAGAACAAGGGCGGCAGCGGATCATTTGAAACCATGTACTTTCATCCCGAAGACGAGGTCCTGCATCGACACGCCCTCTGTCATGGTGGATTCGAATATACCATCAAACAAGACGAGGGTCACTCGGACTCGAAGAGGGCATTCCAAGAACTGGGAATCCGGCCACAGGGACATGCTATTCTCATTCCTGCAGATGGGTTCAAGAGTGCAGTTGACGACATTTCAGAATACCTCAAACCACAATAAAGGGTAACCACACGCAAGCTGAAGAGTCTACTCCCATTGGGTTCCTTTCAGGCGCTGCATGAGGTATTCCACTTCGACGACTTTGGTCAAAGGGATGACGACTTGAGCATACATGGCGACCACCGCCTCCACATTGATCTTCTCTTCCCCTCCTCCACTGCTAGGGCCCAAGGACGGATCCTTACCATAGGTCTTAGCTTTCAGCCGTAAGCGTTCAAGGACCTGCTGCTCAACTTTTGCATTGGTGATGGCATCATCGATCCCTTGTCGGTCCTCAGCCTTGATGAGCTTGACAAAGCGCTCAGGTTCGGCTTGGAATTTACTCTCAGCGACGAATTTGCCAAAGTGAATTCTCCGGCTGAGTGCTTGGAGACATGCAACGTCACAGGTTGCTGCACTGCCATAATTCTCTTTTGTTTCTCCCCGATCCTGGCGGTCGAATTTGCGACAGGCTTCGGGCAAGACCTGATTGATGTATTTTTCTTTGATCTGAGCATTGACATTCACGTCGTTATCGTGCAGGATTTTGGGATATTCGATAGGTTGCAGTCTGGGTCGCTGAAGGACTTCTGGGAAGAAAGGATACTCGTCGGGGGCATCGTATCGGCGGACCAAGGAATGTATTCGTTCAGTTTCGGCGAGTAGATAGTCGGCGAGAGACAAGGCCGGGGGGAGATGGAGATCGGTCTGGGGAATGGGGAGAGCTTTAACGTCATAAATGGTGGCATTGAGAGGGAATTGAACACGTTCGATGAGGTGGAAGGTAATGGTGTCTTCGAGTCGACTATATGAAATGTCAGTAGGTCAGATGTGAGGAGTTGTCGCATGAACAATACGTACATGAGCTGAAAGCGGATGTTAGCAAGATCTAATGCCTTTGAGGCATCAGAAAGATCTATGGCTGTGTCCATTTTGGCAAGGTGCATCAAGGGCGGACCCGGGTAATCTTGCAAAATCGAGACGCGGGGTAAAAGTGCGGTTGAGAAAATGAGTGAGGGTTAAGGAAGAGGCATGATGCAGACGGGAGAGCTCAGAGGGAAGGTGTTTGTAGTTGAATCAAAGCAAAAGTAATTGACGAGAGCACGGACTGTTGGTAGAAGGATCAGCAAAGGAGCAAAGGTTGTCAAGATAGAGAATCTCCAGCTCGGCGTGTGGAGGAACTGGAAGGAACGGCCACAGGCACGGCAAGGGAAACCAGCGACGACGTCAGATTCTGCAGCAGGTGGCAGGAGCAGGTACAACAGGTACAACAGGTACGGCAGGCACCAAAAAGGCTGCCGGGTCGTGGCTGCCTCGCTTCAGCTTCTCCACCATATTTCATGCATCTTCCCCCAACTCCATTTTGACGCCAACCAACACCAGCCAACGCCAACGCCATCCTATCTCTGTCCATACAGTACTCCGTACACACACATACATTTGTCCTTGGATCCATCCTCGGTCCATCTCCACTCGACATCTCAGTCTCTTGTTAGTCGCCGAGAAGAGGCCTTCCTTGTTCACTTCGGTCGCGTGCACCCTTCATCACCACAGCACCGCATATACCAGTCCTCATTGCCCATTTGTTCCCAGCTCCGCATATCCTCCTCCTTTCAACTTTCTAACCAGTGTCCAATTTTGTCTCCGACACATCTGAAAGCCGCGTCGTATGGCCGGCTCAAGATCTCACAGTCGGAATGCCTCCCAGACCCGTTCCACTATCGGTGATGGGGATGAATCCGTCCTCGGAGCAGTGCTCGACGTGAGTCTCAATCCATTTCACCACCTCCAGTCACTCTCCAAGAAATCCTAGACTAACATTCTTCCTCTATTAGACGCGCCAACTCGAGGCATTTGGCCGCAAGGTCACTGCGACTGCTTCTCACCTCATCGGCGACAATTCTCCCAATGCCTACCCGTCAGCTATGAGTACCCTTCAAAGGCAGATGCGCCGTCCAGGACTTCAAAGAGCCGTCTTTTCCTTCTCCCAACAGGCCCCCTCAGAACTCGTCCGATCCAAATTATCTACCAGCGAGATCGCACACCGAGCACTCACCTACATCTCCGACGAGCAACTCCACAATATTCCCGAAGACGACAACACCTATTCTCTTTTTCAAGGCTTCCAAGCTTCTCTCCCCGAAGGCGAAAGTGAGCATCGCAAGGGCCACCGTCGGCGGAGTTCCAAACAGCACCGCCTTCTTTCGGCTGGAGATGTCGAGGAAGATGGTCCGCCCACGTTGGCGAGTATCAAGAAAAAACGCAATAATGCTAACCACAAACTCGAGATGTTGGCAATTCGCAAGAATATGGCTACCACCGAAATCCGCGACATCGATCATCGCATATTGAATCTCCAAAACGCTCGCAAAATAGTCCTTGATCGACTCGCCGCTCTCGAGGTTGAAGAGGCCGAAATGGAGCATTCTCTCCTCGAGCTCGATAACAAGGTCGAGGAAATGCAGGAAGAGCTGGACGACCAGGGTGGCCTTGAACAATCCACCGATACTCTCAACCCACCACCTCGCACGTCCACTCCCGAATCTCAGGCCATGGATGCCTCCTTCATGTCGCAGTCCATCTACGAAAAGCTCCCATCATCCGTGTCACCAAAATCAAAACGCCGTCCGAAGTACACAAAAAGAAAATCCATGCCCGTTCTGCACGAGCATCTTGATCCAGGCTCGCATATCCGTACCATCCCCGCCCATAACGACACCATCTCCGCTCTGGATTTTGACCAGCCCTTTGGTATCATGGTCACTGCTGCTTTGGATGACACTGTTCGTGTTTGGGATCTCAACCTTGGTCGTTGCATGGGATTCCTCGAAGGACATACTGCAAGCGTCCGATGTTTACAGGTCGAAGACAATATCGTCGCCACTGGATCCCTCGATGCCACTATTCGACTCTGGGATCTATCACGGGCCCAATATGAACCCTACGATCACAAGATTCCTAATGGTAATGACGATGAAGAAGACGACGGCCTAGCCTTTGGAAACGACGAAGATATGCCTCCCCCACCTCCACCAGACGCGATGCAAGACTGCCCCATCTTCACCCTCGAAGCACATGTCGACGAAGTAACAGCATTACACATCCGAGGCGATACGTTGGTCTCAGGCAGTGCCGACAAGACTCTTAGACAGTGGGATCTGGTGAAAGGACGGTGTGTACAAACCCTTGATGTCCTCTGGGCAGCCGCCCAAGCATCAAGTTCCATCAATGGCGTAGACGCACAATGGCGACCAACAGGTCGAGCCCCAGACGCCAACGCCGATTTTGTGGGTGCTGTCCAATGTTTTGACGCTGCCCTCGCCTGTGGAACCGCAGACGGCATGGTTCGATTGTGGGACTTGAGATCGGGACAAGTTCATCGAAGCCTTGTTGGTCACACAGGGCCTGTGACATGCCTCCAGTTTGACGATACCCACCTCGTGACCGGGAGTGCGGATCGAAGTATTCGGGTGAGTGTGAAGATTGTTGCAGTAGCTCAAGACATGACTAACCATGAGATGACAGATCTGGGATCTTCGCACTGGAACGATTGCTGATGCTTATGCATACGACAGCCCAATCACAAGCATGATGTTCGATGCCAGACATATTGTCTGTGCTGCTGGGGAGGATGTGGTCAAAGTCTACGATAAGGCCGATGGACGACAATGGGACTGTGGTGCCGCCGTCGCTCTAAGTGTGGAAGATCATATGGCCGGCGCCACGACTAGCACAGTCGAAAAGGTCCGCCTTCGAGATGGATATCTCGTGGAAGGAAGGAGAAATGGTGAAGTGGGTATCTGGACTTGTTGATCATTCCATCTAATCAACCAGCTATAACATATGTAGGTGTAATACCTCCTGTATAACACCAAGCGCTCAATGCATTCCTTTTCTTCCACGACTGACTTGTGGACAGTATAAACAGTCTTTTTACATGTTGCCAATTTAGAATCTCTCCCACAGAAGATAACAAAGCTCGTTATCTCTTAACGGGCACCGTTCAGTCTTTGGTTGGCCAAGGCCTTCCAAGTGGCTCGTCTCTTTCGCTGACTCCTTCTGAGTACCGTCACCGCTTCCTTCTGCCCTTTATTCTCACGGCCACTGCCGCTGTCACTGCCGCTCCCACTGTCACTCTGCTCCGACGCAGCCTCCTCTGGCTCGTTCTCTTTGTTTTCTTCAGGAGGTGGTTGAGTGACCCTCAACCTTATGATCAACCTGGGTTTAGGTTGAGACACCTTCAACCTTATGATCAACCTGGGTTTAGGTTGAGACACCTTCAACTTTATCATCAACCTCGGTTTAGATGCCGGGACAGAGGCAGGGACAGAGGCAGGGGCAGAGGCAGGGGCAGAGGCAGGGGCAGAGGCAGGGGCAGAGGCAGGGACAGACTCGTTCCCACTTTGCTCCAACGTAACCTTCTCTGGCTCGTTCTCTTTGCTTTCCGCAGGAGGTGGTTGAGGCATCCTTGACGTTATCATGAACCTAGGTTCGGTTTCGAGGACGGGGGCAGGAACAGACTTGTTCGTCTTGCCGCTCCCCTTTCCCTTTCCCCTTGCCTTCTTCTCCTCCTCCTTCTTCTTCTTCTTCTCCTCCAACACCTTTGCCTTCTCCTTCGCTTCACGCACACATTGGTCCAAAATCTCGGTCGCCCGGTCGGACCCCCAAATTGCTTGCGCATCTGCAAGCGTTTCTTCCGGGGTCGCCCCGGTGGTGGTATCCTCGTAGTTGTCGACGTCGTATTTCTTCAGTTCTCTCATCGGGCCCGCGGTCTTCCTGGTTGCTCGGCGGACAACGACGTCATCGGCCTCAACATCTGTTCCGATGACTCGTATCCGGTCTTTCATCATCTCCCGATGGGAGGTTGGGATGGATGATTCGACATGGTCATGGACAAAGTTGGCGGGGAGGGTGTTGTTCTCGTGAGCGGGAGCCATCTCTATACTTTGTATTTGAAGATGGGGAGGGAGCTTGTTGGTGTTGGTGTTGGTGTTGGTGTTGGTGGTGGCGTTGTCGCCTGGGCAAAGAGTCAGTACTGGCATTGGAGTTCTTGATACTTCTGGTTCTCCAGCTCTTACTGTTGATGGTGTTGCTGTTGTGTTGGTGGTGGTGGTGGTGGTGTCGGGCTGGAGTAAGAGTCAGTACTGGTGTTCGAGTTCTTGATATCTCTGGTTCTCGGGCTCTTACCGTCGAGTGTGTGTTGAGTGTCGAATGCTTTCTGAATATGTGCTGAATGTGTACAGGAATTCATACACAACGAGGTGATCCCCAAACCTATATACCCTTCGAGTTCACAAAGCGCCCTCCACCTAGTCTTCCTGACCATTTCACCCTCCGGAACTTGAAGAACGGAAAAGTTCAAATCTCCACTACCAAAGCAGCATCTGCCATGAACAAGCGGACTGAATATGGACTTACACCTTCAAACCCAGAGATATATCCCTCATCACAACCTTTGGTTCTCCTATAGCGTTCGAGAGCCATACCAGAGCGAGGCTGGTTTCGCGGCCTCCGTCTTTGGCGGGAAAGCATCACAGGGCTCATTGGCATATTGTGTGGATACGAACACCACCCTTGAACAGTTTGGAGGAGTTTAAACTTTTCGCCGTATAGCGACGTGACCCGGAGGCAGTCTCATCTTGACCATTTCACCGCTGTGGGGGGCTTTTTGAGTCCGAATCGTCGGCATTGAGGACCTCCGGACTGCGTACATGATACGCGGCTCTGTTGGCCGTTTGCTTGCTCTCCTAGTATACCAATACATTCTCTTCGTGTACTGTCGAAACCCCTCTTGTGACTCACGCAAATGATGGAAGAGACACCTTGAGAGAGTACCTCCGGAGATGTTGGACCCAAAGTGGGTAAGTCTTGAAGTTTGTCCAGCGACCCATTGCTCGCGGCGAGGAGAGGACGCTAATTCTGGAAGTGTAAACAGAAGAGCCCAGAATGGTAGGTCCACAGTGAACCATTGCTTCCCTCGAGGGACACGCCTCTGGTCATGGGACTGTAGAACCAAGAACATTGACTGTGGGTTTTACAGTGGAGGTTGTCCTGTGGCGCAGAAAGTAACGAGGATATCCCGAAAAGACCGGAGAGTGATAAGAAAAAGAGAAACAAACTGTCTAGTAAGGCTTCAAAAGTGGGTGAGGCACATGCCCAGCCTGGCATCCATAACGTACAGTACTTACTCTATCGTTCTATCTCCTGCTTCCAACCGGACAAAGAATCTTCCAACATTTACAACGCGATCGGTAAGAATGTTGAGCTTCTTCTAGAATAACGACAGAGACCATGTTCTGGGTAGGTAGACTACAGTGCGTGCAACAGTCAAAACCTCATTCCTCTGTACCGTAGGTAACTTCAGAGTTGATAATACAGAGACCCCACATGAAACAATACAAAAGGACAACTCTACTGACCCATAAGGTACCTTTGAATATACTTTTGCGGACTTTAGTGTATCCCGTTCCTCATTGCATACCCAAACTCAAAAATTCCGTCTATTCAAGTGACACACCGCGGAGCTTTGGCTCATGCAATGGGATCTCGGTGTGTCACCGTCCCCCCCCCCCCCCTCGACGACGTTGGCTCGGGGTTCACGGTCTTGGAGAAGTTTTATGCGCTAATCATGTGGGCAAGGGAAAAGATTTACATGAGCCATTTGCGGCCGTGTAGTGTGGATTCAGGTTCGATGATTTTCTCTGGTTGAGCCAGTCACGTTTGACACTATCGGGTGGATATGGTAGATGCTAGACATGTTGCTCTCTCTTTCGAGAAAGATCAAAGTCCAAGGACATGCTTTTTTCATAGTCGAGAAGCAGTGCGAGAATCTCGGAAAGTCAAGCAAATTCGTCAAAGTATGGCACTGACTGTCCTTCTCCGCGTGCTCAAGCTTTGTTTCGCTCTCGATTGCCCCTTTTGAGCCTAGCCTAGTTGTTTGAAGAACTCTATCTGTCACGGGGACGGCGACATGGATGAAGAGGTTGGATGGGAAAGTCGTGAAAGAATGACGAAGGAGTGTGGATGTGGTGAGAGACAAGAGGAGGACGATTGATTGATTGAGAGAGGGAGGTGACATGAGATGAACTGGAGTGAATTGGAATGGGAAAGAGACTGTCGTGGGACGATTGTTTACCTGAGTAGAGAGACTTTTGAATCGACTCTCAGACTGACTGACAGGTCAAGTGGTAGATGAACCCGTTCTTCGACTTAGGCACCATCAGGTTTATCAGGGCAAGATTTACACTGTGTAACCACCGTGATTCAAACATTCGCTATGTATTGTACTCATTCCTGTAGTGATCCTCGTAATCCATCCAAATTTTAATACCAGACCATATATTGAACAATGATCCATCCCGCTATGCAGATCTTCATGCTGTCATGCAGCTCTATAAAATTAAATTTCCCCCCAGCCCAATTCATCCTCTAATTTTCAGGCATCCTGTCGACCAAGTCGTCCAGGAAATGCCAGACCCGATCTTCCCACTCTCTCAAGTCTTCGTCGTCAAGAAGACCTTGTTCTCTCGCCATGCTTTTGTTGAACAGGGCTTTGGCATGCCCGATCTCCCCTTCTTTATCCCACCCAGCGTCCACTATACTGCGGGCGATGATCTTGTTCACCGGCGGCAGCGAGAAGTTGCAACACTCCAGGTCCAGTTTGGCCGTGTAGCCGTTGATGGATGTGACGCAGGAGTTGTTGACCGTCACACTCAATCTTCCACAACGGGGGCTGCTCTTGGTGATAGTGATGGGAGCCCCGTTGCCCTTGAATAGACCACTGAGGAGGCTTCCCATCACCACTGGTATTGAGCTCCGTTTTATCTTGATGACATAGTGGTAGGTGACGGTGATGGCGTTGAGGGTGCTGGTGGCTTCGAGGGTTTGTTGCTCACTCATGGTGAAGAGTTAAGCTTGGCGGGTTCGAGGTGAGTTGTGGTGAGGGTGGAGGTTGAGAATGAAGTGCTCCTTCTGAGCAACTGAGGGTCGGGAAGACGTAGAGGTGTGGGTGATTTGTCGACGGAGATGTTGCAGGAATCTGGCGTCCAGTTAACAAAAAAGATGCTTCCTATTGTATGCTGATCTGATGACAGGGTCCTGATGCTCAAGTTGTAGCAAGTGATGTCGACGTGTATGTATGCCTCTAGTATTGATGATATATAGAAAAAGAATGAACCACAAGTCACAAACTAAGGTAATAAGAGAGAATTTATAGTCTCATGGAGTATGGTGAGAGCAAGAACAAGAGCAAGAGCAACAGCATAGAGGAGCAAGGGCGACGGACTGATCGGACAAGGAAACAAAGGTGGATACAAGGCAAGGTCGATGGTGATGTTCATTATACACAAGGTTTGGAATTGTCCGGTTCACTCTTCTTCAAGTGAGGCCTAGCATGATGTAGCAAGCAACTATGCATACAAGAATGATTCAAGCTGAACCATAATATACGCTTTCAGGCTGGGTCATCCACCACCACTATCACCACCACTATCACCACCACTATCACCACCACTATCACCACCACCTAGTTCCTAAGCACCTCGTTAGATCTTCACAGAGGATTCAAGTGGAGCAGGGCAAGACTTATCTAAAAGGAAAAGTCATGCACAGCTCAAGAACCATAGCAGCATCCAGGAGCATGTGCACAACAAAGTGGATCGTTGCTCGTCCAAGGAAAACACGTTACAGAGCTCCACTGTCACACTCTGCCCCTCGACATGACTCCCACCCTCGATCCGTCGCTGTAAATGCACAAAAAGTTGTCATTTATCCTAGGCTGCTGGTTTCATCATGGCACCGCAATCAATCGTAGAACTTCCAGGGCACCTTATCATCAAGCCAGACCATCTTTGAACAATCTTGGTGGATGGCAAGTATAGAGTCAGACAAGCCAAAGCTTTGATCCTCACACGGGAGAGGTCCTGCCCTGGATACTTGTTTGGTCCAACCAACTCGACGGTGCAAATCAGGTAAGACTCGTAGAAGGTTTCGATGGAGAGGTTTCCACTACTTCAGATAGGGCCACGCAGAGACATGTCAGGCCAAAAAAAGGAGATGATTAAACTTCCATGATTTGACGACAAACTGTAGACTGTGGATCGAGAGGCGAGACACAAGCGGAGCCAGAGCGTTCAGTGTGCTGTATGTCAGTCTTCCGTAGGAGCAGGCAACAAAGTCTCGCAACAACGACTAAACAGAACAGTCAACGGACACCCCTACCGCAAATCGACATTCATTCCCTAACGCCTAATTTTGACCGTCAGCAAAACGACAGCATTCTTTCTGGCTGGTCGGATTTCCAGATCAAACTCAATGTCCAAGCCTCGCCAAAAGCGAGAATGATGCCTCTCTCAAGGGTAGTAAAGTAGTCTCAAGGACAAGATTTTGATTTCTCTTCCATTATGCCAATTGGCAAAGGCGAGGAGCATTTGCCAGTATTTCAGGCTAGGGCGCACAAACAACGTCGTAAAAAATCGCCCTCCTCCCATCCGAAAATGGGGGTCATCATGCTTCCAGAGATCCGAAGATCAAGGAGACACTGAATCGGCGCTCTCCTTTTCATTCATGATTAGACATGATTTGGATGATTGACGCGGTTGATCGGGATCTTCTTGAAGAAGTACACATCTCATAGCTGGCGCTGTGATGCGCGTTTGACGAGTGAGCTGTCCAGTAATGCAGGATACAGATACAGGAAAGAGTTGGAGAGGAATTTAGAAACATCAGATTCTAAGCATGCACAGAGCAACCGGCCGGAACAGACAGCATGGCGAGTGAAAAACCCATCGTTGGGAAGCCTTGACTTCTCATAGGAGACCTGGCTGTGACCTACATCAAGTTCACTTCCGGCCAGTGGATCTCTTCTGGTTATCAAGACCTCCCGACGAGTTCCATTGGTAGCCACGGATGTGTTCTGGGTTTGGCTCATAGGTGCTTCTCGGATCCAACATCGGTTCCTCTCTCTCATCTCGCTGCTCTGCGCTCATATCGGTCGAAACATCCCATATATGATCACGTATACTGTTCAGCATTGGAATGCCGACGCGTGGCTCTTCACGAACCGCTGACGCATGGCTATTCCGTCTTTTGATGTTCCACTTGAAACCTCTGAACGTCGAGGGCTTCCCTTTCCCTGTGCCCAGCACATCATGTCATCCTCACAGCCGAAGCCGGTAGATAACAGAGTTATGCAGGCACAGTTAATCGGGAATCGACAACTTCCCGCGAAACTTTGAACCGATGAGGTTTCTTAGGGTTACGTTCCGTTTGTCAATCCAACACTCGTCAAGAAAGGTTCGGTGGCCTTGACGAGACCATGCTGTGAGGCTCAGGCGGTGAACCAGTTATCAGAGTGAAGGCTCCAGGAGCTCGACCGGCAAACGGGAAACTGACGGGAGACTGGACTGTACAAGAGGGTGAGAGGGTGGTGGACAGAGGGTTTGAAGTGGAAGATTGGTTCCGAGAGTTCGATCGAATACGTGGCAAATTTGCTGAATTGTGGTACTTGGTATAGAGAGTAAGGGTCATGCAGAGAGCGTCAGAAGTGTCAAGTCTAAGCAGTTCTGTTTCAGTGGTTCTTGTTGTTAACCACGTCGATGCGATCGTCGAGTTTAGACGTTGAAGTTGAAGTCGATATGTACGGCGGATCATATTGACGCGTGAACGACGCGTCAGATATTGACCTTTCCAAATACGGTTAGCAGATTTTGCAACCACTTCAAATGGACATCAACAACATTTATCAGTTCGTTCATTGTGATCGTAGTAGAGTCAAGGTATTGATGACGAGATTTATGCTCTAGTAAATAATATAACCTTCATGGCTCTGGGATATATATCATGCACACGGGGAAATGCCCGGTTAATCCATTAAACACCATTGCTAACGAGAGCCTTTTGTCGTGGTGCTTCGTCAGGATTCTCCACATACCAAGAGAGATCACTGTCCTCTTGCATCTCCCATTCCGTGAAACCATTGCCCATAAATCGGAACGGATTAGGGCTGTTGTAAACAATATCGAAATCCTCCGCCCGGATGTCGCTGATCAAGCGGTGGAATAGAACCGCGCTACCTCCGAAAAGCGCAGTCACACGACCATCCACTCGGCCGCGTTTATACCAACTGCTGCATGATCCTGTCCAGACGAGGGTCTTGTGAATCTCATCGCCGTATCTGACAAAGGCATCCACGGCGGACTTTTTAGGCGCCACATATTTGATGTCCTCTGTTGCGATCTTCTTGATCATCTTAACAAAGTAGTCACCAGTCCAGTTGAGAGATTCAACTAGAGAGCCGTGGCCGCCGAGACAATTAGGACCCATCATGATAAAATAGTTAGGGAATCCATCCGTAGCAACGGAGAGGTAGGACTCAGGCTCCTTAGACCACTTTTGTGCAAGGTCGGCTCCATTCTGCCCAATCATCTCGAATTTGGGGACATGAGAAACATCAAAGCCCGTTGCACAAACAACTAGCGAAGCAAGAGTCAGTATTTGCGGAGGACGAGTATGTCAGAGGGAGTCCATGGCTTATTACTTACCGACATCGCACTCAAATGTTGTACCATCTGCCGTTTCCACCCCAGTTTCTGTGATCTTTGTGATTGCGCTCGATGTCAGACTACAGTTGGGCTTCAGGAAGGACTCGAGATAGCCTGGGCCAGGCGTCACACGACGACATCCTAGCTCCCACTTGGGGATCAACTGTTCACACAACACAGGGTCATGGTTGAGCTTTTCTGCCATCTGCTCAGCAGCGAGCTTCATGACGTTGTCATTCTGTTCTCCCTTGATGAACTGTGGTAAATTATGAGTCAGTCCATTCTCGCACAATTTCTGGGGAAGGTGGGAGCGTACCAAACGGAAAGCCTTGTTCGTTCGCGAAATGATGCCTTTTCGGTATTCTTTGTGCTTTTCCGGATCTCGATACCTCTCCTTCTCCTCTTCGGTGTAAGCAGGGTTCAAGTCGTCAGTGTCGCGACCGAGGTGTTTAGAGGCTGGCACTCGGTAGTAGACCCAGGCTGGTCCTCGAACAAAGTTTCTGACCGTCGTTCCAGGAAGGTTGGTCATTTGAGGGACGATCTGGATGCCCGAAGATCCGTTTCCAATCACTGCTATTCTCTTTCCAGAGTAGTCGTAGTTGTGATCCCACGCAGCAGAGTGGGTTACATGTCCCTTGAAGTCAGATAAACCAGGCACCTTGGGCCATGCAGGGTCACTGTCATCTAGTCAGATTGTCTCTGGAGTGTTGAAGTACACGTGAGAGAGTGGATGTGAATGAACTTACACTAGGACACCTTGTCCTGAGATGAGGATATCGCAGAACTCAACACGCTGCTTGCCCTCATGCTCAACCGTTACCTTCCATTGACCGGTTGCTTCCTGCCAGTGAGCAGACTTGACTCTCGTGTTGAGTTCAAGGTCACGGTCGAGATTCCACTTCTTCACCGTTCGCTTGATATAGTCTTCAATCGCGGCGCCACTGGCATAAAAGCGCTCCCAGTCTGGATTTGGGTCGAATGGAAAAGCCTAATCTGTCAGCATTCTCACGGGAACAGTTTTGCATGGCTTTAGACATACATAGATGTGTGAGGGTACGTCGCATTGCACACCGGGATATGTATTTACAAGCCATGTGCCACCCACATCACTGCGGGCCTCAAATATCTTGTGTTCGATGATATCTTGGAGTTCTGGAAATCGGTGTTGGAACTTGTGCGCGATCAATAAACCGGAAAAGCCAGCGCCAATGGTGATGACCTTGAGTTTCCTGGGTGTGAAAGCGAAGTCTGGGTTCAAGGGAATGGCATATTGGTCAATGTCGTGCGCGGCCTTTGCATCAACGCCGTTGGTGATTTCGTTGGCTTTGCCATTTGCCAGTACCTCGGGCAGGTGCTTTGTCTGAGGCGCATAAACCGCTGGAACTTCACCGTCTGAGATAGGAGGGGTTAGTTGGCCAGCAGACTCGATGAATGGTGCCATCGTATTTGATTCCCCGGACTCGGAGTGAAAGATCTGGGACAGCGCGTTCACCTCCTTCGATCAGCAGTTCGTGTTCTTGTTCGCAGCGTGGTATGTACAACTGTGTTGATGTCTGGAGTCTTGCTTGATGATTTTCTCAAATACTCGACATCAGAATAAGAGTGGTGAAGGAGATCGTTTTAGCCTTGCGTCAAAAGGATTGTGGCTCGGCATATGCACTTCTCAATTATCATGCAGGGTCATGGGCTTGTCCAGAACGGCAGCTCAACCCGGTATCAGGCCATCATGTATACAACACAGTGGAGACTGTCGGCAGTAGAGTCCTCTCATCCACCCTCAGTGGCAGTACAGGAGGAGAAATGGAGTGCTCCAGAGACTCCCCTTCTGCCTGTGAAGGCGAGAACCTTGTGCCGGAGCCCCTCAGTTGAACCGACCCGAAAGAATGAAGCCAAAGCGTTAAACTGGTCCATCAAGTGTTCCGCATTGGCAAAACACAAGGCAGCCGAAACAAATTACATGGAATCGTTGCATAGAGCAGTTGGAGATTGCTGTGGAATATGCGTATATGAAACTGCTACCGAAAACCGGGAATACGTTGCGGCATACTACTTTCGGTAACCGAAACAGCCGACATAGTAATTTAAAATACAGCCGAGACAAACGGACCCATCGCTAAACGAAAAAAGAAGACGTTGGAGACCCCAGAGACCTTTTCTCCATCCCAAGGTTTGCCTCTCCTCAAAGAACTCTCTGCCTCGAAGTATTACGACCAGAACTCCGTTTGCGGAGCTCTCGGATCCCCAGTCCATGTAGCAATGAGAGTAAGGTAGATTCGCTGAAAAACACTAAGTTGAGCCAATATCCTCGACCGAGGAGGCACACGAACCCTAGTCCTGCTATTATAAGCACGGGTTTGGTTTCCAACTCCGTTCGTTATAACAGCGAAAGTAAACGGGGTCGACGCGCCGAATCAATGACAGTATAATGTTAGACGATCTTGGGTCCTGGTTCAGAAAGCCTCCTTCACGCATATACTCTATCCTTGCAAGGACAACTGTCATACCTACTGTATGTTGTGACAAGTAAGAGGGCAGAAGGGCAATGAGACTACTTCAATGGCTTCGAGATCAAAAGGAAACACTCCTTCACGTTGCCAATCTGAGGGTAGTGCCCAGGTCGTAGGAAGCCCTCCGCATGTCAATTCCAGGAGACACTCGGGCCTTCGCGGGGTCAGTGGCCCCCCGAGTATTCCCCGATCTTTTTGGGTTCACGCGTGGAGGTCGAGTTTGCACTATCACTAGTAGCTTTCACACAAGTGCAACGGCGAATGTTGTATCCTCTGTCTACCAAAGAAGACTCCCATATCGTTGTCCTGAGCGTCAAGTATCGGTGTTCTATGATCAATGACTGAGTCGCAGTTCGAGCGATGTTAATCTAGACAGTGTTACGCATCTTCGTTTCGTTCAAGTACATCGGTAATGGCTGCGTCTGATTGGGTGCAGTTTTCTGGGCCACGACCAAAGCGAAAGAGAGCAGAACTCGCATGTGAGCTGTGCCATTCCAAAAAGGTACTTTTGAAATCCCCTTCAAATCCCTTAATGTCCACTGGAGTAATAAACGGCATTGTACAGATCAGATGCGATCTCCAAGCGCGAAGCGCAGATGGCCACAATGACTGCACGAATTGCAATTCAGGAAGCAAGCCTTGCCGGTATGATTTCTCAGACCACTTTATCAAACTCTGTTACAACGTACTGACTAGTGGAAGACCACGTTTATCCAAGCGAGAAAAGGCGCGACATGTTGATACCAATGGGGAGCCCGCGATCTACAGTCCCTCACATGATGAGACCACCGACATGTATGCTTTGGACGTTGGGACGATTAGTACCCTCGCCGGAAATCAAAGGCAGGTCGCAAACCACAATACCAACAACCAAAGCGTGGGCACGAGCCCAGATATAGTCATACCTCCAGCGATGCCCCATCTGAGAAGTGAAGGCTTATACTCGAGACACACGCCACTCATCAATTCTAATTCGACGACCCTGGAAAGCCCCAACCAAGGACGAACCGAGAGAGCATCTATCGTATCCAATGATGCCTCGCAGAACTGGAGAGCGTCAGAGGCAAGCCCAACTCGATACGTGGTCGATCCTGGATTCATACGTGTCTATGGCCCCGAGCATGACGACGATGCCAGGAATCAAGCGATGTTAGCCCGGAAAGTGCCCAATCTCCTCGATGTCTCCCAGCCATATCTCCAGCAAAGTTTCGCCGAGACCTACTTTGAGTATTGTTACACCTGGTGTCCGGTACTCGATAAAGGGACTTGGGAAGAGGAGTTGTTGCAGTCGCCTCTTCTGGACAATGCACTGGCATTGCTAGGCAGCCACGTTAAGCCTCCTATGATCCCTCATGCTGGCACGGAGTCATATTATGACAGGGCTAGAAGGCGCTTCTACGACGATGAAGAACCAGACCTGATCACGTCGCTTAAAGCAGTCTTGTTGTTCTACTGGTGGTCGCCTCGACCGCCGTCCCTCGTCCACCGACATTCCTCATGGTGGTGGACCTCTGTCGTCATCCGCCATGCGCAGCAGGCAAACTGGCATCGAGAAACCGAAGCAGAGCTTGCAAACCCTACTCCAGCAGTGCGCACTCGCAGGAAAATATGGTGGACGGCTTTTGTGAGTTGTATTCTGATGCTGGGTACTGCTCTCCTTACTAACGCCTCACAGGCCCGAGAACGGCTCACAGCAATCTGCCAGGCAAAGCCCTGCATCATTGACCCTGAAGATTGTAATATTCCAGCACCGACGTTGGATGATTTCCCTGATCTTGAGGATAAGACCAAAGCAGAGGTCTTCATCCAATGGATCAAGTTGTGTTCCATCATTGGAAAGACATCGAAGTATCTCTGGACAACATCCAACTCGCCTTCGGCTTCCTTCCCAGTCCATGTTGGCAAAGAGCTCATCGACTGGGTTCGTTCCCTCCCTCCTCACCTCCAGCTCCCAATAGGCTCATCCCACACCACGAATTACAATCGTGATGTTCATCTGTTACACCTCCCATATCTCACCTTAATCATCGTTCTCTACCTCAAGCGTTCTTCGACACAATCACTTCCGCAGGCTCTTCCGCCCGCTACCCTAGCTGCAACTTGCATCACGCGCATCCTCAAAGATGTCTTGGTCAGGAGCGAATCGCGGTATTTGATGGCCATCACATGTTGGTATTCCGGAATGGCATTTATTGCTTTGCTGCAGGCATCACGCAACCAGTCTCTCAAGCTAGGCGCCGAAGCAGACCTAGATGTCCTCGATCTGACTGTGAAGCAACTCAAGACTATGTGGGGAACTGCCAACATGATCGAGAGTGGCTTTGAAAGGTTGCGAGCTAGTACAAATTCTCAGCGAAGTGCAACGGACGCTGACAGCCTTGGAACTGGCGAAGTTGGCCGAGATGGACTGACAGAATTGCAAACAGGCTCTGATGAGGCCGTGATGCACGATGACATTGATTGGATGAATTACTTTCCATTCGTTACCGCCGACACCAGTGCGGTTGCTGAGAGAATTTTGGCCCAGCAGAGTGTTGACCTTTTCCCATTCGATGACTTTGGCGACACTTCGATGCTACAATTCCAGGATCTCTTCGAAGGCATTGAGAATTGGACAGACCCCAAGCTCTTCATGTGATTTGGGCTTCAGGTCAAACTGGTCACACGGGCTTGCGGGTGCGTAGAGCCTTTTCAGATCTTGGGCCCGGAAGCCGTTCTGCGGTTCTTCTCGAGGTCGCGAAGCAGTCTCCGCAAGATCTTGCCTGAGGGGGACTTTGGAATAGCGTCAAGGAACTCAACGCCTCCTGTGATCCATTTGAATCGTGCCTTTTCTTTTTGCACGTACTCCAAGATATCCTTTCTTAGCTCTTCGTCGGTGTTCCCGGAGGCTAAGGCTGCTTGTGACTTGACGACGTATGCTTTCGGGACCTCACCGGATCTGGCATCGGGTACTGAGGTTACAGCACAATCGGAAATGGCTGGGTGGTTCAGGAGACAAGCTTCAAGCTCTGCCGGTGCCACTTGGTTGCCCTGTGGTCGTGTTGGTTAGCCGGCATAATTCAGAGGATTTGCATCAGGCGGAGCACCGCGGATTCTGCATCGACTTACCTTGACTTTGATCAATTCTTTTATTCGGTCCACAATCCAAAGATGTGCATTCCCACTGTTGGGCGCCAGTCTGAATTCACCCTTGTCGCCAGTTCGCAGAAATCGACCTTGGGGCAAGTCGACAAAAGTCTCCTTTGTCGCCTTTTCGTTCCCGAGATATCCGAGTACTACAGCAGGTGATTTCACAAGAATCTCTCCTGCTTCATCGTATGCAGAGATTATTTTTCCGGTCTCCGTGTCTTGGAGGATCGCTTCCCACCCGGGAATCAGCACCCCGGAGGACCCAGGCCATATGTCACTGGGGTCGGTAGAGGACACTACGGTGCAGCTTTCTGTCAGCCCATATGCCTGACGGATTTTCCATGAGGGGTGCCGACGATTAAGCTCGTCGGTAATCTCCTTAGCCAGAGGTGCAGCGCCGCAGAAGATTTGCCGGACTGAGCTCATATCATATTTTTGCAGCAGGTCAGGGTTGTTGGCCATAGTGATGGTGATTGGCGGTACGAGATATAGCGTGCTGATCTTGTATGTTGCAATGGCATTGAGGAAGCTTTTCAGTTCAAAGTTGGGCAGGATCACCACTTGATCTCCACGATAAGTCGATGCGTGGGCGATGATGACTAGCCCATATATATGAGATTGTGGCAGAAGTCCGAGAGCAACATCTCGATATGTTGAACCAATCTGTGCACGACTAGACTTCTCGAACAGAGTAGTTTGAAGCGTGTTTGTTATTACATTGCGGTGAGAGATCATGACGGCTTTCTGTTCCCGTCAGTCATTCACCAGGCTTAGAAAGCAGCGGTTGGGACCATGTGGGAGATGACTTACGGGAAGACCTGATGTTCCGCTAGAATAGCATAAAAATGCCGTCTGTCGTGCTCCTTGCCCTTTTGTCCATCGTAGGGGTTCTAAGTCGGCCAGTTGTCCACCTTCGTTGATCAGCTGTTCGAGGCTCTTGTACTGGGTTGACGTTGTATGTCCTGGCATGTCACAAAGAAATATTCTGTGCGTAGGTATACCTGCCAATCTGGCAGCCTCCAATGCCGTAGGGAGAAGTGGCATAACCGTGAAAAGAGCCTTGCATTTCGAGTACACCAACTGATGTCGAAGCTCTTGAACAGAATATGCTGCATTTGCTGGAGATGATATACCGTTGACACGGTGGATAGCCCAGTTAAGAGTCATAATGTCAATCTCGTGAAAGTCAGCAGAGTTGATCCAACACCAACATTGTCACGCATGGACGACGCTAATACTTACTGTATTCAATGCAAAGATCCCGACGACTTTGTCGTACTCGGTCCCCTCGTTGACGTTCCATCCCAGCTCCCTGGATAACGCCCTGGCAAGGAGATCGACCCTCTTCTTCTGGTCCACGGCAGATATACTCCTACCAGTGAGACCACAGGTGAAAGCATCTTTGGACTGTGACATTGGTGATCTTCCATACCGCTCGTCAAATACAAAATCACATAGCGCGACATCGTCAGGGATCTGAGACTCCTCCAACGAGGGAAGATACGATGGAGAACGGAAAGTCATGGTGGAACCGCAGTCAATTTGAAATTTGCTTAGAGAGGCCAATGAAGGACTGAAGACAGTGTATATTGGATAACGTGAGAATGGGATTGTATATATTATTTCACCTTTCACATGCGAAATCGTATCCAGAGCCAACGGTATCCACTTTCCGGTACAGCGACGAAATTCTCCGTCTCGAGGTGGTCCAACAAAACCTGTCTTGATCTCCCCTGATACCAATAGATCTTGATCTATAACCAGAACACGTGTGGATACTCTTCGCCTGTGTTGATGGACTTTGGGTTTACCCGAAATACGTAATCCGAGCTGCGTGGACCGGTGCGAAACATCGGTCTTTGTTGTGCCGACTCTGCCGGCAGGTTTCTCGGCAGTGACACCCTAGGTCTAACGTCAGATTATCAACATCAGCCGATGATTGATCGTGCTGTCGTTGTGAAGAGACGGATTCAACATGACAACGATTTACATGCAGTGAAGGCAAGAACACATGCGAACGTTGTGCAGACTAAGAGATGGCAGATTTCTCAGAGTATGGCGTACCCAGCGAAGAATGGAAAATTCTTGCGGCGACTCTTCCTAGTCCAGCGAAGACACTCAGCCTTGAGGGTTTGAGGGAGAGTACAAATGCTACCAGAGAAGAGTCCGCACGCGCACAAATGGCATCTCTAATCTCGGAAGTGGCTTTGGCAGACCATACTATCACCATGCGAGATAATTATCCCCTCGAAGCGCGGACATACAGACCAACCAAGGCCAAAAGCGACGAAAATCTCCCAATCTACATCCATTTCCATGGAGGAGGATTCTATTTTGGTACACTGAGTTCTGAGGATGCCATTTGCTCACGGATTGCGATAAACACAGGTGTTGTTGTTCTAAACGTCAATTATCGACATGCCCCGGAATACCCTTACCCTGTTGCGTGGAACGACAGTGAAGACGCGTTGGACTGGGCCTCACGAAATTCAGAAACATTCAAAGGTGACAAGTCGAGAATTATAGTAGGTGGCATCTCGGCAGGCGGGTGGCTATCCGCCTCTCTGACTTTGACAAATCTCCGGAGAAATCCAGAAGACAGGGTCAAGATCATCGGTCAAGTACTGATGATTCCCGCAACTGTGTATTATGACTGTCGAGAGTCGCAGTTGAAGTTGCTCAAGGACCCTGGAGTTTCTTCGTATAAACAAAACGAGTTTGCACCCGTCCTATCCTTGGAACGAGTCAAACAATTTAACGGACTGCTTCGTATCACAAATCCTGATCCCAGTGATCTCCGCCTAAACCCCGGACTAGCGAGCCCCAAAGAGGTGCAAAGTCTACCGCCGACAACATTTGGTATCGCTGGATCAGATCCCCTGAGAGATGAGGGCTTGCTGTATGCAAAGTATCTGACAGAAAATGGGTAGGTCAGCCTTCATCATCCGCCGGATACATCACTGACTTGTGGCCGTTTCAAGCGTTCCCACCAAAACCAATTTGTTCAAGGGTGTTCCCCATGGGTTCCGAAGATTTGGCGATAAACTGTCTGCATGCAAACATTGGGATCGGGTGATGGAAGAGGGAATTCAGTGGGCACTGACAGATCCTCCGGCCTTGGAAGAGTTCAAGATTCACGCGTTCTGAGCTAGGTGCCTAGAAAGATTCCATCAAATGCAAGCTCTTCCACAATATTCTGTTTGAATGATCCAAGTCTCGAGAGAAATACCATTTTCAAGTGACCACTGGTCATGCGATTTAACTCTATGGCGCTACAAAGTACTGATATCATGATAAGTCAAAGTCTACATAACCTCTATCCGCAACACCTTGTGCTAGAGCCCTGTATCCTGGGGCCGGACCATTATATCGAGCAATGATACGCTTCTGTTTATGCTTGACGTTCTTATTAACACCTGTCATCCAGGAGTCAACGTCATTTGCCAGAAGACCAACGGCGCACTTGTGGACATGATCGGTCCAATCTAGCACACCTTGAGTGGTCGCGTTAATCCGAGTAATATTGTTGTCTCGGCAGAACTTGATGCAGTCTGCAGTCCAGTTGACAGCGTACTCAACGCTTCGTGGAATGTTGCCGAACATCTGGTGAGGTCCCAAGATCATCATCATATTCGGGAAGTTGTGCACGAGGAGACCAAGTTGGGTCCTTGGACCCTCAGCCCATGTGTCCATGATTTTCTCGCCACCAACACCTTGAAAGTCGATCGCTGTAAATGCGCCCGTCACCGCGTCAAAGCCTGTTGCGTAGATCAAGATGTCAAGTTCGACCTCTTCTCCGCTCTTTGTCTTCACTCCCTTCTCTGTGATTCTCTCGATAGGATCTTCGGAGATATCCTTGAGTTTGACATTGGGCTGATTATAAACCTCGAAGTAGAAAGTCTCGAGTGGTAATCGTTTGGTACCAAAGCCGTGGTTCTTTGGGATGAGCTTCTCAGCAACTTCAGGGTCGTGCACCCGTTGGCGGATTTTGTTGGCAAAGAACTCGCTGACCTCCGCGTTGGCCTCTTTATCAAAGGCACAATCGCCAAAGATACCCAGGACTTTGGCAAAGCCCGGCTTGGCATAGACTTCTTCTAAGAACGCTAAGCGTTCTTCTTTGGATAGAGACATCGTCTTCCTTGGGTCGGCCTTGTGAATGAAGCAGGAATATGACTCGTTGCATTTCTTGAAGATCTCTGGATATTGCTTTCGAATCTCGGCCATCTCCTCAGCACTGATCTTGGAGTTGTGTAGTGGCGCCGCCCAATTCGGTTGTCGTTGGAACACTGTGAGGTGACCAACCGTCTTTGCGATTTCCTGGATGGTTTGGATGGCGGTAGCTCCTGTTCCAATAATACCCACTCGTTTGCCTTCTAGCGAAACATCATCTCGCCAGCGAGACGTGTGCATTCCAATGCCTTTGAAGTCATTGACTCCAGGAATATCGGGAAGCGTGGCTTGGTTAAGCAGGCCCATGGCTGTGATGAGGAATCTTGACGTATAAACCTTCCCAGCATCGTCGGTGAGCTGCCAGTACCTGCCGTCATCCTGCCAATGAGCAGAAGTGATCTGCGTGTTGAATTGAATATCTCGCTCCAAGTCAAACTTCTTGCTGACGTATTGACAATATTTCAATGTTTCAGGCTGGGGTGAAAAATGTTCTGTCCAATTCCACTCATCCAAAAGTTCCTTGGACCAGGAATATTGGTATGACCAACTCTCAGAATCAAACCTTGCACCTGGATAGCGATTCCTGTCGCCACAGATGTCAACAAAATGCACTGGTAAGGCCTGCAGACATCTTGACTTACCAGAACCACGTGCCTCCAACCCCCGACCCAGCTTCGATCACCCTTGTCCTTAGACCGAGTTCTCTCATTTTCACCAGCGAGTACATGCCGCTCAAGCCGGCGCCAATGACAATGACATCGTAATCTAGTCCAAGATTGCCCTCTTGAAAGGACGGCACCTCGATACTGCCCATTGTTGCAATTATTTTCCAATTTTCCAAACAATGCGACTCCAGATGTTGAAGGTTAATCGTACACCGACAAGAGATAGAATCGCTGAGTGTCAAATGCTTCAATCATAGATGGAGTCGATGCTCATTTGATGTCGTTTGTTTTCAATTGCTTGTTATCGGCTTGCATGTGATCAATGCGGAATTCTCTTCGAAATCTCCTGGGGTGAAAGGGGCCACGATCCGACTTCCGAGAGAGGTGACATTGAAGGGCGCCGGCAGCCCATTTTAGGTGTACCGTGGTTGCCGATGCCCCGCACATCCTGTGGGTAATGTCTTCCCACGACCTCTCATAGAGGCATCCCGAGCTCGGTAAGAAAAGTTCCCCGCGTGGATACTATGGTGGCAACTTGGCAATCGCTTCATGAGAAAATCCCCCATGGCACGCTCCACAAGATTGAGCCGGTCGGATGAAGCTCGGTGCGCCTTCATGGTTGGACCCCTCAGAACGTGCAACGGTTGCAACTACGCGAAGAGAGCGCGAAAGTGAGACTTTATCTGGACATGAAAGGCCAGACTTTGAAGACCAAACACCTGACATCTTGTTCGAGCCTACTGAAAAACCTAAACAATACACCAGCTGGACTGGCATCAAAGTGAAACAGTCAACATGCCTCTACCAAAATATCAATACACTGGTCCTGTTGACCACACAGTTGTCCCCGATGTATCAAAAGTCAAGGGCAAATCTGTCATCATCACTGGTGGTGCTAATGGCATGGGCGAGACAATGGTCCGCTCCTTCGCTAAAGCTGGTGCCTTTGTCACAATTGCCGACCTTCACCCCCGCGGTGTCGAGTTGGAAAAGGAATTGAATGCCTCGGGGTTCACAACAGTCTTCGTGAAATGCGATATCCGGAGCTGGGAGGACCAGATTAATATGTTCGAAACTGCCAAGTCTAAAAGTCCAAGCAACAGTGTGGACATCGTCATTGCAAATGCAGGAATCAGCAGAAGCTCGGGAGATAGCCTCTGGAGACTGGACGGTATGATAATTCCTACTATGGAAATTTATGCACTGATCCATGTTAGATCCCAATGGTGAACCTGAGAAACCTGACTTGAACATCGTTCGCGTCAACATCGACGGCACTTTCTATACCTGGAAACTAGCCGTTCACTACTTCCGCAAACAGCCAGAGACAGATGATCGCGATCGCTGCTTTATCATCACGGGAAGCATGGTGGCATGGATTGACTCACCGGTAATTTGGCATTGATTTATCAAGTGATCAAGTGCTTGTCAGGCTGACATTGAGGCTTTCTAGGGCAACTGGGAATACACAGCAACCAAATACGGCCTACGAGGATTCATGCGTACTGCCCGACGTTCAAGTTGGGAGCAAGGTATCCGGATCAACTATGTGGCACCTTGCTGGATCAAGAGCGCCATTCGTACTAAAGAGTACGAACAATGGCTTTTGGATCACGGGGTTGACTTCGGAGAGCAGGAAGACTGCGCTGGCTGTATGATGAGAATTGCTTGCGACAAATCAATCAACGGTTGGTGACTCACTTCCTATCCCCATGACCGAGACTAATGTGAATCAACAGGTCGTTCTCTGATGATCACACCAAGATCAGTTGCAAAGGAGGGTTTCATGGATGTCGACAAGGAGGATTACGTCGAGAATGACTACTTCAAGAAGACGCAAGAGGCTCAACTCGTAATTATCGAAGACAAGTGGCGCGATGACTACAAAGTCCGAGTATATAAGGATTAAATACCTGGTCTAGAGGCATAGTTCATAGACCCGAATTGGACCACTCTTAGACTCTAATCAAGAGACTTCATACGTGTTAAAAGCTGAACCCATCCAGCTGTAAGTCTCTGGTCCTAAGGATCAATTTTCCAGTAGAAGCCATGTCCTTTAAATGCTTATGGATAAAGATCATTAGACAACAAGAGGCGGTTGACCAAATATCAATTTGCGTTCTCCTCGGCCAATCGGCGGCGCGGTTTGAAGTTACCGAGAGGGGAAACTGAAATTGATATCTCCAATATATGTATACGTGGGATGTCAACATCCAGCTTCTCCGATTTACTTTCATCATTCAACTAGTTACTGCATAGGTGGATTATAAGCACCAAAAAAATTCCAAGAACGAAACCTTTTTGACGTACAAGTCACCATGACATCTTCTATTCCTAAGACAATGAAAGCTTGGCGGAAGCACAGGGGGACTTTCGAACCCGTAAGAACCGATAAATGTGAAGCATGAATTTGGCGCTGATTTGGTTTAGTTGTGGGAGGAAGTCCCAGTGCCATCGACGCCGAAGACTGGATTTCTTTGCAAAATGTTGGCTTCAGGAGGTATGCTGGGACCGCCCCAGCTGGGGTCATAGACTCACTCTCTTCCAGTCTGCAACAGCGATCACTCGCTTTTAACAAACGACAAGCAGAGACCGTGGTTCCAAGAAAAGTACATTTTGGTAATGCAGTGACGTCGTACTTTAAGCTCGACTACTTACGTCTCGGTTAGGGACACGAGGGTTGCGGGGAGATCGTCAGCATCGGCGAAGGGGTCACTGATCCTAGGTTCAAGATCGTAAGTGAGATCTGAGCGAGAGGATTATCGTGCAGTCTTTATCTTACGTGTTCGTTAGGGAGACAAAATTGCTATGCTTGCAGTTCCAGGATGTGGCAGCGATACATGCTCGGAATGTTCCAGGGATTTACCCCAGCTCTGTCCCCATGGTCATCACTCTGGGATCGGGCAGGACGGATTCTACGCTCCATATGCAGTGATTGACGTGAGAGGCGCCGTGCCATTGCCACCGGGCGTGACACCTCAACAGGCGGCCGTGGCAACTGATGCTGTCACAACAGCTTACCACGCCATTACTCGCCGGGCAGAAGTCAAGGCTAGCGAGACAGTCTTCCTCTTCGGCCTAGGAGGACTGGGTTTCAACGCCCTACAGATCATTCACCGCATCGGAGCCCGGGTGATTGTGTCTGACACTAGACAGGAACGACTGGATGCTGCTGCCGAGTTGGGAATTCCACGCAAAGACCTGGTCCCCCCGAGCATGAAGGTCCAAGACTTTGTGAGAGAAAGTGACGTGGCCGATAAGATCGATACGGTTGTGGACTTTGTCGGGACAAAACAAACCTTCGAAGATTCTCAACATATTGGTAAGGGTACCTGCTAGCATGAAAACTTCCGCCTTGAACTAATGGATATCCTCTGCAGTGCGCCTCGCAGGAACCATTGTAAATGTCGGCACGATGAATCTGGAAAATACCATTCATATGAAGATTGGAATCCGCAAGCGATTGACCTTCAAGTTCTCGTATGGTGGACAACTGCGCGATTTGAAAGAGATCCTTGACCTGATTGGCAACAAAGAAATAGATCCCCAGGTGGAAGATGGAAAGCTCGAGGACTTTCCTGAAGTGCTCAAGCGGCTACTACAAGGCAAAGTCAAGGCGCGAATCGCATTAGTTCACCAATGAGTAGCCAAATGCAGGATTATTTTTGTGTGAATTAGACAAAACATGATGCGGTATGTGTAAATGGCTACCGTGGTGCGCCGTTGACACTAGCACCTTTGGGCAAACCTATCCCTACGGCTGCTGTAACACCAGCATCAACAGGAAGTATTACACCTGTTATCCACCTGGCATGGTCACTGACAAGAAACACGACTGCACATGCACAATCCCACCCAGTGCCTTCGGTGCCCAAAAGACTTCTCTTCCTCCGTGCCTCTCGGGCCTCTTCTGTCATACCACCCGCATACATCATCGGAGTGTACAGCATCTATTCCGTGTCAGCAGGGAGAGTGGTACAACGGGACAATTAGAGGGACTAGGTTACTTACCCCCGGACAAACACAATTGACATTGATCCCGTCCTCGGCATGGTGTGCTGCCATGGCTCTCGTCATATTGACCACTGCGCCTTTGCTTGTAGGATAGAGCAAATGAGGTGTTCCCCCTTTCAAGCCTGCCACACTACCCATATTGACAATCGAGCCCCTGACTGGGCCTGGATTGCGCTTCATGGCAGGGACAGCAAATTTGGCCATCGAAACCATACTGGATACGTTGACCTCAAGGCCCCTGGCCCACGATTCCATGTCTACATCGACCGCTGTCCCGGTAGCACCAGCAATTCCCACGTTGTTGATGAGAATGTTCAGCTTCCCAAACGTCTCCAATGCCGTCTCGACCACTCGGCTGCAGTCGTCTTGAGATGTGACATCTGCTTCAATAGCCAAGGCCTTCCCTCGGCCCGGCGTAGAGTTGATGATTTCAACAGTCTTAGTTGCCCACTCAAGATTCCTGTCGACGCATAGCACGTCGCAACCGTCATCAGCGAGCAGAATTGCGATCGCTCTACCGTTTCCAATTCCTTCTCCAGCACATCCTGCGCCGGTAACGACGGCTACCCTCCCTGACAGAGACCGAGAGGGCGGGATTGCGCTGAAATTCGCAGACATTGTTCCGAGCTTAGCACCGCTGCTTGTGTCCTAGTATTCGATGTGCTACCGCCTCTGTAACACTTTCTGTGCTTACTGCCCGCTCTGCTGGATGGACGTGTGACCGAAAATACCGTGCCGGGTCAATTGTGTTGCGTGGCTGGGCTCTAGACGTCCAAGTTCTATCTCCACGCCCTTGGCCCCTATTTGGCCTTGCAGCTATGCTTCGCCGACATATGTCCGGAGACACATGACCCAGCCGGGAGTGCCACTTCCGGCTATAGGATTGACTTGCCAAGTTGCCTATAAGTGGATTGTCAAAGTATAGAGAAGCCCCGGGAAGAACGGAAGCATTATGGAAGTGGGTCTCGAGACAAATTACAAAGCCTACCGGCAGCTTGGACTCGATTTGCCGAAAGTCTTCACGTGGCACTTGTCATTTTGGTCCATTATGTGGAGGTATGCAAGAATGATTAGAGTTGCCGGTCATCGGCCAGAGCACTGTTAATGCCAGAGACACTATAGCCCGCAGTGATTCCTTATTCTGACGGGGCAGTTGCTTCTTTTGACTTCCAGTAAGGCTCCAGGTCGCGGAGAAAGGCCCATTTCAACGCTTTACCCCATCCCTTTGCCTTCCAGTCATTAAGTGACTTGGGAAAATGGTCCACGCCATCTCTCACAGTGGAATCATGGGCAATAATTACGAAGACATTTTCATCACAGTCGAGCTCCTGGAGTTGCCTCATGGTTTTAGTGGCAAGCGGGACGTCATGCCCAAATGTCATGTCGAATAGGGTATCGGTTGGTGTTCGACCCCTATCTTTCTGCAGTTCTTCCCAGGTGGCTCCTGGGCAGAAAGCACCATGTGAGTGAGACTGGAAGGGATGTGGCTCGATTGATGCAGGCATTGGTAGATGCTGGGATGGACGAAAGATCCCAGCATAATGACAAACATCACCTCCTGTTAGGATGAAAGTCTCTGGGGTTGTGCGAGCCAGTCCACACAAATGGCCAATAGCATGTCCGGGGCTATCGAGTAGATAGAATGAACCGTCGCCAAAATAATCAAAGGCGGGAAACTGGCCAATTTGAATCACATCTGGCCCCTCGAACTTGATTTCTCGTAACTTTCGACCGCTGCGAATTTGGTCGATGTATCAGCACTCTAACGCAACCACGCTTGATCTGGGAAGACTCACACATAATCACTCTCACGGATTGGCGATGCTGGGTTGGTTGGATAACCAGGCAGCATAGCCTCCGAAAAGCCTTGCCCAACAATCAGATCTGTCTTCGGCGGGAAGCTGGAAGGGTCTCCAATATGATCCCAGTGCCAGTGGCTTGAATTTACTGTTAACAAAGTCACTTTTCTCATCTAGCCGTAAGGTTACAACATACCTCCAAATCACAGCCTCAATATCGTCTCCCAGTATCCCATTTTCTTCCAGGATATCAACTACGTTTTTGTCCACCTGAATATTGTAGTTTGTGGTCGGAAGATAATCAGATATTGACTTGGAATAGTTCTGGTAGTCCTTCCTGATACCAAGATCCCAGACCAGTTTCCTCCCTGATGGATGCTCGATGAGGAATGTGAGAGAAGGAGAATCCTTGAATCTTTCTAGATGTGGCACATCCGGAGCCATGAATCTTTTCAAGATCGCCGGTCCAAAATTGACTGGGTTTATCAAGGAAACCCTCACTGTCACATCTCCTCTGGGCACCTTGAACGCCGGGCTTTTTGATGCCATGGTATTGATGCAACAACTGTAGTGGCTGTGTCATAGACTTCAATGTCTTCCTCTTCGCTTTCAACCCTAGGGAAACCCGAATCAAGCGCAATGCTCTTTGAGAAGCGGTCAACCCCTCGTCTTCACGAAGTGCACACAAGGCGTTAGACTTGCTTCTCAAGCAGCGTTTGCACTTCGGTTGCCTAACGGGATTTGTCGTTGCTGCCGTTGTCGGACGTGTCGATAATCCTTACGAACGAGCACAACGTTCACAAGGACAACTAATGTGTCCCGATCTCCGCATGGGAATATTAGCCAAGAAAGTATAGGATTTCATGTCTCCACCAACTGGTCTCGAGGCGAGCAAAGCTAAACCATGAACGGGTTACCGACGGCGCCGATATTCGGTAGTAGCCCGTGCACCCACGTTCAATCTTCGACGGGGTCCCTAGCCGAAATCGCGGGAAAACACTCAGACGCCCGGCAGTCTGGGGTAGCAACTGCTCTTTTCATCTATGCACTCCAGATTTTTTTGACTATTGCGTACGGGGTAGAGAGTCCGGTTGCAAGGTGATACGGGGCTAGGAGTGGACACAGTCGGGTTGCCGTTGGCTCATAAAAGGTCTTATCTATCCTCGATACACCGTGGGAAGAGATCTGCACCCATTCAGGAAGAGGATCCCAGTTGACCTTCCAAATCCAACGAATATACAATTTTGATCAACGGGAGCACATTTCAATATGTCTGAGCAGATCAAAGCCGATACTCGGCTCTCTGAGCACGTCAATGGGACAGAAAATGTGACTACCACCTCTGTCGATGAGGAGAAGGGCCGCCTCCAAGTTGATACCGTTCATGGCGATGAAGCGACCATAGTGTTGGCTAGCTACGAGGGAGACCAGGAGTGGTCTCCAGAAGAGGAGAAGAAGCTCACCAAGCGGATCGACTGGAAACTTCTGCCTGTTCTTTGCGTCACGTACGGATTGTTATACTATGACAAGGCCATGCTTGGTCAAGCTGTAAGTACACAGGGGTTTTTGCTTTTGACCTTGGTGGTTTACTGATTCATTCTCAGGCCATCTTTGGGCTCCGAGATGATCTCCAATTGGGAACTGGGAATCGCTACTCCTTTTCCTCCGCCATATTCTACCTTGGGTTCATTGCTGGCGCCCAGCCAGCCATGATGATTGCTCAACGATACCCCATCGAACGAGTGGCTTCCGTGATCACTGTGGTCTGGGGCATCACGTTAATTCTCACCCCAGCCTGCACCAATTTCCAAGGGCTTTACGCACAACGCTTCTTCCTCGGCTTCACCGAAGCTGGTATCTCTCCTATGTTTATGATGATCGTTGGAGGCTGGTACAAAAAGAATGAACAGGCATTGAGAATGGGAGTCTGGTATGCATGCACTGGCTACGCATCCGTCTTCTCACCCATTTTGAACTACGGCCTTGGTCACATCCAAGGCAGTCTCTCACCCTGGCAGTACATGTATCTCTTTGCAGGTGCTCTCACTATTGTCTGGGGTATCGCCGTTTGGTTCGTGCTGCCACCAGACCCGATCAGAGCAAAAGGATTCAATGAGCGCGAGCGATATATCGCCGTTGCACGCATGCGATCCAACAATTCCGGCGTCCGCAACACTCACTGGAAGACTTCCCAAGCACTAGAGCTACTTGTCGATATCAAGTTTTGGATTATGTTCTCCATCGCCTTCCTCTGCATGATCGCAAATGGGCCTATCTCAACCTTCATTCCTATCATTATTAACGGATTTGGCTTCAACAGACTCAACTCACTGCTACTACTTATGCCTGCCGGTGTTTATGCTGGCACCATGCAATTGCTTGTTCCTTACTTGGCGTACAAGTTCAACAACATTCGATCCTACCTTATTTTCTGTGCTCAAATGGGCACGACACTGGCGGCGCTGCTACTCTGGCTTCTGCCTCGTGGGCAGACAGGTGCGCTGTTATTTGCGTGCTATATCCTTCCTTCAGTTGGCTCCGGCTACGCCATTCTGATGGGCCATGGGCTCGCCAATACTGCCGGATACACTAAACGATCACTCGCATCATCAGGTATCTATATTGGCTATTGCCTTGGTAAGTCTATGGTGTTTCGCGCAATTCGATTTCCACGCACTAACAAGATTGGTAGGCAATTTCGTCGGTCCTCTGGTTTTCAAGCCCCAAGATGCACCCCGCTATGTCCCGGGCTTTATCGTCGTAGTGATCACTGCCATCATTGCCGGTGTTCTTGCGATTGTGTACCGGTTTGTCTGTATGTGGGAGAATGCTCGCCGTGATAAAACGGGCACAATGGAAGGCTTTGAGCATGCCTACGAAGACGATCTGACAGATCGAACAGTAAGTGAACCTGTGAATCACATGAAGCAGACTAACATGCTCCAGAACCCTCAGTTCCGATACATCTTGTAAAGGCCGGGAAACGGAGATATTCAAGTTTTGGTCCAGTGAAGCGTTGTTCTGTTGCTACGAATCTAGCAATCTTTCTTATCAGCGTGGGCGTATCGCCTTTGGAGGTCTTATACTCAGAGGCCTTTCGTGACTGAAATAATGGGAGAACTAGAACGAGTCATAGACATAAGCATTTCAATGGCATTATTGCTAAAACAATGGCGACTAGAAGTTGCCGGAATACCTAGTACTTTAATAGAAACTAAGTAGTTGGAGTTTCTTTTCCAAACCCGGGACAAGTTTTGGCTGTCGTATGGAGTGCGAGATAAGAATGACAAGATTATCGTCGCTATCTGGTTAGTTGAGTGTCATTCTAGATGTCTGAAAGCCTGGAGAATAAGCTGTCCAGTGAAGACAGAAGACCAATGTGAGCGATGTAGAAATCGGGGCGTATATATGCATAGCCAGGGGCCTTGAAGCCAAAGCTTTGGTGCAAAGCCACTTCCACGTCCCAAAAGTGATTCGCCTCCAGGGTAGTGAGGTCTTCAGCGCTGTGGACAATATAGATGTCGGCCTTGCTCGCCTCTGGTCGTGCGTGCATAAATCTCTCTTTGGCCGTTTTGACTTCTGTCAAAGACGCGGCGTGGGGACCGGAGCCGGCGAAGAGGACCAAGCTATGACTGTCCGCTGGCAATATCTGATACAATGTTTTTCTCTCCCCGGACTTGTCCATCAGTCTGCCGTTTGGCGCTCGGCTACCGCCAGTCACGGGACAGTTATGCCCGGGGCCTTCTCCAACGATCGGACTATTGGCATAAGATATAGCAAATTCTGAAACAAAGAGATAGCCCTGCTTGAGGCGATCGATATTGCTTGTGACACGGGGTAGTATCAACGGCAGCAACGTGTTGCGAATGCACATATAGATTGGATTAGACCAAGTCAACCAAGTGAAAGCCCGGTCTGTGGAATTCAGGAGTTGCTGGCCAACGGGATGACGTTCGTCATGGTATGTATCCAGAAAAGAATCGGGCCGCTCTCCACGAATGACAGCGCCGAGTTTCCAGCCAAGATTGATAGCATCCTGAATGCCTGTGTTCATTCCCTGGCCACCAACTGGTGAGTGAATGTGGGCAGCATCGCCTGCAACAAACAAACGACGATCACGATAGAAGTTGACTCCTCGGTGGTGTAGCGAGAAACGTGTCATCCAGGTAGGATCATAGAGCTCACCGTACCCGGGAGCCATTGCATCGAGAAACTTCTGAATGTCGGATAACTGTAACTCGGCATCAAGCTTCGTGGGGAGAGTGATTATGACACGGACTTTATCATCTTTGAGTGGCAGCAAGGCCATTTGACCTTTACCAAGACACATGTGCAAGTTGTCACTAATTTGGGTGGGCCGTATATGGGCGTCGCAGAGGATGAAGTCCTGAGCATACTCTGCACCATCGAATGTGAAGACATCAGACGCGTGTCGTACAATGCTATGCGCACCGTCGGCACCAACAATATAGTTCGCACGAATCAGTGTTTGTATTCCAGAAGAGTCTTCGAGTGTAACATTGACACCGTTGTCGTCCTGAACAATGTGTTTGGCAGTAATCCCACGATCTAGCTTACAACCGTATTGTAATAGGCGATCATGAAGAACTCGCTCCGTCTCTGATTGCTCAATGAATAGAGGTAAAGGATGGAAGCTGTCTTTGACTTGACTGGCAATCTTGCTGAGGGGGATCTCAGTGACCTTTTTCCCGCTGATGACGATGGTTATTCCTGTAGTACTGACGCCACAACTGAGGAGCTTTGATCCCAACCCATGTCGGTCGAGCAGTTCCACGCTACGCGGCTGCATTACCAGGGCTTTCGACTTATCAGTCAGTGCAGGAGCCTTGTCAATTATGCGAAAGGATATCTTCTGACGAGCAAGTTCGAGCGCCAATGTGAGGCCGGTGGGACCAGCACCAACAACAAGGACGCTGACAGACTGTGACATTGTCTTGATGCAAAATATTGTGTTTGGAACTGAAATGTCTGTTCTTATTTCCCTTCTAGAGTTCGACGGCTTCGTGGCATCACCTCTGGAGCCAGGTATGGGGTTTCGAATGCTTTCGCCAGTGTTGAAGGATTCCAAGTCGTGTCGCTTTATAGGATACGAAAAGTATACCTCTTCAAATATATGGTCTAGAAATCTTGCCAGGTGTGAGACTCCCGCCGCTGGAAATGTAATGGGCCCCCGCAGGAGCAGAAGCGGGCAACAAACTAATTTCTTGTTGAATCGATAGAAGAACGTTATCCTGTCGAAATTGGACTCTGTGTTTGCTGATTTCCACGTCAGAGAGTCAATTCCAGGCTCTGCGATCGGTGAGGGTGAGACCGTCTGTCACTCGCTAGCCCTGCGCAAACCTGATGTATTTAATGATGTAAGTATTCAGGTACGAGGAGGGGACCAATGGTCACACAGTGTCTGGTACTGTCACTAAATTTTTGAACTCCTGAACAGTTCAAGTCCTCAGTCTGATCGATGAGATCTCCACTACTACATGAGATAAGATTCAGAAGAGGGAAGCTCGCAGAGGGGCTTCACCCTGAGTAGAATGTCAGCATCAATACGAGGGGTGCCAAGCTTATGTCACGTGATTTTCAAGGCTTAGCGCGTTGAAGTGTCGTTTGATTGGCTCTTGCGTGAGATCTCCTCGGTTGTATCAAAGTCATGTGTCGGTCACGTGAAGAAGCTGGTCAACCTTCGCGATTGAAGTTGAGATTTGCCATCCACGGGGAGGCATGTCGAATTAGCCATTCGACGAACCCCTCAACTCGCTAATTCGCCCCTCGCCGCGATGGCATGTATGTATGTACGCACAGCCAATCGTTGTTTTTGCACAGCGGGGTGGTACTGGGTCACCAAAGGTTGGGTGTGGTGACCCAAGGACAAAAGTGTTCGAACGCTCCTACGAATAATAGCCATACTCGTACCTAGACCACCTTGACCCATGTTTTGGCCCCAGATCTCCCCTACTAGCCGCATTGGTGATGCAGACTACGTCTTGGCTCGCTCCAACGCTATGGTTCATTCGGTATGGTTTCGAGGCATCTGCCATTGGAACAGGCGGCTAGAGTGATGCGACTACAGTTGTTTCAGCCTGATCCTCTGAGCCACACTGGCAAGATCTCTACAAAACTAGTGTGTTCTCCCTCATTGCCCAGCTTCACACTTCCTGTCTTTCTTCGATGCGCAGATGTGTGGACCTGCTTGAAAGAGCGGAAAACTGGCACAGCCGATTTGACAGGTACGAATGGCGCTCTGTGCAACCTCTCGTGTTACTAGCCAGCTTTTTATACCGTGAGGCTGGCGCTCATTCTCCATAGGTTGGATTTCAACCGCTTTCCAACGACCGGAGAGAGTCATCATGGCCAACACGCCGGCTCCTAATCCATCACAGTTGCCGGAGCGAAGCAATCTAGCGGCTTATGGGACTGAGCCACCTATGCGCCTACATTCATCGTCGGAGAATGCATCTACCTCAATTATCGAAAAACATGAGCATGGAGGGCGATTGCAACGTAACCGCACCCTCGATGTTACGCCACGAGCACAATGGCTGCCCATAACGTTGAGATTGCAATACCTTTCCACAATCATTGTACTGACGATTGTTATCCTGGCGTTGGTGGTTGCACTTCACGTGAGCTCTAGCCTTCATTCGGGACTGGGAGACGACAACGGGAGCAGCGGGATCTTCTTCGTGTCGAGATTCCTGCCCACTTTGGTCGCTGTGTGCTACGTATTCTCACTCTCTGTCATCTTGAATGATGTCAAGCGTACAGAGCCTTACGCACGTCTATCCTCACCGCATGGTGCACCTATTTCCAACACACTATTCTACTCGCCTCGTGCGTGGTGGATAACTTTCTATGATAGCTTTCCCAGCAGACGACGAGGACAGGGCTTCAGTTCTACTATGTTCTGCACTGCACTTTCATTCATACTTGGCATTCTTATAGTGTCGCCATTCTCCTCGACGTTTCTAGTCGCTCAAGACGTCACTTTCTCCAGGGATCGACCATTTGAGCAGTTATCCCTCTCATCTGAGTTGCCAATCCAAGCTGTTGCATCGTCGACCACCTACTTCCGTACGATCGGCAACATCCTTCAGAACGTTACAACATCAGCATGGATCACGGAAAAGTACGCCATATTGCCATTCTGGCCTGCCACTCAGACCTCCAAATCTTTGGGCGCTTTTCTCAGCTCCCAGAGTGAGATTTGGAATGCTGAAACCCTCGTCGTCAGTACTGAACTCGAATGCGAGTCTTTGAAGTTGGAAGACGCATCACTTCTCGACATTCCGCCTAACACTCAGCCAGTAACGTCCTTTCGACTCACCAGTGATTCGGGATGCATGTTATCGATGGCGGTGGACAATAACACTGGCACTTCCTCTTTGTCATATTGGACTCTTCCCTCCAATTTTGCGCCAGATGATGCCTTTTCATCTAACTCCACGGGATGTATTGGTGATGACGCGATGTTGTTCTCAACCGCTCCATTTTCTGGCAATTATAGCGTTGCTGAGCCTGATCCAGACGTACAGGCTATAGGGTTTCTCTGTTCCGCTGGGTACTATTTCGCCAACGTCTCGGTAAGCGTCACTGTTGGACCAGACGAATCGGTGGTCTCTGTCGACGAACAGGCTTACGTCCGCAACAAAAGACCAATCCCTGACAGTTTCCTCGACATTGCGGGCTTGCAGACTTTATTCTTGAATAAAACATCCTGGCCACAGCGTCTGTTCGCTGGCAAAGAGAACATGGAAATTTTGGGCCCAGGGGCCCTTCTGTCTGCAAGCTACGAATACTCTGCCGAAACCATCCTGCAAGACCAAGATCTCCGATCAAGAATCGCACAAGTGAAGCAACGATTTCTAGGCGAGATATTCCGCGATGTCTTTGACTCGGCATTGGTCTCAGCTGAATCTCAGCCCTCCCGTTCAGGCCAAGTTCTGTCAAATAATCGGAGAATTGTTGTAGTACCGGTTGTTGCAATAACTCTGGAGGTTGTTTTATCACTCAACCTTGTTCTGCTTCTTATTGCGCTTTTTGCCTCTCGTCTTCCAAGGAGGCCGCTCGAACTATCGGCAGATCCTACAAAGAGCATTTCTGTTGCCAATCTCGTGTGCAAAGAGCCCAGCACGATGCAACAGCTGGGTGGATCAGATCCTGTCAATCCCTTGGGTCTCCTACTCCACATCCAGAACCTCTGGTGTCAGATTGTGGACAACACATTATATTTCTTTCCATCAAAAGATTTCAATGCTGGAAGCGATAAAAAGCTGATTGAGAAACTGACAAAAAGGAACAGTCTCCCATCTGTGCTCCATCTACTACCCGTCATCCTCTTATTCGCATCGCTGTTGGTCGTCGCTGCTGCTATAGGTGTTCTTCTTGGCTTCTCTGAGACAGAGGGCCTGTACCAGACAGCATTTGTTTATCAGCTCGATTTCAATGTGGGAGGGATGCAACTTGATACCATTAATCCCGCTTCAATTCTCACAACGTTTCTCGCGGTCTGCATTGCCTTATGGTGGGGCTCCGTGGATTCTAGTATGAGAAAGCTTCAGCCATTTCTCGCCTTAGCAAAGGAGCCTGTGACGGGCGAGGACGGCGTGAGCCTGACCTATGAGGCATCTTACATGTTGTGGGCGGCTTTCAGGGCCGTCAAGCGAAGGCACTGGCTGCTTGCACTAGTCTCATGTGGAGCTTTCTATGCAGAAATATGTAAGTTCCCAGACTTCCCTAGGTCTGCGAGTTTACTAACATACGGCAGTCACCATCGCGATGTCTGCGTTATGGTCCAGAACGCACAGCAGTAGAAGCTATGTAGCTGAGGTGCCTGTTTCTTTCGAATCACGACAGATACCTTTGCTTCTTGTGGGAACAATCAACGATGTCGATTATTTCTCTAGCTCATTTGCTGGTGAGGTTCTGAGGGAGTCATTTGCCAATCAGACAACTTCCTGGATGTATGGTGCGAACATCCAACTCTCTTTGAACGGATCAGAACCTCCTTGGAGTTCGAGTGGCTGGAGTTTCGCTCCTGTCGACCTGACCGCCTTGCCTATGAAAACGGTTCAAAACATTGGCAACAGTTCGACAGATGATGAGAGCGGAGTTCCCTTGTCCTCTGCAACATTTGCCATACTCGACACGGTCGGAATACATGCTCGGCTAGAATGTACGCCTTTTGACGCATTCGAAAGCAGCGACATATGGACAACAAAGCAAAATCTTACCGACAGTAGCTACTGGAACACGACCGTAAATCCAGTTTCGCTTCAGACTGGCTACGAACTCGGGACTATTGCCTGTTCCACCAATAACACAAATATTGGTCTTGGATATTTGTGTGGGACTGCAGGAGGCCGAAATGTCACCACTACATTCTACGTACAACCACCACAGCTCTCATGTTGCGAGAACCGAACAGATGATGGGTTCGGGCCGTCCTCTGTGGGTTACTGGTCGGCAAATCGAGACGCAGGCGTCCTTTTCCCGAACATTGGTCAACCATATCCTTTCAACCTTACCGTGAAGTGGATCCATGGAACGGCACAGGAGGGTTTCGTTATGGCGAATGCTTCGTCAGAGGCCAAACGGCTACTCTGGCACGAGCCACCTCAATTGACTGCTATTGAGTGCCGTCCCATCATCGAAACAGCCAATGTCCGCGTTACTGTCGACATAGCTACCAGCAGAGTACAGAACTATACCCTTACTTCAGATCCTGTTCCAGACACTGATTCATGGACTGATCTATTCTCGATTCACAATCCAGAGGAAGCGGTACCTGGGTTAAGTACTGAACGACCAATCAATGTCACCATTAGTCATGGAGCCTACTATCTTGCCTCTCTGATCGGAGCGAGCGACATTGCCGCGCTCACGGCCACGCCAAGGTCAGGATATCCCAGAACTCAGTACATGCACGATCAAACCTTCAACATCCGTAACCCCGGACTCAATCTGGATTACATGTCTTACAGTATGCTGTCTCTCGTCGACTTTGACACAGTGGCACTTCTAGACCCAGCCACCCTCGAAAGAACGGCGCAGCAGACATTCTCCACTTTTTTTCAGCACTTCGCAAGTAGCTCTGTATCGACTACTTCGGGTGGATGGGCATTCCAGAAACTGGATGAGCGGCTGCCCTCGGATCTGCAAGACGTGGATTCACCCTCTTGGACGGAGCCTCCTGCCTCTCCACGTGCCGGCGAGATGGTCAGCGTGGAGGTCGTCCAGCCGATTGAGATTCTTCAAATGTCGAGAGCTGCCGCTGCTATTGCGCTTGCTGTCTTACTTTGGTTGATGATATCAAGCATAGCTCTTGCATTCGCGAGTCCCGGCTACAAAGCGAGGCTAAGATGGCGCGTTGATACCATTGCTGACGTGCTAGTCATGTTTACTGGCAGCGACCGACTAATGGCAATGTTGAACGACCAGGGCCCGGAAGCAATGAATTACAACCCGGATACCGCAGCGATACTAGCAGATTTCAAAACGAAAGATGGCACTGCCCGGTGGGGCATTGAGCTAGCCAATGGTGAGACCGTCGACGCGGGCACAGGAGAACCTTCTGCAGAAAGCACGACTACAGTGGCTACGAATAACGACCCCTTGACTTCAGACGATCAGCAAGAGACTTATGGTTCAGGACCTACATCGGATACTCCTCAATCATCTTATTCCATTCCTCGCAAGCCATTGCCACAGTTGACCTTACGGACAAGGGAACAAGGTTATTCGCGAATCCAGCAGTCTCAAATCTCACCAACCGACCATGCCCTATCATCAGATCCCATGCAACGGACACAGGATGGAGGACGGTCTCAGCGATCGACGACAGGCTATGGCCAACTTGAGCAAGAGAGTCCCGTATCTCCGATCCATGACGGTCGTCAAACGTTCGATTGAAGGGACGATCACAACGTGGCTGCTGGGTCGCGTGAAAGCTATGGTCTTCTCGACTAAGGACAAAGACATGAATGATATTTCTGTATAATATACCCCTCCGTCACGCATGTATGTCAATCACTAGAGAAATGATTCATCTTTCATAAAAGCGATTGATCCCTTTCTTCGAAATTTTCTTTTGGGTAACCTCGAGTTGATTTTTTTCAGACTCTAGTCATTAGAACAGAAGGGATGCCTGAAATGTACAACGCAACCTACGTAAGCGTTACCCGCTCGGTTTGAGGCTTATCGCATGGCTTGAAAGGAATGTTCTACTGAAAGCATATGGAATTTTGATCTCATCGGTTTGTAATATTGTCACTCTAGTAAGGGCCTCTGCCCGTCCTACCCGTGTCTATGTCTCTATGTCTAGTCGACCCGCGACCATGACTATCATGCAGTCTCACTGTTCTACTTACCTTTGTTTCAATGAGCGATCTCATCCTCTGAGATCACATTGCCTTACCTGTAACCCTTGCAGCCCTTCAAGAACCATTGTAAGGTTCCTTCAGTGTGGCACGCTGCATGGTATGGATAGATTTGACATTCGGATTCATGGTCGTCATGCGTCCCGGAAGACGATCGAAATCTTCTTCGGTCAGCTCGATCTCCGTATTGTCTCGGAAGGTCAAGATGAGAGTCTTGCTAAGGCCAACCTGTTGCTTGTCACAGCGCCAAGTTCCCAGTCTACGCTCAATCTCGATTCCGTTCTCAAACAATTTTCGATCATCACCTGAGATGGCATCTTGAATACCCTTGACAGTCTCGATATGTCGCGAGAGCTTCGAAGCTGCTTCACAGAAGATGTACTCGGCGTTCTGAGCAGCTTCAAGCTCTGGTAGATAACGATTGACGAAGTCATTCATCTCATCGCGCTTGGCCATAGCCGCATCTCGCTGTGCTGAAGTCAGTGGGAGGCGTGGTGAAGGTGGGCAGCATTCTGGACCAGGGCACCAGTGGAGAAGGTTCATCGTCTCGTTGGCGCGCTCGTTGGCCAGGTCGTCTTCGCATGCAACGAATTCCATCATCAAATCGTACTCCGATGGGTATTCGGAAGTACTCTCTTGAGATGCGCTACTGCTCTCATCTTCGCCAGAGACTCCAGGGATAGGGATAGGGCAGCCCTTGGCCAACTGTTCCTCGTATCCGTACTCGGTCCACACGCCCTGCACATACTCTTCAGAAGGCTCCTGGGCATCAGACTCATCAACATCCATCAAGTCTTCGAATGTCGTAGATGGTGGCTGTTCCCACATTGCCTTGTCAAGAACATGAACCGGCGTCACCTTGGTATTAATCCAAAGCTTTGGTCGCTGCGGTCTATGTTCAACTTTACCTTTAGCCAGCTCCTTCTGTTGGCAAGCCTCGGAGCATTGCATGATGATGTATGATCTATCGGTCGATTCAACCCACACCGTCTCAGGACAAGTCAAATAGCAAGGGAATTTGCTATAGTTATGCATGATCTCGACGTCACAGACGGAGCAGTGGATAGTTTCGCGGATAAATTGGCACATCTTGAGGTTGTGTTTGTGTTTCAGTGATTTTGATGAAGTACTTTGGCTTGCAGTCGAACTGGTGTAGAAGGTGCTTCGAAGTACTCGATCGTTGGTTATCACTGAATTCGTTGATGGAGAAGAAAAGTAGAATTCGATATGACAGAAGAAGATTATTTATGCATTCCAATATGGAACCTTTCTACCACGATAATGCATTGACCGTTTCATTGAACAAAGCCACTGCGACTTCGATGACCCCGATTCTTTGAATTAGCGAATACCTTCGAAGTGACGATATACCTTTCAAAGAATCAATGTGCCGAGGTGACAAAGACATGGCGAGTGAATGAGTGATGAAGCTATCCCATGCTCCAACAAAGTTATCGACCACAAGGACCTTTCACTGTCGCCCGAGCGGGTGGTAATACCCTTGTGTTCACTATATCATTCTTTGTCTTGGTATCCGCTAGGATCCATCCAAGTCACCTCCCAGATATGGCCATCTAGGTCAGAAAAGGCTCGGCCGTACATCCAGCCATGATCCTGGGGCTCTCGGACATCGATCTGAGCTCCGAGGAGTTGAGCGTTGTCTAGGAAGGCATCTAGCTTGTCTCTGGTTGCTATACTGAAGCAGAACAGAGCTTGAGTGACCTTCTTTGGGTTGGCAGCCTCGCGTTTGCTGGGAAGGAATTTCTCGTAAAATGACTGACTTAGAAGCATAACCTTAAGAGGAGATTTGTGTGCAGCTGATGCATCAGGCTCCTCTTTGTGGAGGTCAAGCGGGATTGAAACCATAGCCGCGTTCTCGTCTGAGAAGGTCTTGTTCTGTATGAATCCCAAGGAGGTATAGAACTTCAGTGCCGCGGATAGGTCCGACACCGGAAGATTGAGAAAGAACGTAGTCTTGTAATCTGTTGGCACTGTCATGTTTCCGTTTTTTAAGTCGTAATCTCAGAGTTATATTGCAATTTTGAAGATTTCACAATACAAGTGTCTTGAGCTCAAGCATACATGCCACTACAGTATATATACCCTATTGATCACACGAGGTCGGGACAAAGTTGCTGCGAGCAACAACTGCATCGTATTTTCGGACTTTGAATAGTCTTAGCATCGCTGTTGGTCTCAGTGTTATTGGCTGGCTAGCCCGTGCTGCCTGGCTGTCGAAAAGACTTTATCTTAGGGTGGGGGGATCTGCCAATGGGCACCTCCTGGAGCCTAAAATGAGAAGGCCAAGGCGTTGTGACCTCACGTTTGACGTTCTTTGCGCTCTGAAGCAATACGAGATGACTTCAGTGATACTCACGCTCATGTAGTCCAGCACGATATTTTAGGAGAAAACCTTGACGTTGGATCTTTAAAAGACGATGAGGCAACCCCGAAAGCGCAAGCATAGGGCGCGTGTTTGTTCTAGAACCACCAAAATGTGTCTGGTTATACCCTTAGGACCGCCCTTCTTTCTGTTTCTCTAACTCAGCAAACTCGTGCAGTCTCAGACTTGACTGCCTCGACGTGCTCTTCTTCATCAGTCTGTGATTTCTCCTTCAGACCGTTCTCAGTTTGACCATGAGGACCGAGCTGTTCGGCCGCAATCTGTTCCTGATACACTTTGACCAGGTCGTGGTCTCCAAAAAGTGTTGCAATCTCCTCGAGTGGCTTGTGCAGCGTATTGGGAAACCATGTCAACGAGACAATACATCCCAAAGCTGAGAAGCAAATGAAGAAGATGTAAAAGGTCCATCCAATGGTGACGAATGCAGTCGGGGCAGCCAGGAGCCAGATCATATTTGCCAACGAAAGAGCTCCCATACCGAGAGCGTATCCTTTGGCACGAAGGTGTGTTGGCCAGATTTCGGCAACGTAGAAATACAAGGGTCCGTCAAGGAAGAGCGAAAAGAAGATGATATAGAGATACAGCATGGCAGCTGCAGCACCCAGTCCGCCTTTGTTTGTGGAGCCCAGGAAGTGCTTCTGCAGCGCCGTGTTGCAGATTTGGACGCACATTAGCATGAAAAATCCAAATGAAATTAACCAATTCCTGCGGACTTTGTCGACAAACAACATGGCAACAGCATTGAATACCAGGGCAGTGGCCGTCCAGCCTGAAGTCAAAGTTAGAATCCTCTTCAAAGACATATCATAGGTAAACTAACCAGTTTGCAATAGCAGAGTATCTCTTGCATCATATCCAAGACTAGAATACAATAAGGCACCATAGTCTATTTTAAACCGGGTTAGTTGCAATTGGCAAGCCACTGGCGTTTGATTTTGTCACTTACTGTTGATCACAAGGACACCGCTGCTAGTCACGACGAAGGTCAGGAAAATCGTCATGATGGCCCGCTTCCTGAATGATGGCCGCCTGAAAATCTCGGTGTATGAAGTGTCCATTCTGGACTCGAAGTCAATTTGCACCTTCATCTGGTAGAATTCTCTCTCTGCAAACTCGGTCGTAGTATCGCTCCTGCTTCTGTGAAGTCGCGCAACGATTGCCCAGGCCTCTTCTGCTCTTCCCTGTGCGAGCAGCCATCTCGGCGATTCGGGGATCCAATAAAGTCCCAAGACCAGGATCAATGGCGGCGCCATTTGAATGCCCATGGGAGGTCGCCATGCTTGTGCAAAATCGGTGAAGAAGAATCCTAAGCCGATGTATCCAGAGCCCGCGTAGCCGACATTGAGTCCGACTGCGTGAATATCACTCAATACACCACGGTGCTTGGGGCTGACAATCTCAGCAATATACAGAGGGACACCAGCGAGCAATTGGAAGGCACTGTTCAGTCAGCATGAAGCTCAATGGCTTAGTGGGCAATAGTGTGTACGAACCCTAGGCCATTGAAGAACCGAAAGGCGATGAACATGCTTATATTGACAGCACCGGTGAGTAATGCTCCAGAGATGATAATCAAAATGCATCCCACTGCGATAGACATCTTTCTCCCATAGCGATGTGATAGCCAGCCATGTAACGCAGAACCAAAGACACCGCCAGCGAAGAAGAGCCCATTCATGGCTCCTATAAGAGATGCTGCATTTGGGGCGGTGTCAAGACCCATATGGCTGATGAACGAAGGCTGCCCAAGCGTGGTGCCGATTACGGCAGCGGAGTACCCGAAAGATACCGACCCCAGGGCAGCGAACATGCAAACAAAGACAAGGTATGGGCCATAATGGGCCCTTTCTTTCTCCTCTTTCTTTCGAAACATTATGCCAGTCTTTCGCCTACCCGGATAGAGTAGTAAGGTCTCTTTGCAAAGTTGAACTGGACAGGTTGCATCAGGGCTTGCACGTGGAGCATCAACTGACTATATAACAAGGCGCGCCATACGAAGTGAAGAGATCTGTATCATCGTTCCCCCACGGGGTCACCCTCCCGCCAAGGAAGAAGTATGGCGGCGACAGAGGCATTGACACGGATGGGCGGGACCAACCACATCTCCGACCTATCTCCAATTGGTCTCCGGAGATACCTCAGAATTCTCACTAGCAACTTCTCTGTGGGGCCCCATGGTGCTTACAGGGAGTTCCATCCCCATTATCATGATTGTTAATGAATAATTGGGAGGTGGTTCTTTTATCTGGGGAATGACGGGGAATGACTCCACCCCGGCAGAGATTCGAATGGGATATACCTCAGTTATACCACAAAACCCAACGTAAAGATATGTCGCAAGACCGTCATGGGCTTAGTTGAGATAGTTGCATGTCCTGTTCGCTTTGAAAATCTCAACATCATGCAAAGCTTCCTCCACAATTCTCGAAAGGACTGACAGCCTTGGACACGATGTTAAAGGTACTCTGTACGCAAATCGCTGACTATCACCAACTACCCTTCCAATCGGTCACACACATTATTCAGTGGAAGTCGGTACGGAGCGCGGTATTCATTCGCAAGGATTACGAAACTGGAGTTTGAGGGTTCGTCTAGCAGCCCATCGATACGTTTTCAAAACAAGAACATTGTCCCTGGAGACTACACAACCTGGTTGCGTCTGGACCGCGTATGGTACCCAATTGGCTTCGCTTGGAATACATGGCGTTCTCGACCGACTACCAGTACCAAAGCATTCTACCTTTCAATGGCACGCTATTCAGGTGGCCTGCTGTTGTCTACTGCTATAGTTCTTAAGGCTAGTGTCACCGTCACGCCTCCATTCCTTACTCCATTCGCAGGGGTCTTGTTTGTCTAACGGGCCATTTACGATGTTTTTATGGCACGCCGGGTCAACAGATCCATCGGAGCGACAGTGGCATGCCCTCTAGATCCAATAATCTGGGAACAATCCAGGAATTATCCGGAGGAGCAGCTCGGGTTTGGCCAAATCCTATCCTTTTGCCTCATCCTATAAGCGGTCCTGCAATTAGCCGATATATATTCAGGTGCATCTGCTAACCACGCAGAAGTAGTGCGGCACGAAGTCTTAACATACGCAAGTGGACGGTAAAGAGAGGAAGATGACAACGGTTGTTGGAAACCTCAATAGCGGCAGTCCCAATTGATTCAATCTTGCGATAAGTCGTGCTTGATTTCTCTATCAACCTCATGTGTTGGCGCAATAGAAGTAAACGGCGCAGTACGTGGTAATGCTCCAGAGTACCGAGGTTCATTGAATTGTGTCTTGGCAAGATTCTTTGTTTCTCCAATTGCTCAATTCCCCTTTAAGGAGATCTCGTTGTCCTCACTAGAACTTGCGCAGAATATAATCATGTCTGTATCAATTGGGTTGGATGATTTCGTTCCCTGGCTCGCGGCTCAGAGCGCTCCAGAGAAAGATGTCCAGTTCTTTCAACGTACACCATGGACACGGAAACTCATTGAAAACCCTCTTTTCAGGGCTGTCCCATGTCCCACTCGCCTAATCACGCCCGGGACGAGTCACAATGCATTCATCGCAAAAACCATCAACAAGCCTTCTTGCGTCCAACATTGGCTCATGCTCACTCGAAAGCAGTTTTCCACGCCGAAAGAGGTTGCAAGGGGCACACTTGCTCAGTCGAGATTTTCTCCCAATGCTGAGACTTACAACATCGATGACTCCGAGTTTATTATGCTCTTGGATGTTGGAGAAGACCTAGACGGATTTGCAGGACGCGTACAAGGTGGTGTCTTATGTGCAATACTCGATGAGGCATTAAGTATTTGTGTCGAATATCACCGGCAAGCCTCTAGCTCTAGCAGAGCACCGCTTTACACCGTTCAATTGAACACCACATTTCGTGACGGAGTCAATACCCCTGGTCTCATCGCTGTCAAGAGCTGGATTGTGGCGAAAGAGGGGAGGAAGTGGTTGATCAGAGGACAGATCTGTGACGCGCAAGGCCACGTCCTTACCCAGGCAGAAGGAATCTGGGTCTCTGCTGCTGAGAATAAGCTGTGAGTTCTCTTGGTGTTCCGTGCCGAAACGCAAGGTTCAGTTGAAAGGGTCAAGCTCGGTGCGGTTGGGCCTTCTTGCGCTGGACAAGGTCATGAGCTTTATGACTTACCCTCGTCATTTTGGTCAAAAAGCGCTGGCAGTAGAAAAAGGAATATTTATAGACCTGGTGCTATGCAACTTGATGCGTTGTCTGAGACAACTTGAGCCACATCTGCCAATGGAAATCACTATACTTTCGCTTGCATTGTAGGATCCGACGTTGTAATAGCCAATGAGGCCAGAATGGCTGCTCGTAGAATGTATAGGTGAACACCTACACCATCGCGGATTAGGAAGTTAGGGTTGGGGAGGTATTGTATAAGGTATGATATGGTTTCCGCTCTTCTCCCCAGGCGCGGCAATTTAGACCCCAAAGTGTCCAAAGGAATAAATTCTTCCTTCGTGAATTCGAGATGCGACTCGATCTCGAAGGTCGTCACGTGTTTGACCGGATTTCAAGGATTGTTGGCAACAGCGATTTTCGGTAGGGATAAATTGACGGCGGGGCTTCACAGAGCTTCTGCATGCAGGACATAGTGCTATACTACTCCGTAGTTTTCGAAAGGCTAGTGTTGATTTGCGCACGGAGCACAAGTCAACGCGTTGCCAGGAAGTACTCCGTATGGTGGGCCAAGTTGTACAATGGAAAAAGATTATTATTACACCAACTCGCACCAGCGAAAGTATTATTGGAATCATGATGGAGTTGCACTACTAGACTTAGGCGATTAGATATGTGAAATACCATGTCTGGCTTGAGGGCAAGTCGATGGACGCAAGTAGCCTACATGCAACGCAGTTACCTTATCTCGCTTAACTACGTCGATTGAAAAAGATGCAGCGACTGACCGTTTAACGGGCAGTAAATAGAACCGGTGGAATGACAAGTCCAAAACCTCGGAAACGGCTGCATGAACACCGACTTTGTCTTCTTTGATCCGGAGCCCAGCCATGACCAAGCATCATGACACCTTTCGACGGTAGATTACTGACATGGTAGGGAAGTCGTTGATGCGTCATCGGCTTAACATGTTCTTCAGGAATCGCAATGTCGCGACTCGGTCTGGTTGGCCATCTTCCAGGTAGGCCAACTCATGCCAGCCATATCACGTTGACGAGAAAATTATGTGTACTGTACCTTGACACCCTAGTCTGGATGCATCGTGTGAATCAAGCCACATTATGCGAGTCAACGACCTTTTCGAAAGGGGCCAAAAACCTTTGATGAGCTCAGTGCAAGTCACTCGTTAGTGGGCCCCAGGTGGGATTCGGCGGTTCCAAGACTTGTGGCGTGCCAACCGCCATGCCCGTTTTGGCCTATTTGAAGCCCCAAATTTTAACGAGCCGTCCTCCCGTCAAGTGGGCGTCCTCTCCGTCGCGTGCAATTTCGTGGAATGTGGTTCATTGCTGACGCCCGGACCATACGCCTATCGCAGGAGACCGGAAAGATGATCAAGCCACCAAAATTAGCGGACGCGAAGTCGGACGCCCAAGCGCACGACGACACCATCCCATGGCCACTGCGAGTGTGAAAAGGGGCCAATGTCGTCTTTGATTGGCACTTCGCTGGTAGTGTTTGCACTGAGCAAGTAACGCTTGAAATGTGCGAAAGAAATCATGCTCACGACCCAGACTCTCTTTTCGGCTGCACAAACTTATGATCTAAAAATTCTTGTCGGAACCACTTCGTTTACTACCATCTCAGGACAAGCAATTGAGACGTCTGGAGTACCATGTGGCAATTTCACGGTGAGGAAATCCTTGCGCTATAGATTCTCGCCATACCCGCCGATTCTCGCGCGCGCATGCAAACTCCTCTGGTCGGTTAACCATGGTTCGACTTCTTTGCGCGATCATCCTGAGCTTTGCTCTCGCTCTGGCTCAGGACCTCACCGTGGCCGACACAATTAAGGCTCGACCAGAACTGTCCACCCTGAATTCGCAACTCTCAAGATTCACCGGACCCTCAACCCAAGTGAGGAGAAGCAAGATCACATTAGTCGCACCTCGAAATTCAGCTTTTGCGGCCTTGACCGCTGCCGGTGTGTCTGTGACGGCAGATTTGCTCAGCTATCACATCTTGAACGACTCCTATCCGAACTTCCCCAGCGGGTCCAATCAGTTTGTCGGTACATTTCTTGATTCGCCATCGGGGAAGGACAAGCAACTTGTTGCCGCTCGGAAGGCTCCCGTAACGAAAACCACATCCTTCACATCCGGCCTGCGACATCGATCCAACTCGGTCGGCGAAGTTGTCAAGTGTAGCAATGGTGTTATTTACATTGTTGATAAAGTACTCACGATCCCCGAGAGTTTCACTTCTACCTATGCGCAAAGTTCCCGGACCGGGCGGTCGCCTTTCAGCGACAGTGAAGTCTTTCAGGATGGCTCGGACAAATTGATGCACATAAACTGGCTCTCTGGTGCCACGGTCTTCCTTCCCATCAATCGATCGTTCAGAGACATTGGTAGCCTCGTCAATTCGTGGACCGAGGAAGATTGGCATCGAATACTCTCGTACCATATCGTAGACGAGATCATTCCGCCCGGACCAGATGGGCTACCAACTGGGAACTACACGACAATGGAGGGTTCGGATTTGACAATTACCGATTACCATGGTGATCGGTTTGTCAATAATGCAAAGGTTTCTGGACCTTATGACTGGATATTCGACGGTGGTGTGATCTACACCATCTTTGGGTGAGCAACGTCGCATATTTTGGATTTGAATCTGGGTCTAACCGAAACATAGTGTGCTCAATCCAGACAACACGACGAGTGATCCGAGCAATGCAAATTCAGGAATCGCATTCACTGGAGCCGCTTACGCTACCGATCTCACCTTCCCCAGCGCCGTGACTGAGCCCAATCGTCCAAAGCAGCTATCAGTAGGTGCCAAGGCAGCAATTGGAGTCGGCGCAGGCGTTGCGGCTATTTTTATTGCACTTTTTATCGCATGGCTATGCTATCGATGCCGTAGTGCAAGGAGAGAAAAGAAGCAAGCCCTCAAGAACGATTTCGATCTCTCGCCAATGAGCATGTCGCAGAAAAACCTTACATCGGACACTGATTTTGTCAACCATATCCCAGTTGAACCCAAGAAGGGCTGAAGAGAGATCCATGCAGTTTAATATCCACAGCGCACGCTAGCCAACCACATGCCTCTTGCATGGCCGAACGAGGTTTGGTCCCTTTACAACATCCTCGAATATATCACATACCGCACACAGTCATCGGACCTTACAACGCGGCCTTGTCTATCGATGTTGAAGGCGGAAACGCTTTATCCTTTGAGATATCATCCTTGATGCCAGGTGGAGCGACCTTTTGTCGCCAATTATGAGCTCAAGTTGGCCGACGTCGGCTTCAGGATTCGAATTCAAGATTCATGCTACCCCCAGGGTGGTATCGGCCAGACCTGGACACAAGGAACCATATCGACGTGCTATCAGACAATCGCAGGTGCGAAGAGTTGGTTTGACTGAGTCAATGGGGCATTCATAACCTTGACCAATGTTAGTCGTCCGTCTCGGTAGCCCTCCGAGTCGTCACATGATGTCCCTCTTATCGAGATCGGCAATCATGTCGGTGAAGTCCTGTTTATAAATTAGGGACACATCAACACTGAGAAATGGCATACGCGCAAACAGCATGAACAAAGAGAGGCATTTGATCGGTTCCATCTGCAGCCACGAGGGCATCGATTCATCTCAACCCAGGATTATCAAGTCTCGCTAATGAAATAATGACGACCCATATATGGCTTCACGTCTGAACACCGACACTCACTCATAGAAAGGCTTGTTGTTGATATGCTCGCTTGCGATATCATAATCATGACCAAAGATGAGCTTGGCTTGGAAGAGACGCTGCAGCCGTTTAATCATTTTCCCACTTCGGACCCAGGAGTTATGATCTCTAATTAACCAGCCATGCGGGTGATCATCGTAATAATTTTCCCTGGCATGGTACTGGTCTGTTGTCCATATCCATGTCCCATCATTAGGCAAGTTGACTTGCATGATACTGAGTCCAGGGGTATGTCCTGGCGCGTGGTATATAGTAATTCCTTGCCAAAGATCAAGCCGTTCCTCATTAGAGGTTTCCCATCGAAGTTTTGAAAGATTGAGGTAATCGGGCCTGGTGTTTGTCAGTCAAGCACAATTAGCATAATGCGATACTCACAGATAAAGTCCACTTTCACTTCGTGTCGCAGCTGCCCAGCACGCGTGCTTCAATTCCTCCCCGTGGACGTAAATTGGAATTGTCGACCCGAAGAAATGTTCTAATCCTCCTCCATGGTCCATGTGCAAATGGCCCATTATGACTGCCTTGATGTCTTTGATATCATTTCCGGTAGCCTTGATAGCCTCTGGCAACTTATGGCAGACTGCATACTTCGTACGAGGAAACACGTCAGTAGTTTGCGCACCCCATTGCTACAAGTGTCAGGGGATCCATTAGTTGATGTCACTTCTATGATCGGCTAACCGCCTGGGATGATTACCGTTTCGATGTCCTCAGCACACCCCGTTTCGAATAGAATGAGGCCAGCATCAGGGTGGTGAATCAACCCAGCAATTAACATGAGGGTGCGTCTCTTGTTCGTCGGATTTGGCTGGCTTGATGATCCACCGTTCACGCCAGCGAGTAGCCTATCGATTGAGAGCACCCGCGAATCAGCATGCTCCGAAATAGTTTCCCTAGTTTTGAAGCATAATCTGCAGCCTTACCAGCCTTCATCCACGTTAAGGCTTCCGAGGTTCAAAATCCACATCTTTGTTCCTCGGGGGCATTTGAAAGCCGGGACTGCAGCTGGCAGTAAAAGGTTGGCCATCGCGCCACTTGCTTGGTCTGCCATATTTGAGGTTGGAGGGGTCCAGATGATACAGGCAATACGTTGACTGTACGCTTAGACCGTGAATTGTCCAACCATAAGACAACAATACCCAAAACAGAACATTAAAGTCATAAGAGCCAATCCTAAGCAATGACATAACATTCTGCGGTTAATCTGTAGGAGGGGGGTTTGCTAGAGCGGAAACCAACTTCCGTGGAATTTCAAACCCGCACGCGACACGCTGCATCCACACCAGTTTCACCGTCTACCATTTGAGTTGTCTTTACCAAGACCGAAAGGCTTAGAGAGGGTTTCCCATGGTTCTGTTACTGAAGCCACCGACCACAGCGCTAGCTTTGTGGCTGAGGATATTGCAAGTTTAGGGAATATTATAATGAAGTATTCAATACGTATACACCGAATCCAGGCAGGTTACGTCTGCGTTCTGACAATGTTCAACGGAGCGATCTAATAGCTTCGCCCCGAGCTCATGATGATCTAAGTTGTTTCAGAGACTGCGCAGCTCGCTCAAGCAAACCAGGATTCCTCTTTACAAGACCGGTAACCGAGAGCAAAGCAATAGCCAAAAGTGCAAACGAGTTGATAGACCGGATTCCCCGAATCAGTCTGTTGAACATCCAGAGTCTAGAGCCGCCAGATTTCATCAGAATGCCCCATCTTGGAATCAGTGTCTCTTTCCAGAAGGTCGACGCATAGCCTGGCCATGACGCAGCGTTTCGACCAAAGTCGTTGATATACCAGTTAGAGCAGCCTGCAGCAAATACTGAGCCTTGGAGCTGACCTTGGATGTCATTCACCCATTGGTCTTCAGCCGTGGCTTTCACTTCGATGATAGAGGAGCGGCCGTCAATTAGAGGTGCTAGCATTTCTCGCGCAATGTATTCAATTTGAACCTCGCAGGCGAAAAGAGCGGAGTTGTGTGCTGGGAACGTGTTTGGTCCGAATCTGAGGCCATCGTTAGCGAGAACAGCGTCGCCCTAGATGCATGATTCGAAACTTACAGAATTCCAAAGTTGGGGAAGTTATGAACAAAGGACCCCATGTAAGCTTGGGCACCACGTTTTTCCTTCCACTGACCATGTAGCGTTACTCCGTCTCGGCCTGTGATGTTCATAGGTGTTAAGAATCTCTGAACCTGGAATCCTGTTGCAAGCACAATGATGTCAAACTCGGTTTTCTGTCCCGTGCTATCAATGATACCCGTCTCGTCAATGCTGTTGATGCCGTAAGGAACAAGTTCCAGATTTGGCTTATGTAGTGCCTCGAGATAGTTGGGATCAAAGATTCGACGTTTGCATCCTTGGAAGATCAGATGTTAGCAATTAAGTTGAGTTACTGCCTTGAAGATAATCTCACCTAAGGGGAAATCGGGAACCAGGATATCATGATACTTCTTTGGCGCTGTAGCATAGATATACTCTTTTGCATGGTTTTCAACCTTTGCTCTTTTCCTGGCTGCAGCGGCTCCTGGCATGTATGTGGACACCAGGTCGTCATTTTGGAGAAATAGTGACAATCGGTTGTATCTTTCCCACAAAGGGATGTTGCGGAAACACCATAGCTCCAATTTGGTGAAGTTACGGTTTGGCCGTTCATGATACCACTGTCGGCTTCTGGCATATTGCTTAATCAACTTGACTTTGTCGACCACCGCAGGCACCACCTGAGCAGCGCTGCATCCATTTCCAATGATAGCCATGCGCTTGCCCGTATAGTCGACGGAATGATCCCAGTTGGCCGTATGAAACATATCTCCTTGAAATGTTTCCATTCCAGGGAATCTAACGTCACGGGGAAACGAGATGCCACCAACCGCAGAGATCAAAACTTCGGCGTGTCGCGTGTATTCGACACCGGTCTGTAGGTCTTTGAATTGAACATCCCATTGCCGAGTCTCGGCGTTCCATGTGGCGCCGAGGCATTCGACCCCAAAGTTCATATGCTTTCTTAGGCTGAACTTGTCCACGGTGTCTTCCATGTCTGCACTATCGTTAGTATATGATCATACTTTGTGGGCTAATGCTAAATAGAAACGGACATTGTAAGATCTCAGGCCCGTCGCACAATTCCTTGGACCAATTTGGGTTTAGATTGAATGAGAATGAATAGAGGATGGTTGGCACATCGCAGCCACTAGAGTTCGGTCAGCTAAAGAAAGACATGCGCAACTCATAGCCCATACACGCCTGGATATGTGTTTGTTCTCCAAGTTCCTCCAACACCCCCGAGCTTCTCGTAGACCTGTAATCAATTCAGCCGCTGGCAAAAGATTGCGCTTTTGCAATTCAATCGTACCGTAAAGTCATCGTGCTTCAGCTTGTGCTTCAGAGTATGCGAAAGAGCAATGCCGGATGGGCCTGCTCCAATCACGATTATCTCTGGGGACTTCATCCTGCCAATCTTGCGAACGCTTCACAATGAAGTCTAGAAGATGAGACCACTTGATGCAAAAAAGAGTTGAACAGGACGTGATTGAAAGAGCAAGATCAAAAATAAATGCAAGAATGAAGTGAAGATATCAAAATCAGAACAGTTTCCAGAGCGGGTTGTCTTCGGAGGGTTCCAACAGGCCAATGAGCATTCACCAAGCGGGTGTCGTAGATATAGACAGGATCTCCGACATGAATATTAGGCCAGGATCAGAGTCTCCATTGGCCTCAAAGACGAATGGAACCCCGGATTCCACGGGAGTCGAAACCCATGGTGGGTCGGACAAATTACTTGACAGACAAACCCGGATGATCATCACGCGAAACATTCTTCTGGGGGTGGGGTCAATACCCCAAATTCTAGAAGCGGGCTAACTACCGACACTGGGGGAAAGATGACTTTGTCACCTGTACTGATTGAGAAGTTTACCGTACATATCCATGATAGGTACTTGGTGGGGAACCAGATGTAACATTCGGCAGTGTTTATAAACCAGTTCTATGATCATTATATGGACGCTATGCTGCCTCGGCGGTTTGCTGATCTAGGAATGCCTTTGAGAATGCATAGTCAACGTAGCCTTCGGCCTTTTGGGGAGTATAGAATGTAGCGCGGTCGTACTGCGTCAGTTCCAAACCCTTTTGTATGCGAAAGGGTAGATCGGGCGTCGAAATGAAATACCGACCGAAGGTAACGACAACATCACGCTCAGGTACCTTCTCGTCCACCAAAGTTCTTGCAGTGTTAGCAACGTATCCACCTGCTAAAAGCAGAGGGTTCTTCCACTCTTGTATTGCAAAATCAAGCGAGTCTGCACTTTCCACGTCCATGTTGCCTGCGATTCTGGGTTCGACCAGATGGAGGTAGGCGAGATCAAGTTCGCTCAGCTTTCGAATAAAATAGCGGAACTGAGGGATAGGATCTTCCATCCTCATGCCGTTGAACGTGCTCCATGGGCTCAACCTGATGCCGACCCTCTTCGCCCCAACCGCGTCAATCACTGCTCGAACTGCTTCAAGTCCGAACCGAGAGCGTCGTTCGACATCGCCTCCGTACTCGTCTGAGCGTTCATTAGTATTGGTCTGAAGAAACTGGTCGATGATATAGCCATTGGCTCCGTGTAGTTCAACCGCATCGAAACCGGCCGCTATGGCATTGCGCGCAGCTTGCGCGTAGTCCTCAATCATCAGTTGAATATCTCGGTGATCCATCTGGCGGGGAACAGGGCGCTTCGGATCAATGGAAATAGGACTGGGTCCCAGGATCTGGATATTTTCTCTCTTTGCGACTTCTGGATTTGCCGCTCGACCTAGAGACCATAATTGACAGACTATGTAGGAAGAGTTTCGATGAACTTCATCTGTCACTTTCCTCCACCCTTCGATATGTGACTCGGTGTAGATGCCGGGGACGTTACTGTAACCGCCCGCCCGAGCAGAGATGAAGGTGCCTTCGGATATGAGAAGAGTGCCTGGTATCGACGCGCGCTGACCATAATACGTGGCCATTAAGTCTGAGGGGGTGTGGTCGTCGTGGGCTCGATACCTGGTCAGAGGTGCCATGGCAATCCGACAGCGAAGATCCATATTGCCAATTTTTAATGGCATAAACAGTCTTGACTGCGTCATCGTGGCCTATGTTTCGTCCTCAAGTGTCGTGGGCCTAGTTGATTTGACTCTCAGTCGTCTAACGTGAAGGCGGGTGATGTTCAGTGAGATGTGCCTTGACTGTAGAAAAAGGTATTCAGGTACGCATAGTAGATCGATATGCCACGTGCGCCTGGGAGCGAAGTAGAGTCGGAACCCTGACAAGGCCTTGGTCAGACTCAAGCTGGTAGCCTAAGATTCCGGCTAGTTAGAGCAGCGAGAAGGAAGTCTTGTGTCTAGGTCGTTGCGCCAAACAGGGCGGAGAAGTTTTGAAGAGATATCTAGATAGCCGAGGGGTCTCACGGTTCGGAATTAGGTGGTCATTGCACCGCCTCACTCTCAAGCCACGTGGCAAAGCAGTATGCGATCCGATTGTACGGAGTACAGAGAAGCAGTGACAACTCCACGGAGTTACACCTGCCCCACCTCCATCACTGACGGCGCTCAAACACTCATCCACTGATTGATGGCTGAGCCTCTGCATCCTGACCATCCTTTGACTTCTAAGTTGCAGCGGACGCTGACGTCGAAGTGTTACAGCATGATCTGGAGGTGCGTAATGTTTCGAGCAGAATGTGCGAACTTCTAGACCGTTCGCAGAAATTACAACGTTCTCAGGTCACAATAAGAGTATTGTCGCTTACTATGGCCTCGAAGTGCTACTCTATCTCGTTCTTTCAAAGGTCATTTGCCGCCATAGCCTTCTTCATGGTTTCATTGCACCACTCATGTTGTTCCCGAAAAAAGAAATCCTTCTGAATCACTTCCACCGCCTTGCCAAACAATTGATCTCCGGGGCAAGCTACTCCATTGGAATCCTTCAAGTTTACCCCGTCCACGAACTTCAGCACAATGTCTACAATTGCGGATGGAGGAGTGAACAATGAGGCATCGAATCCCGCCCACTCTTCCTTTGTGACCAGGTTTGTGGGCACCGGAGCAGGGAGTACACAGTTCACCCTAATGCCAAAGTTTCGCTGGAAGATCTTCGCAATGCTGTAGCTGAAACCGAGCACGCCGAACTTGGAAGCAGCATACATTGGAGCCGAGTCGAGAGCATAGACACTGCCAGCGCTCCCAGTCAAGACAAGGCTGGTGCCCTGGCCTTTGTGTGGCGATAGTTGGAAGTAGTGACTCGCCAGGTAGCTCTGGTCAACGAGTGCCTTGAGATTGAGGTCGATGGTGAGTTGATTGAGCGGCTTAGGTGGCTTCGAATCCTTCGCGACAGCGTATAAATTGTCCGTCTCTTTGATCCCAGCATTGGCATACACAAAATCGAGCCGACCTTCCGCGTTGAAGATCCTCTCAAACGAAGATGCAAGGGAAGCGTAGTTGGTGACATCAGTTTTCTGAAAGACCACGTTGGAGCCGAGACTCTTCACCGCAGCTTGCCCTCTTTCATCTGAGATCTCGAGAAGATGAACTCTCCAACCACCTCGATTGACGAGCTGGGTTACTGTCTCAAGACCCATCCCACTCCCTATTCATCACATCAATATGTCTGCCTTCATAGGTGATGGGCGTACTCACCTCCACCTGAGATAACTGCAACTTTTGGTGACATCTTTGATGTGCTTGTTATTGAATTGACGTGCTTTTCACACAGCTTTTGGTATCTCTTTGTGACAAGCTATTTCGTGCCTGCTAAGTTCTGTATTTTAGAAATAAATAAAACACCCTTCAACCTTCCTACCACGGCCCACAAATTTCGGACCCTGCATAGCAGCATTAGCCGATGACTATATGGGTGGATGCCTACCTATCCTGCAAGTCCTCGGAGGAAGTGTAAGCAGTCTACCCCACAATTTTAGCCATCCACCCAGGATACGCGTCTCCGATGAGGAGCCCGGGGAGGAACTGATTAACCGTGGCGTTAGAAAAGGTATCAGGAGCTCCTATGCTCTACTTGGTAATCACCGGAGCTTTCAAAGAGAAGAAGGTGTGCCATTTGCACCGCGGTCGCACCCCGAAGCCGGTTGAACTCTCGGCGATCGATCTTCGACATACCAAAGCCTGGATAAGAAGCTCAACTTGTATGGGAGTATCCTCTAACTATCAGCTAATGTGTAGTGGACTTATTAGCTTCATCTCTTCTCAGAGTACACTCAACTCGATTCAAAATGGCCTTCCAATTTTCCAAGACAAATTTGCCCAAACAATTGTTCATCAATAACGAATATGTCGATAGCAGGACCAACAAAAGATTTTCCATATACAACCCAAGTAATGGAAGTCTTGTCGCCGACAACATACCTGTTGCAGGTGAAGAGGATGTCGATCTTGCTGTCGAGGCTGCTGAAAAGGCGTTTCCGGCATGGAGAGCAATGAAAGCCACAGAAAGGCGCGCCATCATGCTGAGGTTCGCCGACCTTCTTGACAAGTATAATGAAGAACTTGCAGAACTCTCCCAGGTCACGATGGGCGCACCGTATGAGGCTTGGGGACAGTTCGAGGTGGACATGGCTTCTCAGCAATTCCGGTACTATGAAGGCTGGATCGACAAGTTCCCGGGAGAGTCCTTTGCACAAGATGATGGATTCATCAAAGTGGTTCGAAATGAACCGTTGGGAGTAACAGCAGGAATCACTCCTTGGAATGGACCAACCGGGAATTTTGGGATGAAGGCAGCGCCTGCTCTTGTCACGGGCAACTGCTTTATTCTAAAACCGTCTGAGAAGGCACCGCTCTCTTCCCTCGCTTTGGGTGCCTTGGTCAAGGAAGCTGGCTTTCCGCCAGGTGTACTTCAAGTTCTACCTGGAGATGGGACCACAGGAGCTATCCTCGCCTCGCATATGAGGATTGCCAAGATCAGTTTTACAGGATCAATTGGAACTGGCAAAAAGGTCCAGGAGTTGGCGGCAAGAAGCAACCTCAAGAGAGTGACGCTCGAACTGGGCGGCAAGTCTCCAGCTGTCGTGTTCAATGACGCCAACCTCGATAATGCCGTTGAGTGGTGCGCGAATATGATCACCGCAAACACTGGGCAAGTTTGTATTGCTGCATCTCGAGTCTATGTACAGGAAGGCATCTATGATAAATTCATCGAGGCATATAAGACTGCCATCATCGCCCGTCGCGAAACTGTTGGAGATCCTGTAAACGACACGACCAAGATTGGACCATTGGCAGACAAGCTGCAATTTGACCGAGTGATGGGGTTCATTGACCGCGCTCGAACCAACAAGTCAGGGGAATTAATCACGGGTGGCAAGAGAATTGGCAACACGGGCTATTTCGTCGAGCCAACGATATTCGCAAATGTGGACTTAAACTCGGAGATTCATCTGAATGAGATCTTTGGCCCCGTCTCCGTTGTGCGGACGTTCAAGACCGAGGAAGAGGTGCTGAAATTATCCAATAACACAAACTATGGTCTGATGGCTGGAGTTTTCACTCAAGACATCAACCGCGCTCTTCGTATTGCGAGCGAGTTTGAGAGTGGTATGGTAGGCATCAACTGTGTGTCTCTTTTCTCAATAGTCGCCCCCTTTGGCGGCAGTAAAGAGAGTGGCCTGGGTCGAGAATGCGGCGTTCATGCCTTGAGGGCATATACGGACCCGAAGACTGTTATGATTAATATGAACTACAAGTAGGCAGTTAACCATACCTGAACATCTTTCGAATGTATCGACACATATAACTCTAAGGCATGTTTCCGCCAGTTAGCTTCCACGAACATACCTAGTAGTCTTCAGTCACTTGAGTTTCATTGCCGTCAGGTTGTATGCGAGGTTACGAACATTTCACTGAAAATTTATACTTATTTATTCAATCTACATCTGTGGCGTTCGTCATATTTTTCGAAAGTTTACCCACTACAGCAACGGAGCCATTGTACGTGTAGCCACCATAATCATGCGGCACATCCTATGGGCTCCCGAAAGCGTCCTCCCCGGACTTTATCTGAAAATGAATCGTATTAAGAATCAGGCGTGCTCATGGGGGAGAATTAAATAGACGAAATCAGCAGCAAAAGTGACAAACTTCCCTTACACACTCTTTGTAAAGAAAAAATAGACGCGGCAACCCACAGCCCTAGCGAAAGCCTATTTCACGATCCTGAGCATCATATTGAAGGATTCGTGACGCGTCGACGGGTACCTGGTCGATTTGCCAGCGTCACACTAGGATGTCTGCATGGCACTCGATGTGGGTAAAACATAGGCCTACCTTTTTAGATATGTGTGTCTAGCTCGATGCGAAGCCGCAATTGAAGCAATTCAAAACATCTGTATTATCTAAGGATGCACGTTTCCTAAGATTCAAGATCTCAACATACTCTTATTAAACCTTGATCTCCTGCCCGAAATAATTAGGATCTCTCGGCCGAATGTGTGCATCAAGGCCAGTCTGCGGGACAATCCAACCGGGCTGAACTTTCCACTGCTTTGGATCGACGAGCTCGACTTCAAAGTTGCGGAAGAACTCTGGAATGAACTTGGACATCTCAAGCAGTGCAATATGTCTGCCAATGCAAATTCGGTTGCCAGCACCAAAATGGAAACTCATTGCCTCCATTCGATAGATGGCTTCAGGAGTGTTGTCAATCCATCGCTCAGGCCGGAACTTGTCTGCATCGTCTCCGAAGACTCCTCGATCTTGATGAATTGTCCAGGCGTTGCAGCCAACGACTGTCCCCTCAGGAATAAACTCGCCAGCCAAATGCACGCCGCCCTCTGGCACAACTCGTGGCAAAATCTCTCCAAGGGCGGGATGACAACGGAGACATTCCTTGATGACAGCTTGCAAGTATTTCATGTCTCTGCCTTCCTGCCAGGTGATTGTTTTGTAGTTCTCCTCCGGCTCGCGGGCGGCGAGAACCCCTTTCAGTTCTTCCATGAATTTGTTGAACACTGGCGGGCGAGTCAACATGGAGTACACAATTTGTCTGAGAGCAATGGCAGTAGTGTCTGAGCCAGCAGCAACATTGGTGTTTACCAATTCGTAAAGTTGCCCTTCGTCGATGATCTCAGGCCATTTCT